GGACGATATTAGTTTCTATATACAATGTATACATTATACATGGATATAAAACTGAATGATAATTTACTTTAGGAGAACGTAGAATAAGTGTAATTTTAAAAGAAAAATCATTTCGTATTTATAGGTTGGCTAATAAGAATAATTTAAAATATGTGTTACTATTTCAAACTGTTGGGAGTATATTCAAATTGTATCACTTAGCCACCCAGGTGTTTATTTTTCATACACCCTTTAGAGAAGACGTTATGAAAGTCTACGCGGATGAAGTCACGGGTATTAAAATTTCTAGCTAGTCTAAAATAATAACGACTACAGTCCAAAAATGCAACTGGATTCAAATTGATAACACCCAATACACCTACACCAATAAATATACAGCTAATGCCACAGACACCCAGATATCAAATTTTATTTTCATAATTTTTAATCGTTACAGAATATCATGTGTAATCCTTGCAAATTACAAATAGAATTGGTTATTATAGGTACCTAGATGGTTATACAGGTTTATTAAGAAACCTATTAACTATTATTTATTTATAATAGCTGCACTGTTGCAGTAGTCTGTATTTACGGCCGGATGTTGTCTTAGCTGATCATCATCACATATCTAGCAATAATTATCATTTGATTACAATACGTAATTTTAAATGTAATTATCGTCACTGCGTGGCTAGCGTAACTCTATTATTGTAACCACGTTCATTTTTGCTGGTGCATTTTAGGTCATATATTATACATATACATATACTATAGATTATAATACTATACGATTATACTTATTATACAGGCACCTATACTCGAATTTAACAATGTATTCTTGATAGTGAAAAATGAAAGGCGTATAAACAATTTTCTCCATTCAAATAGTATAGCCATTGCCTTCTAAAATCTATACTTAAGTATCGATCCAACACTCAACACGGAGGTCGAACCAATAAAATATTAAGAGTGTATCCTCGAGTCACTTATCGCTGTATAATAGTAAATACAACCTAACTAGTACCTAGAGTATTTACTTTAGTATTTGTTTAAGTATATTATAATTTATAATCAGAAATTTATTACGAAAAATGCCTCATACAACTTTTGTTTCCATATAAGTATCCTCCACAATAAATAATAAATCATGGTCAGATTTTCCATTTTCCTAATGCCAATGAATGAAAAAAAATGATTCTCCCAATAAAATGACTAAAAATAAAATTAAAATAACTGATACTGTTAATGGGTGTGTCACTGTTGTAAATGAGAAGTTGGGAAGATAGGATAACATAAAGTTATTTAATATATATATATATATTTATGTAGGTACGTAAGGACAAATTATTATTAATTGCTAAAGGAAATCGATTCTGATCAAATTTTGATGAAAAATATTTTTAAATGTCAAAATTTATTATTAAAAAGCTTATAGAAAATCAAATATTCACAACATATTATGATGAACTACGTGCATAACGATCAAGTATTTTTGATAGGCCAAAACAATTATATCCATATAAAACCAATAAAAACTAAAAACACTAAAAAATGTCAAATATCAATACTTAAATTACTCACAAATCTTCAGAATGTATGAAAAATTGTAGAGAAACGTCTACAGAAGGCCAATTCAAGTATTCTGTGACAGACTCAGGTCTATACGATAATGCTGAACCGAATTATAAAAAACAAAAAACAAAATAAACAGTAATAAAACCATTATTGCCGTAAACTTTCCCATTTTTCCCGATTATTAAAAAAACTAAAAAAAAATCAAAAAATGACCTTCCTAATTCACTAACTTGATTCTAAATAATACCAAAAAGCTCTCTTGTCGTTTTTTGATTAGATTTTCTGGTAGAAAAGTTATTGACAGATAAAAACAATTTTTTTAAAAAGTAAGTACATATATCATAGAAAAACCAATTCGCTGCACTCAGAATCTATAAAATGAAGTTAAGAACTAACTAGCTTTTTTTTATAATATTTTTAATAAAATAATTATAACAAATGTGGAAATGTCGGTTGGTTACAAGGGAAAAAACACTCCACTCAATATCATTTTTTTTTTTTGCAATGATTTATCGGCATTTTCAGTATAAGTGTCTGTTAGTTTATTTAGCTAATTAATAAATAAGTAATTTGATTAATACTTGAACTATAAGTACTGTTTAATATTTATTTAATCAATTTTACAGAGAGAGCAACATTACAGTATTAGTATACTACACAACTGACGACCTGTGTGGCTGTGTGTGCGTGTGTCTCATGACAATACCACATTTTAGTGTCATTAACAACATGTCCCTTTTTTTTTTTTTTTACCTTTTTAAACATATTCCACTATTGTTTCTTGAAGAGAGACTAATGAAATAAACTAACAGTAGGTAGGTAGGTACCTATATAAAAATTAAAAAACCCTACATCCTGTACCTTTCACTGTTAGGACACTGTAAATCCGACTTGTACATTTAACGTAAGTATTACCGTAGGTAACTCAAAAAGTAAGTGCGAACGGACAATAGTTTCGGAAACACCGCTAGATTTACATTCGAATCACCATTGAAAATAATCGTTTGTTCTTGTAGGTAGGTACGTCAGTATACCTACCTGTACCTGCATATATAGTTGATACCAGTCCGGTCCTGGACGAGGGAGAAAGTAACTGTTCGGTATTTAGGTGTATTTTATATCGATTCTTTAAAAATGGGTATCATCGTTTTCTAAATAGTAAATACACATAATGATAATAATATTATTGTAAGACACGAGATGCTCATTGAATAAATATTTTATTGCCGTAGCGATAGCAGAAAAATAAAAAATAAAACTTTTTTCACAATACACAATAGGTAGACATAGAATGTATAGTACCCACTACCCATATTATAAAGACATTTTCAACAGCAGACAAATATAATATTATTACGCAATAGGTACTTGCCTATTTATATAATCCGCGATAAAAGTTGGACATGTCCACAAGAATACGTAATATACGTGATTTATAAATATAATATATATATATATATATGTGTGTAGGTATTATTATTTTTTGGCAGTTAAGTAGATGCTACCTTTGGTACCATGTAAACGTAAAAAATAAAATCCGTTTGATGACCTGTCTGATATCGACAATAAAAAGAAAGACATGTGCCTATACAATATTATTATTCATTGGTACCTATGTAAAACGTGCTTACCAGATTAATAGCCTAAAGCCAGTGAACCCCCGAGTAAGAGTGTTCTTACAGTAGGTAGGTACTTTAGTAAATATAGGTAGGTACCTAACACTATACATAGGCACAGAGATGAATACAAATGTCAGCAAAATTAGAGAATTAGAAACCCACTGACACATTAGCAGTAGGTGTAGGTGTTCTACTAGCCTGGAAGTACTTAATATAGGGTCCCTTGTAGCACTAGGAAATCAAAATAAGAGTTTCAGTAAGAAACCCCAATAGGAGAATAGGGAATGCACGAGAAGTCCTCACAGTCTTTGACCACACCGTAAGTTAAGGATACCTGTTTAGATGTCCTTTAGTACCTTTAGTTCGGTAATGGGACAATAATGGGATAGGAAGTAGTGAGAATTATTGATCCGGAAGGCAGTTCTCCCCGGGATCGACGATTCACGATAAATTATGATACTGATGATATTTTATGAAGACTCCTTGACAGTTATTGACTGTATCCAACAGGAATCCCTTATTTAATTTAGCCAGTTTAAGTAGGTACCTATCCCATATTCTATATGTACACAACAATAAATTATTGCAAACGAAAAATAATTCAGACATCTGGGCAAAGTTAGGTTAAACATGTTTTGATAATAAGTAATATAATTGAATAAGTAATAATTGTATTATGTAATCTATTACCTACCTAATACAAAATAAAGTACAATTGGTCGTAAAAAATTGTCATCAAAATATGATGTTAAAATTCTTATACCTACTTAGATAAAAAAAATATACTACATTTTATTGATTTTTTTTTTTTTTTGACGTTATTATTTTTATTATATTTTTTTTAGTATAACTTATAATGAACATTTGGATAAATTTTCAAACATTTCTGTTAAGTATGACATATGTATCCACAGAGAAGGTAGTGAGTACCTACCAAATAAAAATTTACACTGCACGCTGTGCCGCCAGTCAAATGATACTTCATTAACAATAAATAAGAGTGATAAAAAATAAAATATCATTAATGAAAAATTGTAGAGGGGCCTATTTCATAATTGTAATAAAACAAATTTTGAAAAGTTAATACTTTTCGAAATAATAAGTGTATTCAATTAATTGGATCACATTATATACCTACCTACCTACCTAAGGATTTGGAAATATTGAGAAAAGCTATTATTATTCAATTCTAGTCTGCTAGTTGGTTCAACAGACATAAATTAATGACATATACCTGAATTCAACACTGCATCAATCACAAACATAAAATAAGAAACTGGTACACTTTAAGTTTAAAATAAGGACAATAAATCATTATCAACAAAACTAATTTTAAATTGGGTTAAATGTTTTTAAATTCTATGAGTTTTACTAAAAAGACTACATAAAAATAACCAGCCAAATCACACTCAATTAAATGGCCTATTATAAAGCTGTAAAGCCTATAAGCTTAAAAAAGAACAAGTACAACTCATGATAAATTTTCGAACATTATTGAAGGGCCAAAAACAATTTTTTATACATCAAACCAACTATAAAAACAAATAAATTTAAAAAAAAAAATTAAAATTTATAAATAGCTTAAAAATCATCAATTATTTTGAAAATTGTACCACCTCTAAAAAAAGCTAATATAAATATACGTATTTGGTATCTTAGTTTTTATCTGTAAAGCAGGTTTTGATCAAAAAACAGGCCATACACAGGTCCCTTAATAAACAAATTTAAACTGATTAAATTATTTGTTAAGTAGAATAATTATTTAAAAAAAAAAATAAACAAGGATCCTTAATTTTTGTATATATATTTACAGAAATGTTTTATTGTGCAATTAAAAACCTGGCCGTTCTAAATTTAAAATAATTATACAATATTATAACACAAGTCACTTAGGTAATATAATTAAATAATTATATTTATTATTCTGTACAATATCTCAATACCTATAAGAAAATACAATTTTTCATATACAAAATTACATTATTAAAAGTATTTCAATATGAAACATTACACACTATATGTATAATAGAAATAATTTAATGTTATTTTTAAAATTATAATTACTGATCTGGAAAATAATAAAAGCCTTATATGTAAAATGCCTTCCAATTATAATATTCAAAATATTTATTAAAATTTATCTTGGACAAAAAAAAAAAACAAACATCTAATCTAAACTTAATATCGATTTTTAAGTACATCTATTATAATGTAATAGAAAATATTAAAATGTATTTTGTGAGGTAATATTATGAAGGGATATTCTATAGAATTCTAACATATTTATTAAATTGTGTGTAATACGAGAATTCCATTGACCTACTACATAAAAATATGTCAGTGATTTCAGTCTTTAATACCCTTTACATAAGTATTAATACACATTAAACAAAATTATAATAAACATATGAAAAAAAGGTGAAAGTTTATAAAAAAAATGACAAATATATAGAAATATAAAAATCAGATCAACCTGATCAAATAGACAATGTTCTAGATCTTGGTTTGTTTAATCTTAAGTCATTAACACTTGTATTATCAACACTATCATTATCTTCATTCTTTAGCATTGATATAAAATTACTTTCATTTTTCTTAAAATTTAATTTAAATTGATTATTGTTACATTTAATTCTATTATCCATATTATCCGAACTTGGATGGAAGAAATTTATATTGAAATTAACTTTCGGTATATCAGGCATTTGTGCAAACGTATGTTGTCCCGATGCAGTTGAACGAATATTGTTATCAATTTTACTACTTGTAGTAAATCTATCAGAGTGAGTTTGTTCTGGACCAATAGTTGTACTTCCGTATCCAAAAATAGATTTCATAGACACATATCTACCGACTAATAATGCCAATGATACCAACATTGTTTTAATGATAATAACAATAACAATAGGAACTATAATAAATTTGGCCCACATTGGATAATCCTCTGAGAACAAAAATAATAACAATGCAAATAATGTTAAATTAATATAATTAGTATAGGTAAAGAATCAGAAGAGTTGTATATATTGTGTATTATGTAGTGATATAATTTTCAAAGAGAAAGTTGAAAAATAAATATAAATATAAATTTAAAAAACAATAAAACATGTCTTTACAAGCATATACATACAATGAATTAAATAATAGTCTCAGCAAAAAGATAAGTATTACAATAAGTTTCAAAAAGTCTATAGCAGAATCGAACAGTAATATTTTTCCCCGTAGGCATGATAACAAAGCTATAGTAAAACCAAGAAAACCAACAAATTACGCATCCACCTGATAACATTTATATTACTAAAAACCAAAACATTTATGCTGTAGTGAATATAGATAAAATATATTAATATCTGTGTTATCCTATTTTAACTAGAAACCATCTATTGTACTTTTTCAGAGTTGGCTGATTTTTTTTTCAATTGCACCAACTGTATTGTGGAAATCTTTTGATTTAAAGCAAAATGTATAAATTATAATACTAATGCACTAGTGTCTTGTTTATTAGTAAGCTCACTGAAAACTTTGACATCAAGAAAACACAATTAGCCAAATCAATCAATTTATGGCTATAAAAACACTAGAACCTTTCGACAATAAATGCTTATATATAATGGATACTTTTGATGAACAACCAATATCTGTTATAACCGAGTTTTACTGTGTTAAAAGCCCAATTTCTATATTATCTTAATAGAAAACTAAAACACCGACTGAGTAATTCTAATTTTTAAAATTAAATTTAATATGCATAAGATCACAACATCATTGCCACTGGAAATTTCAAATGGATTTTTATAATTCAGGCATTATCAATTTTCATAATTATACTAATAAAATGTATTTTTTACTTACTGAATACTGAATTATTAAAACTATAAACAGCTTCTCCCAAGGATTCTATTGGTTTCACCATAATTTTACTGAGCATTTCAGCAAAAACTTCTGTTATTGCAATAGAATACATAGGATTTAAATGAACTGCTTCTTTGTATGCCTTGCACTCATCTAAATAAAGAAATGGAAAGTTGTAATTTTATTACGATCACACTGAAAAACAATAATCACATTACCTAAATTTGGTTTGTTCATTAACCAAGAAAACCAATGTTCTGTTTTTTTACAATGAGTAGGCATATATTCCAAATGAACACTACGACTAATTTCCGCTTTCTAAAAACATAAAAACAATTAATTATTTTTAATACCCTAAAGTTGATACAGTGGCAGATACATCAAAGTTCTGAGGGGAGTGAATATTAAATCAACAGGAGGGAAGGGGGATAGTGGGGGTAAAATTTCTTCAGTATTAAGTTGTTAAGTTGTAGGTAATAATATATAGCGGTGAAGAATACCCTATAAGTGGGGGTCCATCTGATATCCACCAGTAAGGTAATATTTCATTTTATATTTTGTTTTACAATATGTGTTAACAACTTGATTGTAATAAAGAATGATACATACTTGTTTTTCTATATTACATAGTCACAAAATCTAGAAAAAATGTAATTTTTGGAAGTGGGTGAGCACTGATTTCTAATTTAAATAGATATTTAAAAATTTGGGGAAATGCTACTATAGGTATGTCTAAAAAAACATGTGGGTGCTTCGGATTAAAAGTTGACTTTTTTTTTATATACATATATATAATAATAAATTAAAAATAATATTTTTCTTACCATATACATAGTATACCACGTTGAAGCAAATGCGAGCATAAAAAATATAAATATACCTGATGATATACTGAACAAATTGAAAAAGTAATGATAAACCGTGTATAGCAAGCAAATTAGAATACAACCAATTGAAATCCAATATAATATTTCTTTAATCTAAAACAAAATTATTTTAATAATATAATATAAATTATTTCTTTATAAATATAAAAACTTTGATTATAATTTAAAATATTGATATTTTTGGGTTACTTCAACTACTTAAATATTTCCGAGACTACCTCGTGTAACCTGATAATTGAACAATTAAACACCTTTGGGGATCAGCAAGCAAAGCGGGGAATCCAAAAACAGAAGTAAACAGATTGTTATCATTTAGATTCATAACTAACTAAATTTCTATGTTGAAATTTTGACAAAAAATTCATTTTCAAGAATTATTTCCTCTACAAAAAAAAAATATTGACTATAAATTTTAACTATTTAACCATTTTTCACAATTTTTAAATGTTTTTTTAATATTACCTAATAAATTAAAAAAATGTTTTATAAACATAATATATAAATACCTAATAAATATAAGTATCTAATGGATAAAAATATGAATGTTCATTTTTTTTTTTTTTTTTTTTTTTTTTTTTAATTGTGGTTTTCGAAACACCCCAGAAGATTATAAGTACTAGATAGTCATGGAAATATTTCAATAATTGAGATAACCAATTTGTGCATCTAAGGTAGTCAAAATCACTAGAAGTACAAAAATAATTTTGAAACATGCAAATTTATCCTCTTAAACATTTTAAGTGTATATGCTGCACAATGAAGTGACAAAAAATGTATAATGACAGATCATGTAACTAATGTTCCTAACTTACATTTATAATAACTTAAAATCATTATTATATGCACAATTATTTAATTAATTACTAAATATTCAAATGAATAAGTAAAAAAAAAAAACAATATAAATAGATATATTAGGTAAACAATTATTATAAACAAATTTTGTTTTATTTCAAAAATTTTAATTACCTCTATGTTCATTCCTATAAATTCATTTGTTTGTTGAAACTCCGGAAAATCGTTTTTTTTTATTGGAGCAAACATTGTGTTTAATATTCTATCAATTTGTTCATACTCTATATCTTTTTTTGTGGCCATGTTTTTTAATGCACGTAGATCTCCAACACTAATGGTTACTGAAGCATAAGAATTCAGTTCCAGTGCTTCATTAATGTCGTCATTTGATTGACGATCCACATTCTAGAATATGAATGAAATAGAATATGGTATTAGGTACAATTTGTTACCTGGGTAAATTTTAAAAGTAATTTACATCTAGCCCAGTAGTTTTTAGCAATAAATTAATAAATCTTGACAGAAACACTGTACAACGGTCATTTATTTGCACAGGTTCATGGCCCGATTTTGTCTTGGGTCTTTTCATCGACTTTGTACCCCGATCATAGTTGAGCATATCCAACGGATCAACAAAGTCATCATTACCAGAACACTGATACAGATGATTCGATAAATATAGAATTAAAACTGTTAGATAAAATTTTTTCATGATAGTAACATGGAAATATTAAAAACTGTAAAACTGACCGTTTGAAAATAATCTATTCGGTAATAAAACAAACGTTTTTGTTATGTTAATAATATTGACAGACGAAAAAAAAATTACGTAATTAGTCATGAGCGTTAGAATTGCCTACACTCGTACACTGTGCACGGTCGGTGATATCACACTCTACGAGTGTACCTGATATTAAAATATGAATTGGATACCAACCAGAGAGTATAATTTTTTTTTCCTACACTAGTATGGATAATATAATTGCACTATCAATGGAAATGTAACAACGAGCGTCCGCTGTTCCCTATCACGACTCCGCGAATCAACTCTCGTCGATAAACACGAACCAAGATAATATGCGATGATGATAAGCAAGAGCTTATCGACCACGGTTATCCGGTAATTTTGTTTGAATTTTTTTTTTCTGAAATCGCAGTTATATTCTTTCCCCTTAATTAAATAATGTTGTAGTCCTATTATATTCGGCGCGATATAATGGACGAAAATAAAAAAAATTCAATTGCCTTGCTGACCATAAACATTTTCATAAATAATAGACTTAAAATGTTGAAGAATTGAACTACCCCTAATCAGTGTTTGGTTCCCAGATAGTTGGGCTCATTTTCTTGCCCTGAAAAATTTAAACTAATTTAAATTTAATGATGACAATATAATTATTCGTTATTTTGCAATACCAGACTAATTGCTCGTGTCAATGTCAAATTTAATTTTACTACTGTTCAATTCAATTTTATATTTCATTTAACCTATGTTTTTTCTGACCAAAAACCATTGTACAATTAGAGAAATACTTCGTTGAGAATACAAGAAAAACTAAGAAGACCGTGAAAACAATAGTACTTTTGAAGATAGTAAAAAATGTTCTTTGTGTGATAGCACGCATGTTCAGTGCATATTGCGTGTACTCTATGTACTGTATGGTTCAATTTCTTGGTGTATAACGAGTTCACCAGATATCCTGGTACAATATTGTATCAGATATACCATAGAATGTCCAATGGTCGCAACGCAGATGTGTACAATTTATTTGTGGGTCGCAATCACAGTGTTGTGGATACGGATATATTATAATATATAGTTACGGTTCTATTTAAAATATCAATGTGTCAAAATGGCCACGGAAAAATATCCGAATTTATAAATGTAGTTATAAATATCATTATTAATTACAAAAGCATTTCGAAATGTTGTTAAAGGCAATTAATAAAAGTTGAAATTTGTACGAAATTAAAGTTGCATACACATTACACTTTTACAACAAATTTAACAATGGTATTTAAAAAAAACTCGGAATCGACTATCGTTCTGCACAGAGATGTTTTAATTCTTAATCTGTGGTGGTTCGACAGTGGTAACCAGTTCACGCTGTACAATTTTCGTCTGGCCGGCTGCGGTTTTAAAAGCTGCACTTAAAAATAATAACCCAGTCAATTTGACGGTCGTGCGAACACCCGACACCGTCATAACACCCCTTCACACGCCACCGGGTATAAGTAAAAACCTAAGACGAAAACTATTACATGTTGACAATACGTATTATGTGCAACCTATCATAATAACCCATTAAATATACTATAAGGCAGTCCCGGACAAATTGTTATCGTTCGGGACGAGTAACGTGTTTCATATCAATGAATAGGTTACCTAATAATTTATTACTCTACTATTTGCGTATTTTGTGTAAATACTAATTTTTAGCGATTTTAACGGATTTGTTATAAATATCGCAATAAAGTATAATAAGTACTATACCATACGGACATCAATGTTATTAGACAGCATAATGTAGAACATGCCCGCTCGTATTAATTATCTCGAACCACACGTTTATCTAAATAACACGATTAAAGATTAGATATATCTTTAATCGTGATAAATAGTACTAGATATAGATACTGTAGACGTATCTATACCATGAACTAAGTCGATATGGACCGGCGAGTGGTAACGGTGCGTTCGTGTTTCTCGACGGGGAATACCCAAGTGGGCGGCATCCCCCAACCGCAACTTGCCGGTCCATACCGTATTAGACAATGAGATCATGTGGTCATCTTTACACCACGGTCTTGATGGTATTGATCCGGTAGTTATGGAATTTGCATTATCTACTGCACTGTTTATGGTATGTGGTATAGATGAGATCATGGATAAATATAATATGTATATATTTTATTTGGACAAGGACAACCCTAATCAACAACTGAGAAGGCAAATATTTCAGACGATTAACTTCCATAAATTAATGTTATAAAAGCCGACTGGTATTCAAATTCAATATTTCACGTTTCATCACTGGATAAATCAATATAGTCGGAAAACGCGAAATCGACTATACTCTGTCCGATGAGAGTTCAGGAGTAGACAGAAACGAAAACGAGACGTTCCCATTCCCATAGAAAATATAATCTTTATAATACATTATATATTTATATATACCGTTAACGGCATCCCATTCTCCCACCGCATAACCGGTTTGCGGTTGTGCAAGGTCACAGTTGATTTATGAGCGAATATAATATATTATATTATAATATTATTGTGTATGACAGGTCGATGTTATTGTGTTCACGTACTAAATACCGAAAGACAAGTACAGGAGAAGGGATTTTTGGTCTCACCCCAGATGAGCATTCAATTGTATGCATGAAACACTCCTAAAATCTCGTTGGACAGAGTATAGTCTAAAACTTTTAATATTGACAACATATTTCCTGAATTGAATTTCATATTGCATAAATAAAATCCTAAATAGTACACTATATGTATATATATATAGGTAAGGTACCTTGTACTAAAGAGACTAAATACAAGATTATTTGTCATGTTTCTTTGTCTTGTACAGTTGCACTTAATCTAAAGCCAGTGTCAGTTAGTATACTTATTATAATGCTCCTATAGCTAATTCGATTCAGGTACGATTAGAATAACCATTAAGAGAGTATCTGCAGATACTGGAATTATTTTCAACATCAATAATATTTTCCTAACCCACTTTAAACTAGGGGTTTATTAAAACCAGAATAAAATAAATTGTTTAAATAAAACATATAAATACAATATTTTGTAAAAATATATAAACTACAATATTGGGTAAAAGATAATATAGTTCACAAATACTCACATATATTTGATCAGCGTGCATCAGAATCAAATACACAGCTCTGTTACACCGATGCCTGAATATTTAAAGTTCTATGAAAACTTATATCGACGACTGTTATATCATTTGTAGAGGTTTTTAATCAAAAAATGTTCATTAGCACACTTCGCCATACTTAATAAAATTCATTTTTAAAGGTGGGTGTTGGATTTTTAATATATGAACTACAGACTCGAAAACCATACTGATTATTATATATCATTTACAGATATTTATAACAAACAAATTTTCATTTAAACACCCCCCCCCACCCTCTCCCCAGAAACCTCATAAACGCAATTTGAAAAATGCGGGAATTATTGGTGTTAAGTACCTATTAATTTAAATATACATATCCATATTTATATATTTGATATCATAAATCAGGTTTTCTTCAAAATCAATAATTGAGCAAATATTTTCATGAAAAAAATATCTATAAAATAGCAAGTACCTAGTAAATATAGGTACCAATCTACTTATGATTAATTTAAATTAATTTCAACCTGATATTTTATTATATACTAAATGTATATTAACTAAAATATATCAATCATACTCTAAAATAAATGTAATAATGTATACATTATTGACATAAAAAATATTTATTTTAATCTATAGACTAAAATGATATGACATTTTACAAAAAAAAAGTTTAATTAAAACAGATCAAAACTTTAATCAATTTTCTTATTTTATACATTTTTGTAATTATTATTTAATTAGAATCAATGAATAACCATGACTAAACATATTAGTAATATCATGCCAGTGCAAGCAATTTGAAATTAATTTTATCGGATTTGAGGGGGTTGTATATAAATGAACATTCTATAATTACTAATTACAAATCTGTACAAATTATGTAACAATCGCTGAAATAGGTTTTGTATTAAAATTCCAATATACGAGTATCAGCGTAACAATTACACTAATTTAGCAGTATAAGGTTCATTTATCACAAATGTAAATTATATATATCATATAAAAATTAATTAAACACAATACCAGGCAACTGACTGCAGAAATAATAATATATGATGGTTCTAATCATAATTTAAACTAAGATTTGTTATTGTCTTAAATTTGTATGTTCCTATCATTTTCTTGTAGTGCTTTCAGTGGTAACAAATTAAAGGAAAATGATTTTTGATATTTGTAGTGTAATCATATGATTAATCTATTCTGTAGAGTAATTGCCACATATAGTATCAAATATAAAATAATTGGCATAAAAAAACCTATCACACCTCCTAACTTGCCTTTAGTAAATGATATCATAACACTAATGAATTACTATTACCAATAAATTTGGGAACACTATTTGAACTTGTATGAAATTAAAGTTATTATTTTTTGATAGCATTCAATTTTAATAATTTGTACGATACATAATATTTTGAAAAGATTATTAATAAAATCAAAAATAATTTACAAAGAAATCCACTTTTATTTTTGAAAACTGAAAGTTTTCAACTGTTTTATATTTTAATTTAATTTTTAAAAATTTACATTTATCTATAAGTAAATTAAAACAAAATAATAAAACTACTTAAGTTATAAACAAATTTTACAGTTTTTAGGAATATTACGAAATCAATACTTGAGTATTACATTTGTATTCAGCTTTTACTACTATACACTAAACAAAGAATACTTAATGAGTTAATTTTAAAAAAATTAACCTATATGATTCGTTAAATAAAAGTAGAAGTAGTTATAATAATAAAAACTGATGTAATGTAGTTGTGAAATAATATTGTCAAGTTTTGAACATTCTATCGTAATATTTCTGTGATTTACCTTTGTTTAAGAAGCTATAATACACTATTGTGTAGAAAAAAAAAAAAATAATAATTTACACTTTTTCAGCTTTTCTTATTTCTTCTATTTTGTTAGCAATATTTCTTTCCATTTCAGCTTCATATCGCCATCTCCAATAAGAAGCCTAAAATGAATGTTCAAATAAAACTGGTTAAATAAAATAATATTGCTAAAACATTTTATATTTTATATTTACCCTTGTTCGATCCCATACAGCATCCAACGAATCAAGAGCAGGTCTGACATCTAAAGCTGCAACTTGATACTTATTAGGTAAATTATCTGTACTGTAATAATCAATAATGTATCGGACATCTCTACCACAACGATCCACTATCCAATCGTGTCTATCAAATGGTAATTCATATCCCATCCAATTGCGTATTCTGGCTCTAGGAGAATAATCTTTAGCTTTTCCACCAAAGCTCTTCAACTTTGGATTCATACATTCATTTCCATGAAATGCTTCCCATTTGAGTACCTCTTGCCAAGCAAGTTCATTGTTAACATTGTGTATTTTTATTATAGCATCCATATCTTTTGGTGATAAATCATCATCTTTCCAACGCCATCCTTTACGCAACATTGCATTCCAAAACATCTAAATAATTTTTTAAAACAGTTCCATAAAATAAATTGATGAATAATATATAAAAGCTGTCCCACGAAAATATACCTCTTGAATATCTATGGAAATAATAAAGGTAATCAAATTCTGGTTTTTTTTTTTTTTTATATATTATTCACAGGGACGAAGACTACAAATATTTAAATTTGAATTTTTTTTTTGAAAATTTTAATGTACCACACATTTATATCTGATGAATAGTTTCTATGTAACAGCCATTTTAAATTCTACTAATCCGTATGAAAATTGATGTTATCAGTTAATACAGTTAGGTTATTCCCTAGAAACTATTAATCAGATATAAATGTGTGATATATTAAAATTTTCAGAAAAATAAACTACAGAATGGCTATCTTAAAATTTTCTGAAAATAATAAAATAAAAAGTTATTTTTTTAACTTTTTAATAAAAAAATAACAATAATAATTCAAACTTAAATATTTGTAGTACTCATCACTGTGAGAAATATAAACAAAACAGAATTTGATTATCTTTATTATCTCCGGAGATATTCAAAGGGTATATCTTCGTTGGACAGTTTGTATAATATTAATATTACTTGAGCAGAAGGATAAACCCAAAATTGACCATCTCCTTCAGCTTTTGGTATAGTAGATACTTCTCGTTCTGTTGGTAACAAAAATGGTTGATCTGGTGCTGGCTTTTGATTTGGAGGTGGCATCTAAAGATATATTAAAATTAATTAATAATATACATACTATTTAAAAGGGTTGGAAATGGTTTTCTAAACGTTTTTAATTTTGTAAAATTGTTTTAATTTATAATGACCACTTAAATGATAGTTCATTTATTACCTAATACCCATTTAAGAAAGGGGAAGGGGTAAGACTGCTTTACATATTAATATGAAGTTTTATACAATAATCTGGAGCAGTGGTGTATTTAGGGGCAAGGGTTTTTGGCCCCTCCTTGATATGTGTTTAATGTACATAAAAATATTTACTTGTATTATAATATGTAATGTATGACTTGTATTTGGTAAAGGTAAATTTATAATATAGCTACAAGGTTTTGTGTCTGCAAATCTTCAATAGATTAAAAAAATATGCAACTGATATTATCGAAGAATACCAAAGCGGATTTATAAGAGTGAAATCAACAACAAATCATATATTTACTATACGACAAATTATGGAGAAATACTATGAGTATTATAAAGAGCTCCATATGGTTTTCGTTGATCGAAGCTTACGACAACATAAATAGAGATCAATATTATAGAGTGCATTGATGAATCTAGGTATCCCAAAATTAAATTAATAAAAATTATCAAATTATGCAACTTTTTGCAACACATTTTGCAAAATCCAATAACAGGGGAGCTAATCCCCCCATTTCGAAGTGAAATTGGGATTAAAACAGGGAGATGCCCTGTCTCCCATTTTGTTTAACCTAGCCCTTGAACAAGTTGTCAGAGACGTAATAGAAGAAAGAGTAATGAAAATATGAAAATGTTGGCTTATGCGTATGATGTTGTCATATTAGAAAATAGTCGCCAGGAGGAAATAGACAATGTGGACAAATTAAATGCATTCAATTGGAAGATGGGTCTTATAATTAATGAATTAAAAACAAAATACATGCTACTTGCTCATTAAGAACAATATGATAGTCAGACCGTACACCTTTGAACAGGTCAATGATTTTAAGTACCTGGGGGTTAACATTAACTGTAAAAATGATAAGCATAATGAAGTTAAACTTTCAATAATCTCTGCAAATTGAGCATACTTGGTTGAACCACTAACATGGTTGATGATTCAAGGGGATGAGGAGAAATTTCTTATCTTTGAGAGGAAAGTATTTAGACCTATCAGAAATGTATCAACTGATGACTATGAAAGAAGGAAAAATACCAACTTGGAATATCTATACAACAGACTGAATATTAAATGTTTCCTGAAAGCCGAGCATTTAGAATGAGCGGGCCACGTGTGGCATGTTGAAGGAAGCATAACTCAGAAGGTATCATTGAACCAACTGGCAAGCACCCTAGGGGAAGACCTTGGCAACAGTGGCAAGACAAGTCAATACAGATGCAAGAATGATAGATTGAATAACAAGCATCGAGATCACTACTGACCGTGACATATAAAGGAGATTAATGGAAGCTGTGAAAGAAGAAAAAAAAAGTAAAATTTACCAAATTTTAATTTTAATAACATAGGTACTTGGATTTTTTTATTTTTTGTTTGTTTTGTAGGACACAATTGTTCAATTTTTTAATTAATTAATTTAGTTAAAGTACCTACAAAACATAGTAAAGAAATGTAAAAAGTCAAATAATTTTTCAAAATAGAAATTGGACTATTAGAAATATATTTATAATACACCAACTTATTGGTATAAATATAGGTATGAAAAAAAACTAATTGCTTTTAACAGAACAAAATATTTTGTATTCTAAATCTAGCATGTTCATTTTATATACACTATAAAACTTCAAAAATATACACAATATATAAACCATTAATTTTTGTTTTATTTATAAATACATTTTAACTATTAGGTATTGTTTATTGCTAATTGCACACCTTGTATACAGGTAGGGTATACTAAATATAAGTATCAGGAATAATTTAAATTACATTTATTATGTTTAATCAAATTTATTTTACTTGGAAATAGCAATTTCAAGTATTTCCCCAAAATTAATTTTTATTCAAATAAAGCTAAGTAAGTACAGTAAAGTTAGTACTCAGTAACTGAAAACAATAATTTATTTTAATAATATGATGATCATATGATGTAATGTTTTATATAAAATATCGTATAATATTAATTGACCCAAAATGAACCTACGTATTATTTTAAAATAATAATAAAAATATAGTTTAATATAGTGTTTTCAACTAAATATTTATAAATTATTAATTTTATTAAATTTTTGTAAAATGTAAATTAATATACATAACACACACATATTGATAATACCCAATAATAAGTATTAACATTGCAAAACATAATAATATTTTAATAAAAATCTTCCTAAATGGAAGTAACTATACAATAGGGTTTGTATTTAAATCCTGGTGTACATGGTCTCGAACGCATGGCTTGTATAAATAAATCAAATATTTTAAAACTACTTAATATTAATTCAGAATTATTGAATAGAATATCAGTATATACATACAGAAAATGGTCACAGCAAAATATCAAAATTCAGTATTACTGGCAAATTATACAATCTGTATTTATTTATAAGAGTCTACTGAATATTCATAATTAAATTCAATTTATTACTAGCTATACTTCATTGTAGTACATTGTATATTTATGAAAATTAAAAATATATATATGTTATTTATGACACATTGTAATTGAGGATACTTATTATAACTTATTTACAGTAACAAATCTTTTAATTGTTCAAATATTTTCTAAACTACAATGTATATTGTTTTGTATTGATAGTTGCAGTTTTAGATTATTATTTACCTACCATATTCAGTGGATTAATATCATCTACGCTTCCAGCAACAGCACAGCCAGATGCTGTAGGTTTTTTCTCTTCTACTTTAACGTGCATGGGACACTCGGGAGGTGGATTCATTCCGGCGGTATTGAAGTTGTGTGGATTTTTTGGAACATTATTGTTATTTGTTTCGTTTTGTTGAACGAAATTATGGACAGTATTTTTTTGAGCTTCCGAAACTGTGTTACCCATTGTTCTTGATCTAACAAATCAACAAAGTGAACAAATATTTAACTAAGTATTTTCAAACTTATACTGAAAATCTAAGTATAAATAAAACATAATTTTAATACTTACTAATGTAATGATTGAAAAGGATAATAGTCAGAAATTATAATTGTTCAAAATCAAAACATTCGAAATAATTATTCTAGATATTCCTTTTTCATTTGAATATTTTAATATTTTTCCTAACCTTAATAAATTCAGTTCTCAGTATCTCGTTTTCTCAAGTTCGTATTGAATACTGATTAATCATGGAAAAGTGATTGATATGTTATCATAATTTGTAATGTTTTGTTTATCATCATATAAACTACTACAACTGGTAACAGTTGTACTACCACCTACAACTAATAGTATTGTCTCTCTTCATTCTTTTTTCTTTTCTTTTTTTTTTACATCTTTTTAAAATGTCGATAAAACTCTTGTTTACCGTCTTGTTCAATCTGTGTGTATTCGTTTGATACGTTTGCGAGATGAATGTTGTCTGTTAAGACCAATTTTTTATTCTAATATCTGTTTCGTTGTGTAAGAAATACATATAATAACCATCAACACTATAATATAAGAATGTCCGTTTCGTCGGATTCGATCATTCAAAAACTCTATAACCGCCAGGTAATTAAATGCGTATGTTTTTGTTTGTTAGGATGAGACAATATTTTTGTGTTTTGATTTGAAGCTTTACGTTTAAAACTATAAAAAACTTAAAATGTGTTAGGTACCTAGTTATAAGTTGTGTCCAGAGAGACTATCTATTATCTACAGTTATTGTGTTAAATACATATTATGGATTTTACTAAATTACAGTCATGCAAGCAGTATGTTGAACTAAAAGTTGGATAAAAACGTTTAATGGAGTATTATTATTATATTGAGAACAAATATAAATTAATTATTAAAAAAAAAATTGCTAGTTAAACGTAGTCTTCTCATTTTGTTTTTTTGTATTTAGATTATTTGACTATGAAATGTACATCCATATTATATACCCAAAGTAATTAAACTCATATCAGTATTATTTATATAATTATAGTAAATTATTTTTAAATCTACAAATAGGTATTTTGATTAATACTAAATTCATTCAAATTAATCGCTACATGATATACACAGAATATTTATATTTGTTTTGAAATTATTTAACACTTATACAAAAATAACAAGTTTACATATAAATTAAACAATATAACTACTGGGCTAAAAAGTTCAAACTTTGTCATACATAAATATTAACAATTAAAAAGGCATACAAAAAAATTTGTTTTGGAATTGTTTATAGGTTCATGGTACTTATAATAAATACAAGCATAACACTCAAAATAATGCAAGATATTTATTTAAAGATAATCCAGATTATTGCAAATTCTTTTTGCCAGATATAATAGAAGATATATCCGAGTATGTACATTTTTTTTTTAAAAATTAATGGTTTTTTTTTTCTTTAAGTTATATATATATTTATTTTTAGTCATGTGTTTATGGGTTTAACTCGGTGCGGTCGATTTTTATTGACTTATACGGTAGCGGATACAGAAAATATGGTTATTATTGACGGTCCTCTTATGACTTCATTGAATATAAAGTACAAACTTCATTTTTGGGCTTTTCGGCCAGGCCAATCAGCCTATAGGGTTACAGAAATTGCATTGTTTGAAAATTCAGAATTTAGCGATTTTTTAAATATTTACATTGTTCAATGGCCAAATCGATCTGACAAAGTAGTAGTTTTTGGTGAAAGGTAAATATCCTCCATATTAGAATAAATTTAGTTTGTATTGATTATTCCTTTTTGTTTTAATATAGTGTGACATCTGAAGATGATGATTGTGACATGTACAAAATTTATATTACAGTCACCACATTACCGTCTTTAAATAACTGTAAAGATTGTCAATTAGTAGCATACGAACATAGATACGAAGGTAAAGTTTCATGTTATTTTTTTTATTACATTATTTTTTTAACCATAATTGTGTGTTAGATTTGTCCAAGTATTATTCGGGAAATACTTGCCTCATTCATGGTCTTACTGTGCACACATCATTTACAGTGTCACATCCTTATCCACGACTAGAGCCTTCTGTGTCATTGAAATATGATGATCATATTGTGCTTAACACTTGTAATTTTATTCATGTGTTGAACATTGATTTGGATCATAATGAAGAAGTCGAATCCGATAAATCAGATAACATTAATGTTCCATTAGCTCACAAGTATAATATCAAACACTACAAATAAATGACACACTAATTAAACATTTATTTAAATTTACAGACTTAGTTATAATTTGACTGAATTCGGTTATAAGGTGGCAACTGATAGTGATACTCAAAGTGATACTCAAGAAAGAGGTCTTAAAAGAAGACATATTGACACTAGATGTTTTGTACGTAAAATTAATATAAATATTATATTTCATTTTAAATCTCATTTTTAAAATATTATTTATAGTTTGATAAAGAACAAGACAAGACTAAGACTGCTCTAAATCCTATGCCTAATTATACAAATCATCGTCTTTTAAGAAAAGATGCCGAAAAGGTATACAGAATAAAAAAAATATTACAAGTACTATCTATATTTATTATTAGCCTAATTTTTTTATTGTTTTTATTTAACAGATATACGATTTTAATGAGAATGATGATGGTTGCCCAGTTAAGTTTAAATGGTACAGACGCAGAAGAATAGCTGATAAAATGTATGAATTTTGTTCTGAAGAAGAAGATATGGAAAATGTTCATCCATCATCTAAGAAGGGACTCTGTCAACGTTTTGAAACACCAGGACCTTCAGCTGTTAACCAAACTCCATTATATATACAAACAGAATGCGAAGATGATAATAATATATTAAATAATGACTGTGATAGAAAAATCTTATTTGCTCAAGAATTAAATGCTATCATTGCCGACTGGGACTGTTTATCGTCACCTCGATCGGTTACCTCTGAAGATAGAGATGTAAAGAGTCCCGATAGTACTAACAAGAAGATTACTAACGTGCTCAAACCAAGAAACAAAACTCCATTGTCTAAAAATTCCAAAAGTCCTTGTGATAAGAAAATCAGTGTTAAACTTGTACCCGATAGTAATCAAGGTAAAATCACATTATTTATAAGCTTCATAATAACCACAAATAATAATAATAGTCCTTAAAACCTGTTTGTATCAATAGGAAATAAATCAAATAATTCATTCCGCTCTTTGCCGCTTCAAGATTGTTCAGTGAAATTAGAAAGACAATACATAGAAGTGGATGAAGAAATTGTTTCGATTACTACAGATTTAGATGGTATGTGTGCATTTTTTAAAAATAGTACCTAATAATGTTCAAGGCTGAAACATAAAATGTGTATTTTTAAAATTATCAAATAATATTAAATCTTCTAGTTTCAAAAGAACGTCTTCAATGAAAAGCTTAGAATTAATAAATCAATATTATTTGTCTTAAATTTTGAAATGAAAACAAATATTAAACTCTCAAATTATTTACTTAAAACATAGGTACTATTATATGGATGTTATTTGTACATTAGTTGTTTTTGCCTAATACTTATGGATATAAATCCATTAAGCAAATAACATAGTACTTAAAAATAAACATATTTTCTACGGGTTAATAAAGTATATTGCATTAAGTAGTGCAGATAGGCAATAGGAAATAGACAAATTTGTACAAGAATAAACGATTCATGCTATTGATGAAAAAAAAGAAACTAAATGCATGTGTGTTGTAAATATTAAGTTATTTAAATAATTACTATTCTCTCTTTTTCTATTAGCACTATATACACCTAAGTCAATGCCCGTCCTTTCACTCTCAGCCAATTCTGTCTAATTTTCATCAATACATCTTTAAATCTACTTAACTTACCAATCTTACGACTTTTGAATGTCCCTCTCATTTAAACAGAACTTCAGTTCTCATATTTGTCTTCTAACGAATTAAAAATAATGTTGCTTTCTAAGGTCAATTTTTTTTTTCTAATTACCTTAACCTCAATTTTCCCAATTTTTTAATAATCTATACTAACGGTTCAGTCTCACCTTTATCTGCTGGATATTCCTTCTATATACTTGATCTTCACGTGTCTTTTTCTAACAACTTGCCTCCTATACTGCATAGTTTAATGCTATACTTGAAGCCCTTGTGTTTACTCTAATTAAGGCCCCAATAATTATTTAAAAACATCCGATTCTGGGCCTTGCTTAAAAGCCCTAAAATCTAATTCCTTTAATTCCAAATTAACCACTCTCATTTTTCAAATTAAAACATATTTATATTACCTTAATCTGTCAATTAATAGTTCAATTAATGTGTATTCCCAGCCACATTGGCATTCATGGCAACGAAGTGGCTGGTAGGTTAGCCTAATTTTATTCCAATTATATTCTAACTTCTTTTGCTCAATTATCATGGACCAATTTTCTCCCAATCTTACGTTATCACATAAGCAATGTTTGGTTCAATTACTGGAATAATCTGCTAGTTGGCTTTGCAACCAAATATAAATCCAATATCCCTATAGTTAAAACCGGGTTCAATAGCTTAGATTTACCTAAATCCACGATTTTCTGTTTCAACCGTTTCCATGTGGGCCATTTACTTCTACCTGGGCTTAAATGATTTTCCTCTTTACACTTTTCACTTTACTGAAAGCATCTGTAACCTCTCTCATCTTTGACTATCCTTCTTTAAATACTGAACATTTAATTTTGCTCAATTTTCTGAAATCATTTGATATTCCCCCAATCTCTTTTCTATGCTCAACATTAAATTAGAAGTGGTCATCTATAAAATAATCTAGTATTGGAAGCAGGTTTTGTTATTTAATAATTTTTTTTTATTTTTTCTCTGTCTTAATATTGTCTTGTAAATAATTGCCAAATTGTCATAATCACAGACTAGAAGCTAATAAAAGAAGAAAAAAAACACATTTACAAAGGTGTAAGAAATGTCAAGGTTATTTATTTATTTTCGAGTTATCGTGTTTATACTGTGCTATGTAGCATATTCTTGTGTTAACTCAAAGAATATTTTATAGAATTTGTACCAAATTTGTTATTTTAATATGTGTAGTGTACCTTAATTTTGAACTTTTGATTAGGTACCTACCATCATGTATCATGTATTAAGTTTAAGCATCATTATTTTTAAACAAGCCCATTTAAAAATATAGCTTAATATAATTTATTTTTGCACACATTGAGTTAGGAAAAATCAAGATTTGCCAATATATTCAATAGTCTAGATTTTTGAAATTTAAATTCAAAAATATATTTTAAAACTTTAATTTTGGATAGCATTTTATGCAATATTTTTACAATTTTATTGTAAATTTGTTTCATATTTAAAAATACCACGAATTTTCAAAAAAAAAAAAAATTGAACATTTTCAGAATTGAAGTCCTAAGTTGTATTTTTGGAATTTGAATTTATGTCACATCACAACTATTCACAACAATAAATTGTTGCTATTGATAATTGCTTCTGAGTGAAGTTCGGTTAAACGTATTTTAAAATACTATGGCTTTTACCGTTTTTATTAAAATTTAAACGTAATAAGTTTATAAAAAAAAAACAATAACTTCTTTTTTATCATTTTTAGATATAAATAATAAAATAATGAAAAATAATACTCCTTAAATCATAATTTTGACTATTTTCATCAAATATTTGAACTTTAAACATTTATAAAATGATAAACTTTCTATAAAATTGTCAAATGTTTTTAACAAGCAAAACCAATTTAACATTTAAACAAATATAAACTGAAATTAAATAGTAAGGTTAATCCAAATTTATTTTGAAATAGGTACTAAACATTGGTTCCTTTACTTGTGATAATACCAGTGTTGGGGAAGTTCCTTTGAACCATAAACCTGTAATATACGTACATGTTACATGATAGTTTACAAACGTTATTTATCATTGATCATCTTATCGGGATGTATATAAAGTATTTACCTACTAAGTTTAAAATGAAATAAATTTGCTGCAGTTTTTATACTGTATCTTATCAGTATTGCCGTAGTTTATATATTGTTAAATTCGTAATAATAATGTTACATATCGACTTTTAGAAAAAGGAAAATTTTGCTGCAGTTCACATACAACCATATTGCTTTAATTAAAAAATGTCAAGAGGGTTTTTTTGTTGAATTTTTAATCTATTTGGTGACCTGGAGACTTTTTGATTTTCCTTGTAGTTTTCTACGTAATTTGACTCTGGATAAAATTATTAGACTAAATAAAAATGCTTAGAAATGTAATAGGAGATTTATTATCTATAAGTCGTACTTAATGGTCAAAATAAAAATAAAATTGAGTGTTATGTAGTTTTTTTTTAAGAGTTTTAAAATGAATTTTGATAAATTTCGTAAATGTTAAGATATTTTAAAACATGTATAACCGATTTTCTTTTCGAATAGTTTTTTGTTAGCAATAGTTTATCGTTTATTACGGGTATAAATTAAATAACTTTATCTTATGCCTACCTTTCCGACTTCCCAAATAAAACAGTGGTGCACCTGTCTCCAGTACCAGCTCTTTATTTTTATTTGTTCTATTTCACAATTTCACAATTTCGTTATTTTATAAAAACTCGGACGACGTTTTCTACCAGGAAAAATGATTTAATCGAAAAATCACATGATACATTTTTTGTTGCCTTTTTGATTTACTTACGGTATTATCGCTAAAACTAAATTTTAAGTTGATCGGATGATAACAGCCTGAGTAATATGCAAAAGTATTAGCATAGTTTTTACTCAAAACTCTATTTTTTTCAACCACTCAACAATGTATAATATGTTGTACGCGTTGTTGTCACTTGTTTGCGACGGTCGCCGTTTGCGGTGAATAAAACACAATTTGGTTAATTTATTTTATCGCTGTATTACTGTAGTATCATTTTCCAGCAACATTCATAGCTATACAATATCATATATTCATATACTCTTATATTTTGTCTCAAATTTTTCACTTGATAAAAAAAAAACAGGTTAACTATATCTAAAATTTTAATAAAAAAATAAGTGATATCCCAATAAAAACCCTCCGTCAAATATGTACAAGAACCTTGCTAAGAAAAAATAAATCCAAGTTAGAAAAAATGTGATATCAAAAAGAGGCTAATTATATTCTTAAATTTTTTTGTATAGAAATGGTTTATAATTATTTGTTTTTGATGAAATGCGATAATTTAATACAAACAATTTAACTTAGCTTGACAGCTACTCATAATATGCACTTAAATAGTATTATGGTAATGTTAAAAAATTATAAAATGGGGATGTAAATAGTTATGTCGGCATTGCACCTTTATTTGTAGCCGTAAGTATTAGTAGCCATCAAGCTATGTTAAATTGTTTGTATTAAATTATCCCATTTCATCAAATACAAGCAATTATAAACAATTTCTATACTAATGAATTCAAGAAAATAATTAGCCCCTTTTTGATATCACAACTTTTTCTAACTTGAGTTTTTTTTTTTCTTATCAAGGATTTTACATCTAGTTGACAGAGGATTTATATTGGGATTAATATTTACGATTACAATAAAATATTAATTTCACTAAAATATTGACAAGAAAAAACAGTGTATTAATTGAATATAACAGCTAGCAGTTATTTTTCCTATATATTTACATATCAGTCTTATCCATGTTATCTCAAAAAGTGGTATTAATTTTTTTTTTTTGACGTTTTTTTTTATTATTTTGGAAAATTAATGTGTACAACATTAATTTTCATTTTTATATCATGCTTGTTTTTTCATTCCTATGTTTGGTTTTGAAACAACCACTGAATTTTGATCAATTGTCATTTTTATAGCAATGTTTGAATAGTGCATATAATAAACACATATAAATCTATTTTAAATATTCAAAAAACTGTTTTTTTTTCTTTTTAAATTATAGAAGAGGAAGGTTTAACAGGGTCTTTATGCGCACTCCCTTTGTCTGTGCACGGGTCCGCATCTGCTCAAATGCAAATGATTAATACTACTAAAATTGAAAACCAGGTAAAATATACTCCTCTTAAACATAAATAAATAATTTGTATTATTATTAATAGAAATAATTTTAAAATAATATATGATTTACTAAAATTCAACATTTTAGTAAATCTGATGTTTAAAAAAAATTCAGTATTTGTATTAAAGATATTATTTATTAAAAAATCATTTATATTTTTAATTTTGTGCTTTTTAGTTTTCAAACAAACTAACTGTCCATCAGTTTATTGACATATTTTTTGTAATTATTTATACAATTTTTGCTATTTAGGGAAAAGATGTTTGTGTCATCAAACAAGCGAGTTTAGATTTCGAACACGTTAGTTATAGAGTGGCGGAGATTATTTGCAATTTAGAAGGTCACAAATTTTGGTGCTACAACGATTATGACTCTGCCATTGTTGATGTAAATAAGAATTAAATTATATTCAATCTACTCTGTATAATTATGATATATTTGAACGATAATATCTAATTATGCATTTGATAGATTTGTCCTTTAAATGGAGACATTTTGATTGCCCTAAGCATAAGACTGAACACTGAAGAGGAGAAGAAACCAATACCCCTGTGCCATCCGGAAAATATCAGGTATTTTCTCAACACATAAAATATGTGCAATCTTTATTTATATTTATTGTGTTTGTATTTTTATAGGGGTTTTGAAACAAAATGTGTGATTTTGTGGAACCCTAAGACTGATAATTGTTACCTGGAAGCTTATTGGCAACTGGAAGCCGTTACAGAAGATCGAAGTTATACCAATTGGAATCCAGCACGTTTTGAGGCCAGTTTGCTTCGTAAAGCATCTTTGGGTTTCTTTGACATTCCAATGGCTCGGGAAGTACGGTGTTTATCGCATGAAGTATGGTCTCGACAAATTGGAAATATGAGTGAGTCAGCTCGCATACATCTTTCTATATACAATTTGTTTTATAAGGTAAACTCAAATAACTATACTAATTATTATTTTTCAGATGCGCCGTTGCTCGAAATCTGTGACAATGAGAATTTGGTTACCATCCTAAGAAACCGAACCGAAGCAGTAGACGAAAACAACGTAATGGTGTTCCTCCGACATAGACTACCGATCTAACTGAAAGAATTGAAGAAGCAACAGTTTATTATTTAGGTATAAGTTAATTTTTTAGATTACAATATATTCATAAAAATATGAATGATAGTTATTAAATATTTTTTAACAATTAACGTTAATTTTTAATCTCTACAAATTATTTCATACTTATCCGCTTAACTCTCCCACTATAATATTAGTCTGTAGAGTTTCTCGGTTTTCCGAGTGTTTGTGACTATTTATTTAAGATACATTAATGACATAGATGTTTCAGTGTAGTACGCCTTACGTGTAAAATCTTTGCACAATTACTTTGCTTTTTTGACATATTAATATTATTTAGAGCTTAAATTAAAATAGAATATTCAAAATGATTTGACTATATTATAAGTTTTTAAATTAGTGAAATAATTGTCAGTGCAATTGTTAGTCTACAGTATGCACCTATTTTAAATTAGTTAAAATTGTCTATCCATTATTATACTTACCTATGTCTAAATAAAACATAAATTGTATTAGCAATTTATTTTTAAATATTATGTACTTATAATGTTAAGATTATTCTGGATTCTGGAAATTTGCATTTTGTAGATAACATCCAAAGTACAAACATAATATTTCATTGAAAACAAAATGTAGATACCTAAATACTAAATAATATTTTTTATTTTGATATCACTAATTTCCACCGATTGTTTTCCTGTGTAATTGATTAGAATTTTTTTTTTTTTATGATAAAATATATTAGATGTAGTGGCACAAACCATGGGGATATAACCTCTCCCAAAATTTGAAATTTTTTTCGAAACCTACCTAATTTAACAATAAATAATGATAGTTTTATTTCGTTATCTTTTGTATTTTCTATTATCTTGACCACACAGAAAATAAGCATATCCAAGACCTTACTAGATTACTGAGCTCCACTATAAATCATTTTTTGATTGTAATAATTAATCGTTGTTTTCAGTATTTAAACTAAATTACCTTATTTTCTATGCTGCAATACTTTCTACCTAACACAGTGGCTATCCATGGTGTGAAGTGTATTATTTGTGCATGGTTTTTATATTATTATTTAACTAATAAACAGACCTTTAAATATTTTATATCAGATATAATTATTTAACATTTGTTTTATTTAGATAAATAAAATATGTTGTGATTTTATATTCTTTTGATTGTGAATATAACCATGAACCCTATTTTATTTTTATTTTTAATTTTTCGGAATACACTTCTACAGTTCTAAAAATGTTCCTAAATTCATACATGAATAGATTCAAATTTTTAACTTGATCATACTTTAATTGAATATATTTTTCATTTTTTTGATTATGTAAATGCTTAAATTTCTTTTTACGCAATATCCAAACAGATGCAAAATTCTCCCCATTCATAAATTATTTAAAACATTAATCGACATTTTCAACAGTTCACCCCTATATTCTTTTTGTTTTTTATTGTTTGATTTTTGTTAATTTCTAGATTACCTTTGTAACACATGAAAAACATGACTATTATACTAGATTACTATTCTGCTAAATATTAATTTTTTGTTTCGATTTATCATTGTATACAGTATATAAACTAAATTACCTTGTATGCTCTAGGTATACCTTTTCAATTTCTCACCTTTAACAGTGACAAAATAAAAATCCTGGTTGTGCCACTGATTAGGCGTTATTATATATTATGTGCAGGCTTGTAAAGTATCAAAAATAATCAAAACTCGTAACTATGTATTATATTAAAGTACACTGAAAAACAAAATATTCATACAATTTGTTTTGTATATACTTATATTACAATACCTACCTAGTACCTACTAATAATAATTTTAAACAAATTGTGTTTATATCTATAACTCGATAATAAATCATTTTAAGTATAGCTTGGCTAATCAATTTTTTTTCTATACAATTTTAATACTCTATTACCTTGATGGTTTTACAACTGAAAATTGAAACTTTGATCCAAATCTTAAAAAAAAACATCATAAAAAAAGGTATTTTATGGACGAAAATTGAAATATTTTACTAGGTCAGAAGTTTTTGAATTGAAGACGGATGGTTGACTTTTGATCCATTAACCAATGACTATCCGACTGCAATTCAACAACCAAAAATGCCTGATCTAGTAAATAATTTGATTTTTACGACTGTAAAACCATCAAAATCTATTTAACTATTTTTATTTATGATATTTTTAGTGGTTTTGTATGATCATAAATCATAAAACATCAAATACTTCCACTTACTACTAAAAAATATAGGTATTAATGTATGTAATGTCTGTTGATTAATGTATTATTTTTAATATTACGGCAGGAAACTTATTTCATTGTTGTAGTGAGCAGTGTATGGTAGTTTAGAGCTAATATTATGTATCTCTTATGTTAAATGAAATTATGAGAAATCGATATACGTATAATAATTGTCTGTGAAATGAAAATTGTTGGTAACATTATAATCAGGGCTGTGAATTTAGTGCATTTTTTGCTTACATCATAGTATAAGAACATGGATTCTTCAACATTTTATTTTGCATATTTAATTGGTAAAGGCATAAAAGTACATTTATGTTAATGCTTTTTTTTTTCTTTATATATTGATCAATCCTGATCTACATTAGTATAAAATAAGATAATTTAATTCACAGGCCTGAATTTATAATATATCTACTGCATTTTTTGATATTGTGTTTATGTAAAAAAAAAAAAAAAATATATTTATATATTAATTTATTAACGACTTAATGTTAATATCAATTTTTAAACAAAATAGATAATATTCGTATTGTTATAATATCATATACAAATTGTGTTTTAAAAGTTTTTGGAAATTTATTGATTATATTTAGTTGCCATGCGCAAATTAGTGATTCGTGAGAAAACAAAAAAAAATACATTTTAATATTATTTATTATTACTATACCTATTATATATTACGTATACAATTAAGCTTCAAATTCACCTAAAACTATATACATTCTAATTACTTTGATATTATGTTTTTTAATGTATAATTTTTTTTTTATGTGCATTTTGAATTTTTTATTTATCTGGTGAAAGATTGATAAACCATTAAATTGTCCATATGAACAAAATAGTATAAGGTCCTTTTTAATTTTAGTTTCGATTGCCGTGTAGTAGTAAAGTAATTATTATTAAAAACAAACAATGGTGAGTCATTAAACTTGTATTTTTGTCGATATAATTGTTTTAAAGTATTTACAGTATTTTGTTGGGTTGTATATGGATACTTCTGTTTAATGTTTTGTTTAGAAGGTGCTGAAATGTTTTTTATATAGGATCATTTTGATATTGTTTGTATTTATTTCTGTAAAACATTTTTTTTTTTTGCTTATCTTAAATACGGTGTGAATGTTCATTATAATTGTAAGTTCCTTTTTGTGGATTGTTTATTTTTTGGTAATATTAGTCAGGAAATATTTATATCTTTATTACCTATTTATACATGAAAAATAATAAATGTTATTATGGAAATAATAATATACCATTCTATTCATATTTTATTTTGTTGTTTATTTGATGGTAAAAAACATAATAATATTTTTAAAAATAATCTTAACAAATAAATAATTAAAATATAATATTTTTCGTATTATAATATAGTATGATCGATTAAACTTTTTTTTTTAAATAATGACACTTATACAAACTGAAAATAATAATAAAAAAAAAATCATCTAAACTGTACACATTTGGTTTCTGAGCCAATAGTCTCTTATTCCTATTATAATAATAAGCTAATGTTTGGACGCCATTAGGATTCATTAAAAAATTATAACAATAATACTTTATTTATAATATCTATTTACACACAATACATACAATAATAATATTATTTATTCATCGAGTACATAGTATATTATTATTATGACACTAAATTTCTAAATATTAAATTATTATTAGGTTTGTATTGTCTTGAGGAAAAGTCTGGCGTTTTTCGGCAAGTTAATATTATTTATTTACCTACCGAAGGTTCACTCAATTCGAGTAAGCATACAATAATTTATTATTGTTAATATTATTGTATACCGCATATTGGTTTTGATTTCTTCATTATGTGAACCTCTACCAGACTTGTACAAGTTATTGTATATAATATAATATATTCTTTTCTTGTTTGAGCAACTAATTATAATAATAATAATTAAATATTAAATTATTATTATTATTACATATTCTTTAATTGTAGTCTTTTCACTGGCATTCGCTTTCGGTGTCACTTTTATCTGTAACATAAAAATATATTTTTTTATGACCATTATGTTTTTTATTCTTTGATAGATTTTAGATTTTGCGCATTCTGGTATTATATAACCAGCATTCATTGTTTAATAATACACTTATATCAAGGTGACACAAATATTATTACTACTAAACAATTTACCTTTCTTGCCGTTATAAGCGTGCCTTTTGAGCCTATCGTATAAGTCTTCTTTGTTGCCGTATATACTGGCGTTCGACCTGGCCAAGCTGTTCATCTTGCCATTGTGAAGACTCTCTGCGAATCATGAAAATTAATTGTTATAAAAGATATTTTTAATGTTTTGGGAGGTTTTCGTCCTTACCTTTCATGTACGTTTCATTATAGAAGTTGGGCATTTCCCAGCCGTCCTCCTCATCGTCGTAGTAATGGGCGTATGTGGAGTGATGTGATGGTGCTATAGACTCTGCATACGGTGCAGCACCGTAGTAGAAGTTCACCTGGGACCCTGTCTGATCATTGGTTTGAGCCATCAGTTTCTTGGGCTCCTTGACGCGTTCCGACCGGGCGCAAATCATCCACACGAATAGTGCAATGACTATGAGGAATATGACCGTGGCGGCTATACCACCAGCGATGTACGCAAAGTCTGACTTATCCTCGCAGTGCGGTCCGATGAAAGACCCGACGCACCGACATGACGGTTGTCCACGCAGATCCTTGACGCACGTGCCCTTGTTTTCGCAGTAATTTTCACACACATCTTTGCACACCTTGCCGGTACCGTTGAAACCAGGTCGGCACTCGCACTTAAAGTCCGACGTCTCCGGTATCAACTGACAGTCAGCGTTTATATCGCAGTGTTTGCCAGCCACGTTAGCTTCACAAGGGTTCCAGCACTCAGATTTACTGGTCTGTACAAAACGAAAAATAATAAAATACTTGTATGTCCTTACAAGTCTATAAGTCCTTATAATCTACCAAAGATTAGGTGACTAATCCAAGGCGAGAATAATTTAAAAAAATAATTATTTTTACATACAGATGCTACACTCTTGGTGCTCATGTTCGGTGGGCACGGCAAACAGATGGTTTGTTGAGTAGCCGGTTGATACGTTCCCTTCTTACAGGAAATACAACTGTTCTGGGTCGTATTCAAGTATGTACCTGTAACGTAGAAGGTTTGCGATTATTTAAACGTTTTTGCGATTCAAGCGTACTACTGCGAATTACCTGGCACACAGATAGGCAACGAGCATTCTTCGATGCTTGAAGCGCCAGATTGCTTGGTGGTTCTGCCGGCGGGACATTGTTGACAAGCCGGTTCGATGCCTTGGGTCCTATAGGTTCCTCTTGGACACGGTTCACATTCACCTTCGATTCCCAAATGCATACCGTCGGCACATTCATCTCTACATTCCTGAATATTTATCGAAACTTGTTAGGTGAAAATGAATCTTACGTATTGTATGTAAATAGAGTTGTCGATACTAACTTCTTGAGATACCGCTTCCGTAGTTCTCGTAGTTTTACCTAGACCGCACAAAAGACATTTGAAACTACCCTCTGACGGCTGGTAGAAACCGTAGCCACAACTTCTACACAAGCCCGCTTCGTCGTCGTAATACTTGCCAGCAGGACATCTCTCTTTACATTGTGACGCTGACCTGGCACCTGTGGACACCGTTACGCCTTGGCGGCCTGCAATTGCCGGGCACACGGAACACTGTAATTGACCCGATTCGCTTTGATACGAACCAACAGCACAGGGTACACATTTTTTCGATTCTTTTTCAAAGTAACTTCCCACAGAACATGGAACTGTAAATGAAATAAACAGTTTTAGTTTATAATAACCGGCAATAAAAATAATATCTTACCGCAATCTGGTGCCATAACCACTTCGCCCACAGGGCAAGCGTAATCTGATTCTAAATTCAAAGAAGCTGGATCTGGGACGGTGTTTGGCAATATGTCATGCACGTCAAATTGATCTTCTTCCAATATTAGTTTTTCTAATAACCTTTGAATATTGGCCCTTTGATTGGAATTGCTGTTTATCACAGGATCGCTAAAAGTGACTAGGTGTTAGTATTCAATGTTTGATATGTTAACGTTAGTATAATGTTTACTTGATTGCCGGGAATGAAATCTGAACAGAATATGTATCACTGGCTTGCCTCTTCTCTCTAAAGTTATACCAGAATAATTAGATTTCAGCTTACTATAATTACTTAAAAAAATATAGCATTACCTTAATCCTAAAGCAGTATTTTCTACGTCATTTGCGACGCTTCTCGATGGCCTGGAAGTTCTGTGATCACATTTCACATCTATGTTCAAGTCCTTACACTCACGAGTTCCTTTAATCGAATACGAGCACAGATTCCATTCTCGGTTCAATGAATTTATCGCATTCCTGACTTTTTGTCTTAGTACTCCTTGTCCTGCTTCATTACATAACACTGATGTAGGGAATTTCATGTCGACCTTAAATACTCGCTGAGCTGGTTTAGACGCTGAACAAGCCGGGTAGATTGTTGGATAAGCCGGATCTACAGTAGGTCTCCAGAAACCTTCTGCTCCACAAGTGTAGAACTTCGGAACTTCTTGTGAGAATCGTAATCCTGGATCACAAGTAATTTCACATACTTTGAATTGTCCACCGGAACCCCAATCTTTACATTGTTGTTTTCCTCCGATTGGATCTGCCAGTTTTGGACAAAACTCGGCTGAAATAATAAGAAATACAGAGAAAATAAATAATTTGCAGTCATCATTTTGAATAAAACGTATTATTCCTATTTAAAAATTTACTTACACAAAACATACACTCTGAAAGTGCACACTGCAGCATTACCGACTTCATCAAATGCCACGTATGCTATACGGTATGTTCCCCATAATAATGTTTGACCAGGTTTGTGTCCATTCTTTTCTTCTATTCTTACAACACCTACGTTATCAGTGAATCTCGGTTCGTCCCAATTGACAACTGCTGATCCATTTTTGGCAATGACCCAAAGATCCCCGGGACAATATTCTACATGTGGTGGTTTTTTATCAACTTGGAGTTGTTCACAGTTCGGACCTGTATATCCAACTGGGCAAGAATGTTGACTGCACTTAGAAGGAACAATTCTTTCAACACCTCCTTGTATATCGTCGAAGCCTGCCCACGTCAACACTAATCCTTGGTAGAGAACCGGTTCTGTTCTACAATCCCTTACTTGTTTCTGTATTTCATTAGTAACATCCAGCGCACGTCCCCAAATTTGTACTTTGTTCAATTGACCCTTAAAACCAGCTTCTGTAAATGTCTTTCTATCTGTCCTTGGCTTTCCTAGCACAGCCCAACCGCTGAAAATGTTTTAGTTTTATAACCATTTATCGTAAATTAAAATAAAATGTTACTTACAATTCCGGTAATTTCCTTCCAGCTCCATAACCTTCCATTTTACTCGCAATTAATCCTTCGGTAATCAGAGTCAACGTACCTTGATTCCAAACAATAGCAATGTGATGCCATTGCCCATCATTTATAGTAGTATATTCGTGGAAAGCTAAGAAAACATCTTGAAGTTCTGGGAATATTGATACTTGTACACCACTCGAGTGGGCTTGTACAAGTACTCGTTGGCCCTGTACTACATGGGGAGACCTAGAAATTATTTAAAATTAGTTATTTATGTTGTACACGTATAGATCTATTGTTAGTTAAATTAATATTAAACTAACGTCACGCTATAAAGTGTGAAAAATATTCCTGGTTCGTCTTTTTGCGCATATTGAACCCACATGGCAATTGTGAAACTATCTCTACTTCCCGAAAATTGGAATGGAATGGTTAAAGCCGCACTGCTCAGCGTCTCTTCTGGGAAACTAAAATCGTAATCGACTTGGATGGCTAAAATAAAAACATTAAAATAATAAAATCGCACATATAACATAACTAAACGTATAGTGGTTTACTTTTTCTACAATCATCTCCAGTCAAATTGAATGGACACTGGCAATAAAACTTGTTGGTAAGGTCGATACAAGTAGCAGAAGGTGGGCACGAGTTTTCTTTGCAATCGACTATATCTTCATCACAATTTTTACCCGTAAATCCTGGTGGACAGATACACTTGTAACCTGGACCATTGTCAATACACGTTGCTCCATTTTTACACGTGTTAACTTGACAGGCGTCGAACTCGTATTGACAACCGATTCCGTCATAATCACTTGGGCACGTGCAATTCAATCCAGATCCAAAGTCTTGGCATCTACCTCCATGCATACATGGATTACCAATACAACGTTCTGGAGCGGTCTCACATTGTTTTCCATCCGTTCCGGAAGGACACCTATAAAAGACAAAACCATTGTCAAACATAATACAAAATCTGCCATACGAAATATACATTTTTTTCTCGATAGTTGAACTACTTACACGCAGAAATAGTCTTGGAACAAGTTAATACATGTCGCGTCGTTGTGACAAGGTTTACTCTGGCATGAACTTAAATCGATTTCACAGCGTTTGCCCGTCCAACCAGGTGAACATTGACATGAAAATGTATTGACACCATCAAAACATTTACCGTTATTCATACACGGAGAAGAAGCGCAATCGTCAATGTTCTTTTCGCACATATTTCCCGTGTACCCCGGATGACATACACATTTATAATTGTTATCTAAATCTAAACATTGTTCTGTACCCTCAGGATTACAAGGATCGCTTAAGCATTCATCAATTCCAGCTTCACATTGAAGACCTAAGAAACCAGGTCTACAGCGACACATAAATCCGTCCAACATATCGATACACGATCCCCCATTTTCGCATGGTCCAGAAGCACAGTCATCGATTAAATGTTGGCATCTTTTACCGGTATAGCCAACGTCACAAGTACAAGAATAACCATTAACCATGTCTGTACATTCTCCGTCGTTTCCACACGGATTACTTGCACAATCATCAATGTTGATTTCGCAAGCAGCACCGGTCCATCCTGGATGACATACGCATTGATGACTGAACAATTTATCGACGCATACCCCATTTTGACATGGATTAGCCGCGCATATTTCGATTTTAGTTTCACAACGTTTTCCTGTGAAGCCCGAAGGACAAGAGCACTTAAAATCGTTAATAAGATCGGTGCAAGCAGCTCCTAATAGACATGGTCGTTCTGCGCAGTCGTCAATATTTATATCACAATGTTCACCTTCCCAACCAGGCTTACACTCACATTTATATCTGCCTTGTTTAAGTGCCGTACAAGTGGCAGAGTTTTTACATGGGTTCATTGTTTCCATACATGGATCAATCTATAATAAAAAAACAAAAAAATTTTAATAATTTTAATTTTAGAAACTTTTATTTTAATAATTGTAATTTACCGTCATGTCACAATTTTTTCCTGTATATCCACTTCGACAAAGACACGTGAAATTTCCTAATCCTGGTTCATCTTTACACATTGCTCTCTCGGGGCATGTATCGTTTCTACAGTCAGACTTTTCTTCTTGGCAGTTAATTCCACTAAAACCGTTTCTACACTGACAACGGTAACCCTGAGGTAAATCTATACACGAACCTCCATTGAAACACGGTTGGGAAGCACATTCATCTATGTCGATTTCACATCGTTTTCCAGAAAATCCAGCTGGACAGAAACACTGAACTCCATGGCCAAGCGACACACAAAGTCCACCGTGTAGACATGAATTTTCATTGCACACGATTGATTGACATTCATCTCGTCCCGTGGCACCTGTACCTTTAGTTTTTGTATTGGTAGGACATTCCGTACATATTGTTTGTCCACTAGCAGCTTGATAGAAGTTCGTAGGACACAGTGAGCATGGTGCTAAACCAGTTTCTGAATATTGACCGGGGGGACATTTAGCTGTAAAATTAAATAAATGATATTATATCTTTGTGCAATTTGACGATCAAACTAAATTAAATACCTCTGCAAAAATCTTTATTTGGAGCGGAAGGTTGGTATGTAAACATACTAGACGGACATGATATGCATTCCTTAAAACCAGAAGAAGGCGGTTCTGATGTATAACTATTTCTAGGACATTCGAGACAAGGAACGAGACCAGTCGGAGAATATGTTCCATAACCACACACTGGAATACAATCTTTCAAGCTTTTAGATCCTAATTCCTTTGTGTAAGTTCCATTAGGGCATTTCATACAAGTGCCTTGTCTAGCTGTGTCTTGATAATAACCACGAGCACATGGCATGCATGATGACTGCTTGATGCCAGCATATGAACCAGCCGGGCAATGTACTAAAAACAAAGAATTGAAGTTAAATTTAAATTACCTATAACAAGAGAAGTATAATGTATTTCTTACAGCATCGGGGGACTTGGTTAGTATCCATATTAAGTACTTCACCAATATTGCATGCAAATCCTTTTGTTACTGATGACCTTAGAGCCTTCAATGGAGGACATTGATTCGCCACAGCCGATATATTTAATAAAGGTTCTATAGCAGCACTAGCGTACGAAACACTAAGATCGAAAACTAAATTCAAAGTCGAACCACAGAAATCATATAACTGAGGCTGTCTAACTTCTGGTAAAACACCTAGTACGAAATCCACCTGAAAATAATATTTTTTTAATATAACTAGTTTTAGTGAATATATCATATTTAATGAAATGTATTTATGGTTTTGATCTATTAACGTACTTGAACTAAATTTTCATCCAACAATTGAGGTCTAGTATCGATAAACGAGACGTTCATATTAACTTTAACGGCGGAACATCTGTCTGTCAATATCTCATTAAGTGGACCATAATGTTGACTTAAAATATCTGCATATTGTTTTAAACAAAGAGTTGGAACTGCTCCATTAGCTCGGTAAGTCACCGACGGTATTACATGGTAATCAGCTTGATGAGTGTCTTCAGATACACAATCCGGTACAATAGAAGAAGGTGTCCAGAGACTTCTTTGTTCACAAGTAAATGACTTTGTTGGCTGACCATCAGTGAATCTGAATCCAGCTTTACAAGTAGCTATACACTCTAAACCATCACCATCACCAGGTAGACAGTTTAATGCTCCATTTGATGGTGGCTTGAGATCCCAATCAACACAAGGAGTTGCTTGTACTGAAACCTAAAATTAATAATAATATTAAAATTAATCATTATTTGATAAAAAAAATAATTTGTTGGTACCTGGAAGTAACAAGTAGCCTTATTTCCAAATTTATCGGTTGCTGTAACTGTAACGTTTTCGAAATCTCCAATAGCAATGGAAGCTCGATCTGGTTCAAATGTAAGCATGACATCACCAGAAGCGTCTGATACATTAATTCGTCTACGTGTTTCATTAAAATTCACTACATAATTATCTTGTTTGTTCACCAATTCAATAACATAACTCTGAGGACAGCTCAGCTGGGGCGGTGTTTCATCTAATACGTAATATTAGGTAAATTTTAGTTATAAAATAGTATTTTAAAAATAATATTTATAATTTTACCTGTTACTGTAATATTTATTTCACAGATAGCTACGTTTCCGTCAAAATCGAATGCAACATATTTCACTGCTGTATCTTGGAATGTATAGAATGGTAGTTTAAAACTCTGTGGTTTTACTTCGAGTCTAGCAATACTACCACTGTTATCTACAGGAACAGGTTCTGTCATATTTACTGGTTCTATTCCATTTGGTCCACGGCGTACTATAATGGGTTGAGTTGGACAATTTTGGAATACTGGAGGTTCATTGTCTAAAAAATATATTTATTTTAGTTATTGTTAAAAAAAAATTAAAATTAATAGATGTATACTATTGAACATACCAACACAAGGAGAATGACCATAATCAAAACCTAATAATGGTTCAACTTTAGGTTCTTCACAGCCCATCAATTCAAATTTCAAACAAGCATTATCCATATAGCTAACAATTCCTAAAATAATATACATTACATTATTTGTATTATAAATCACAGAATTTGATAATTAATCAATACAATTTGCGTTCACTCACCTAAAATGACAAATCGTGCTTGGACATATTTTGGTAAAGTAATCATGGCCAATTCACCAAAATTTCCAGGATCTCTCATGGTTAAATTGAAATTTGGGAAATACACAACGAAATTTTCTTTTTCTTCTTGTTTATAAAAGAATCGTATTTCAGTTGGACGACCAACAATATCATTGGTAACTACACCTTTCACGAGAATTGCCTTAAATAAAAAAAAAATTGTCATGATTGTATTCTTTATTTATATAAAATATGTACTTTAATTAGTATACCTTAACTCTGAAAACTTGTCCTAGGTCCACACTAACGTAAGTAAATGCTTCTTGCTTACCACACCATCCGGTAACCGAATTCAATCGAATATTACGAGCTTCATAATTCGGCCTAAAATTTAATTTCACAATAAATTTTACATTCAAAATCAAATTTAAAATAAATCATTACCTTTCCGATGTAGCATTGATGGCTGAATCTGGAATTCTACCAGAGGTCAAACCTAATGGTTTGATAACTTTACATTCGGGTTCTCGAATACATGATATAGGACGAGGATTAATTAATATGTAACCCGGTTTATTACAACCAAATTGTACTTCAGATCCTTGTTCATAACTTGTGGCTACTTGATAACCATCTGTAGGTCTTCCGGGGTCTTGACACACCGGACCTTCACATCTTAAATCTCCAAAATCCCAAATTCCATTCGCTTGACAGCGCACTACATTATCGTTTTTATCGGTTTGCCCGGCAAGTTTAAACGTATCTTGACAACCGAAGAAGAAAGATGATTGATATCTAGTGTCTTTGAAACTACCATATTCAGCACCAGCTGTTGGCATCGGAACGCCACAATCTACTCTTGGACACGACGGAGTAGCTCCTGACAGCCAATATTCAGGGAAACCCTAAACAATTTTTTAATATAATCTAACGGACATAGAATTCCTATAACATAATTTATCTAAATATTAAACTTACTGGTTTCGGATCATAAACACATTGTCTAAATCCAGAAGTAGCTGTTCCACGGAGAATTCGGCCTGGATTTTCACATTTTAACGTAACGTTTTCTTTAAATGGTACGAGTACTGCATCCTTTTCAAAACGGCTCACTTTAAGACCTTCAACTTTGTCGTCAGGAAGAGACACACATTTTGCAACTGTAAAAGTACACATTTTATAAAACACTTTAAACAAACACTTTAGTATAATTTGTTAAATTACATTGACATTGAGGTACTGTTCCATTCCATGCTCCTGTAGATGTACATAAAAGAGACGCAGACCCAGCCATAACGTATCCAAAATTGCACTGAAAGTTTACTAAATCTCCAAAATGATATGACTCTTTTGTGGACAGAACTAATCCGTTTTCGGGTGCTTGCAAATTGGGGCACATAACCGGAACACATGTCTTGTTTCTTTGATACACATCACCATCTCTTTCTCCAGATTCAAATTCGTTTATTAAAAATCCAGCGGTTCCGTTCTTTACATACAGCTCATAGCCTATATTACAAGAACATGCATAACTTCCAGGACTGTTAATACATTTTTGTTGGCAACCGCCGTTGTTAATAGAGCATTCGTTAATGTCAACACAATCCAATCTTGTACAACCAACTAATTCAAGTTTCAAACAAGGTGCCACAACATAATCTTGTATCCTCAGTTTGATGTACTGAGCTTCGATGGGCATTGGGAAATTAAGCACAGACAGACTAGGTTCCAAAATGCGGAACTCTACGGGTGTACCATCAGGATTTGTGTAGTCCCTAAACACATCCGTCAAATTATTTGAATATTGAATCCTTATTGCTGAAGAAAATGCAACTTTGCTTGATCCTCTCATTACACCTTGGGATCTGAAACCTCTTATAACTGTGGGTGCTTTTAAATCGATTAAAACCCAATTATCACCGGGTTCAACACTTGTGCCACACCATCCACGCATTGTATTTAATCGCATCATCTAAAAATATAATATGATGAATTTCAATTAAATATATCTACGCATTGTTTGAATAATATTATTTTAAGACCTACCTCTTTGGTAAACGATGGTTCAGATCCAGATACAGTAATAGAATCATCGGATATTCCTCCGCTTATCAAACCAAGATCTCCGATTGGCCTGCATTCCATAGTGGGCGCGAATCCTGTCTTACAACGACAGTGGAAACCACCCAAGCTGTTGACACATTCTGTCGACGCTAAATCACATTGACTAGCTGCGCATTCATTTACATCTAATTAACATACACAAAAAAATGTATTAGTTTCATAAACATCTCATTTTATGTTTTACAAAAACGTCAGAACCACAGAATCGATTAGAATTCAAATCTATTATTTCTATTATTAATCTATGTGACTATTGCCAGATGAAAATAATTCAAATAGCCTAACTTATTTACTTGTAACTTATAAAAAATAATAATTTATCTATTCATCCATACTACTAACTCTCTCAAATTTTATGTACCTTATTTCCACTGTATATCACCAATTAAATAACTTTAATCATTTTAACTCCTAGTCCTCTTAATATTGTACTGTTATTATTATATTTTATACTTTTAAACACGACCTATTATTTAACTATAATCAATTATTACTGGCTATTAGCTTATATTGTTTATTTTTGTTAATGTGAAATTCAGCATAACTTACCTTCGCATTTTGGTACATTGGCAAACGTTTGGTTTGCTCCGCATTTGATTATCGATGGTCCACCTGTAAGTTTGAATCCTCGGTGACACTGTACACGAGCTTCATCCCCGTAGAAATATTTACGAGTTTGATCAACTATAAACCCGTTATTTATTTCGGGCAGTATTGAACACTCAGCACCTATAATATTATACAATCAAATTATGAATTCATAAGGTACTTATTAGTACTTCGAGAAGCGTATTGAAACTTACGTGAACAGACTGGAACTCCACTAGACCATGTTCCATTACTCATACAAAGAACTACAGGGTGTCCTGACCGAACATAGCCCGATTCACATTGGAACCGAACGATGGTTCCATAACTACGTCCGCCACCATTTAAAACTGTTACGTTAGCGTGTGGTGTTTCCGCTAGTGGTGGACACTGTGAAGCTAAACATTTTCAGAATATAATCGATTAATTACAGAACCTGAGAAAATAAACTCACTAAGTATAAGCTTACCTAGACATGTTGGCAATCTTTCCCATCGTCCATCTGCTAGACAAGATACTTTTTCAATTGGCTCATTAGAAGGAAAAGCAAATCCTGCATAACATTGATACATAGCTTGACCGCGGTAAGTCACGTTGGTTGAACCGGTTGAGAAACCGTTGTCGATTTGTGGAACAGGACCACAGTATACAACTATATAAGAATATATAAAAAGAGACAAACTATTTTTTATTTTTGTTTTAATATAAGATTCTTATTACCTATAGGTATTTTATTTAGCTTAACTATCAAACTTTTACGTAATACGCATGTCATGCATAATATTTAAAGATTAAAATTGTATTCAATTAAATTTAACTTACCTTGACATTTTGGGATATAAGAAACTGACCAATTACCACCGATTAAACATTCAGTCATAATTTTCGATTTTCCAGTGGCAAACTCTTGTCCTACAGGACACGAGAAAGTAACCGTTGTTCCAAAAGCGGTATCTCTATTTGATTCTAATGCTCCTTCACCGGGCTTCAATGTCGGGCAATCTAAAAACAATTTTAATTTTAATAAAATAAATTATAATAAACTGAATATTTATAATTAAAAATTTGATTTACCTGCTGAAAATGTTGCATGCCATCCCTTTTGATTATGTAATGCATCTGTTACAAATCTTACTAACATCTCTCCACTGGCTGCCGTAAGCGTGATTTTGGGAGGAGTATTTCCAGTGAAGCCATTATTTGGATGAAGTCTAAGTCCACTTGTACTCGCTCCATCGTATACTTGTACGAAATCAGATTGATGTAAAATGAAAGAATCGAATTTTAGTGATAATGGACTCAAAGTCGGGTTCTTGATTTTAATGAGACATTCTAAATTGCTCGGATAATTTGATAGGCCGAAAGTAGGTGAGGAAATGGTTCCGTTAGCTGCGGTTATAGTAGCTTTACAACCTTGTGAGTATTTAATTTTGAATCCTTTTTTGCTGTCACCTAAACTCGTTTTGAAATATAAATACATTTGGTTTCCGGTTGACATTAATAACTTAGGATTGTCTTCTAACGATCCTGTCAAACGTCCAATGGGTTGACTCTTTGGCGAATCTCCGTCTCTAATTAATACAAAATCTCTGTTTTGTTGTAACTCTAAATCTTCAATCTAAAATTGAATATTTTACATAAATTATAAATTCAAAAGTTAAAAATCACGTAAAACTATATTATTATACTTCTAAAGTAATTATTCTTCCAGTTTGAGCAGTAATTGTGTATAAACATTCCAAACCACCGGGATAATTATTAGGGAATCCGGGGGAAGTCAAAGGTTGTGGCTGTGTGGTTGCTCTTAAATTACCACCACATATTTGAGGTTCTGTTTTCCACGAAGCTCTTTACAAAAAATATCATAATATTATTATAATTTGTAATTGATAAAAAATTAATTAGGTTTTATTTTATAATTTTGGTATTTACCTAAAACCTTTACGTTCTACTGAAGCGTCCGAACTAAATTTAATTATCATAAAATTCGAAGCCGACACAAACATTTTATTGCTTAAATCCATTTTTCCAGAAAGTGTTGCTAAATTTACCGCTTTGTCTTCAGTACGACCTCCGACAAGAATTTGAACGGTGTCGAACGATTTCTCTGTCTCGAATTCTTGGAACTGAAAGTAAAAAATAAATATAGTTGGAAAAATTTCGTTGATTTCGTTTATTTATTTCCTTCTACTAACCTGTAATAGTATATTGTGCCCTTGAGGACCTTCCAGTGTCCATTTACAATTAGACAGGGCTTCATATTTATGTGGGTAATTTGGAGACTCAACTACATCGCCGCTGTTGGCCATATAGTAATGACAATTCGATGCACAATCCAGTTCGTCTGACCAATCGTCACAATCATTCTGCTTGTCACATTTAAATGCTGAATTGATACAACGGCCATTTGAACAGTGAAACGAGCCTATATTATAACAAAAGCCATTCCGTGAAAATAAAATTACATTAAAATTAAACTGTACAACACAATATAACCTGTTGGACAAGCATTGGATCGACACAAAAACGGTAATAGAGATTCGCACGTTTGTAACTCCCACGACTGTTGTTCATCGGTCACAGTCACGTCGACGCATTCTCCAGATGACGGGTCGGGTTGAGATAATGACCAAAATCCTATAGCGACAGAAAATAATACATTTCAAACTCTCGGTAAGTAATTTATTACAATCGGTATCAGAAATTTACCGGAATATTGTGACACTAAAACTCCACCAGCATATTCCAAAGTATTCGTTCGAAGATCGTCCAACGAAGCCAATCCCAGCCAATATTTTTGATTATTTCTATCGGCTGGTCCCAAACTTTTTCTAGCCAACGACGCGGTATAGTTATTTTCCGTATATGATTCAATTAGTACTAGATCACTTCCATATCTATAATTAAAAAAAAAAAATTGCATGATTGATTTAAGAAATCTTGTTGTTGTTGGTTATATTATTTCATACCTATTACATAGTTGAGCTGCGTTTTCCCATGAATGTTTTATACTGAAAAACTTGTAACAATGAAGCCCTTTGAGTTCCCATCCTGTAACAAATCAACAAATAAATTATTTGTTCGTTCAAACTATAGGCAGGTACAAGCACTCATAATAGATTATAAGTAAATATATAAATCACATTGCATTGATTTAAAAAAATGTGAAACACAAATATCATAGTAAATATAATGAATATTCTAATTCTATATTCACTATTAATTGCCTGAAACCATATTGTCGTATTGCAATATTTTCTAACCTCTATAGAATTCTATTTACAAGCACCCATTTGCTTCTATAAAACCATCGAGACGTGAGATAGACAGGTTTTGAACACGAAATAAGCAGGTATAGGTATCACGGGTAAAGATACCTGCGGTTTGATGTATTTGTGCCGGTCTATTGAAACCGAAACCCCGCGGCTCTAAATAGAGTCAAAAAACGATACAGTTTTCATCATGACGGAACGCGATTGATATTCAATGTGACATACATTCATCGTAAAAAGAGTTGGAGAGTGGCACGTCGTTATATGTAGGACTATAGGCTGAGTACTTCCATAAAACAGGAATTGAGTATTCCTTTCCATTTATTATAAATTTTTCTTTGCTATTTTTTTTTTTTTTACATTGTTCGTTTTCATTCGGTGAAACTTTATGAATCACGTACGTTTGTAATAGAAATTGAAACTAGTCATCGCACATGATAGGTACTATCGGATTTTAGGTCAGATCCTAGATGACGTTTTCCAAAACGTATGGTTTGTATAGACCATTTTGTATTTAACACGTGACGTACTTATCGTAATTTTACTCGAAATACAAACGATATATAAACGATGACAATTGTAGCAAAAATCATATTTTTTAACAATTGAAATGAAAATACCTAAAATATAATGTATATTATTTAGCGTTATATTGTACGTGTAAAATTATATAGTAGTCACAAAAAAAAAAAAAAACAAGGATTAAAAATTTGAGAAATAATTTGACTCAATTGGTAGTTTAAATAGCAATCAAATAATAGTTCTGATTAATGTATTATAGGTATTCTTTTTCATTATATACATGTATACATATATAATATATATTTTCAAATCAAATATCATACATTATAAATATTAAACTTGAATAATTTACATTAAAATATTAACAGTTATAAGCCAATGTACGCAAATTAATAAATACACATTTACATACGAGTAAATTATGCAATTATAAGTAAAAACGAAAATCAAATTGACCAAATAAAATATTAATACTTTCACAAGGGAGAGTGTGAAATTTTTCTGATAAACAATCAAATGACACTACATATATGTATAGACTATACCTATACGTATAAGTACTTAACTAATATGCCTAGCCTTTAAAAAAAAAAATCATTTTTTTAACCATCGCCGCTTTCATTTAGAAAAAAAAAATCATATCCTATTATAAGTAGGTGTAATTTCATTAAGAAAAAACAAACACTTAGAGATTGATTGGTCACGGTCTAATTGTTTTTATTTTGAACCGATACAAATACAATCAATTAGTATTAATACATACTAATATATTATTGTGCAAATTAATTAATTTATTATAATCCAAGTTGGTGTTTACTATCTATTAAAAATTAATATTTTAAAGTTGATAATAATATATTGTTTAAAAACATGGCGTGTGGATTGTATTCTATACGTCAATGTGCGATAATTCATTTTTATTTCATCGTAATAAAAATATAAAAATTGTATTGTTAGAATACATTTTAGAAGAGCTTTTACAAAGTAAGTACAAGGACACGACATACGAATTGCCTAATTGCAGTGAACGTTATCTAACAGCGTACAAATTATTTTAATAGTTATATTACTCGAAAATTAAAATATAAAGAATGCAATAAGTCGCTATCTGTGCCATAATTAATAATTAATAAAAATGCAATAAATCTAAATAGAGAATCTATAAGTACTCTATATTATATACAATTTGTTTATAGCAAATGGTTTGAAATATTCAATACAACTATTTATTATTATATAGATTAGTTAGTATATTATATTAGTGTATAATTATTATCGGGGCTACTACTAGTTTGCGCTTATTTTAAAATTATTTAGTTAAAATCTGAAACTCATTTACGCACAAATTATTACAAATTATTATCGTTTGAGTACAACATATTAAAGAAAAAACCACTAGATTGCGCATAAAATAGTATAAAGTTAACCACTGTCTAACACAATAATATACTATTTGTTTGTACGTACATATTATTATTTATCTACAAACGTACAAATAATGATATGATTGCCGATGATAAAGAATTTATGATTAAAACTAAACTTAAATTAAAATCAATAAAATATTAATGTTAGTAACTGTTGTCGAAAATAAATAATACAAATAATTAAATATAATTAGGTACATGCACCTAAATGAACAACTTATAACGACCGATTCCAAACCTTTGAAGTAACTAAAATAAAAAACAAACTCAAATAACCGCTTTCATGACAACCCCCCTTTTTACCGTAGTATTATGTTAATTAAAAATATTTTGGAGCATATAACGCACCAAAAGCACACTTTTAACCACACCAAAGAAGTTAAAATATTCAATGACAGTCTTAAGTCTGTATAAGTGGGAAGGAAAATCTGTACGCAAACTAGTTGTAAATTTGTGTGAATGATTTTTGATTTTAGTAAATGTGTGCCCTACTAATGGAATGTTTTGGCTCTTGTGACGTAATTTTATAGAAAAAAATCAAATAAAAAAACCATCATCACAGTAATGTCAATTCTATAGAGCCACAAGAGTTCCAGGTCATCATCACACGCTGCAGACACATACACAAATTGTCCGTTCGATTATGATTACATTATATACCTGTATGTATTATTATTATTACTATAATAGTATAATGATGACCCGAAGGAATGATTTGCAGGCCACAAACCAGGAAGACAGGAGTATGGATATAATAATAATATTTCATTTTTGCCACTCCCTGACGATAGTCTTATCTATATTTCTCTTTCTCTCTCACATAGACACATACACACTCGCTATCTTTCTCTGCAGTACTATTATCTACACTGTGTGTGTGTATGTGTATGTGTGTGTACTCGTTTCACGTGTGCAATACGGCTGCTTTCTCTTGTACCCAAACGGTTTCGGCGGTGCGGATAAATATCAATAAGCTGAGGCCAAGACCCCGTCGTCGTCGGTCGGTGGCATCGAGCGAGTCGGTTCCCAAGTCTCGTGCGCGTCACGACTCGATGCGCATCTCCGTCTCGGGGAGAGGACGTTACACAACACTACCAATGATCCACGGATGAGTGTACGCGCGCGTTTTTTTTGCCGGACCGAGACTTTATAATGTAATACGTAGATATATAGGTAACATAATATTACGTACTTGCATAAAATGACCGATGGTTGGCCGTAAGAATAGTCATTCTAAAATCAGATTATTTTTTTCTCGGAAAATTTAAAAATTCAAATTGACGTTAAAGCAACCTTCGACTGCACAAGAGCACAACTACTAGTACAATTTACTATAACAACTTGTACGAAAATTATTTTTTCATATTTATTTATTTATTTATTTGTCCTATATAATTATAAGAGTATAAATTGTTTATGCGAAATATCATAGAACCTGTTCTATGTAATTTCGTACAATTTGTTGTCTATTTGTTCAATTTTCTTATATACGTACACGCGAAATAGAAAGCTTACCGGCTTGCGGTTCCTGTTTAGCCGAATTGGTTCCCGTTAAGAAATGGGATCAGACGAGCTGAATTTTACACATGCCATATATTATATTTCGCTTCTAGTTTTTTAGGTTTATGTAGAACTACTATCAACCTAGAAGTACCGATATGTACATGTAGGTATACATGATAAAGTTAGGTAATTAAATTTTGAGGAACACGAATAACATAATGGTATTATGGCCAACGAATTATTACAAAAGCCAAAAACAGTTACTTGACAAACTTCAAATGTTAAATTGTAATTATAAATATTAAACATAGTAAACAAGATACGAATCGTAAACCAATTCAGCGAATGAAGGCAGTTGCAATTGGGAACTAATAATAATTTGGTGAGGAGATAGACAATATTTTGGGAATTGATTTGGGTATTGGATCTGCTATTGGGGCCCAAGAAGAATAAAAATCAATTATCCATGGGGCCTAGGTACACTTTTTCGAATGAATTTGTGTCCATACTCAAGATTATAGTATATATATATTGATTGCAAAGAAGAAAGGCGAAGTTAATTTTTAACTTTTTTTTCTTAACTTGTTTAATGTAACTTTTTCTCTTAAATTTTTATCTAAATGGCATAAGTGCATAAATATTCTAACATAATATGTTGTACTTAAATCACTATATTATGTACTTTTGGTTTGTCAAAAATGGCATAAGTTGTATAATTATAAGACTTCAGGCATTTAGAACTCTATATTTTGGTTAGACCATTTATCAACTACGCCATTTAGCAATTTACAAAATTGAATTTGTTTGTATTTAAAACTATACAAAATTGACTTAAGCCCTTCTTCTCCGGGACCAAAGATCATTATGTTATAATCATTATTCATTAGAGAGAAGTGGAGAACAGTTATTAATAAAATTTATGCGCACTTCGGACTCATTGTCTAGAAAACAATTTAATATAATCGTAAATTGTTTACGATTACACGGTGTGTGCAAATGTGATGCAATTAAATAACGGACCCGCAAAATACATTTTAGCGATTCAGAGCGTTCTTCTCTCATAACTCCCAGCCATTTTTATTTTTTTACACATGTCTGCAGTAATATTATATATGTATATTACTGCACTTACGCGTGTGATGTATCTATACTGATTTAATTACCGTACTATTATTTTCATTTACTACCTATAGGCAGGCCTACTAGCATTTACCTAATTGTGGTTATATATAGTAGGTATTGTTGATTGATCAATTGTTTAATTGAAACAACAAAAACTAAAAAGATCATATTTTATTCGGAACACAACACGATAATATTATGATAATTAGAACGTTCAAACTATATGCACGAGGAAATATCTATGTCGTAATAATCGTTATACCGTTTCGCCCACGTCCTCTCCGTATCTATACTTGAGTAATCGGGTTTCTAGATTTAGGCAAGCACAAGCGCACAATAATGCACCCCGGCAATTTGATACGGATAGTTTATTTTTGTTATTTGTAAGTAATACTAATACGCGTAAAATGCGTAGGTTATACTGCAATTAATAAAAAAAAAAATAAAACCCATAAACCATTATAGGTAGTAGGTACGGTTAATAAATAGCAGAAAATATTAGTAAGTACGTATATATATATATTGTATGAATAACTCAAAAATTCGATTCCAACCTCTTTAACTCTAACAAATTATAAGCCACGTATTTTTTTTTAGTATCTGTCTATAACTAACTCGATTAATACGTTCGACTGACTAATACGGTTATTTTATTTTTTTCATAAAATTAATTCATATCACTAATCCGCTATTCGTATTGTAGATTCTGAGCGTAGCGAAGAATATGCTAGTTTTGCTATGATGTGTGTTATTTTACTGTTTTTTTGCGAGCAATAATAATAATAATAGCCATAGTAATAATATATTATAATATTTTATCCACACACTCGTATTACCAACATTGGTCTTTAAAGACCTTTTATACAATTTATAACGACCATTTTTTTTTTATTAATATAGTGATCGATTTCAATTTAAACATTATTTTACTATTATAATTGTTATTTATTTCGTATAATAAATTTCTAACAATATTCCGTTTACTGTTATTATTTTTATTTTCTTTATTATATTATAATTATTTTACTTTAAACGTATATCACTACACGCAGATAGAGAATAAAAAAAAAATCTAAGTAAAAAGTAGGACGACAATCGTACCTATATATATAATATATAAGTTTCACGATACTATCTAATAGCAGTACCTATGTATACATTGATTAACTTTTTTCCGTATCGTTTGTGACACAAAATTATTGTCCCGATATCTACTCGACTGCAGGCAATATATAATAAGAACGAGTATATAATGTTGGTCACACATTTTCTCCGGGGTATTTTTTTTTTTTCATGTTTAAATTAATTTATAATATAGTTTTGTTTGACCCACACAGACGTTATTTCACGTGGGTATACATCATGACGCGACACTGCCGCCGTATATTTCTTGTTCAAATAATTATTATCTTGTCGTACATTGTAACTACTATTAATTCTGTATTTATGAATACATTTTTAAAAATTAAAGAAAAACTTGTATTTTTCGGCTTTAAAATGTTGTATTTTGTATGGATGAAATGACGTTGCTATCCTGTATTATTTACGTGCACAATGATCAATGCAACGATCATAGACCAATAAAATACTGGTATTATATCTAAGCAGAATATTTATTTTTTTTTCAAATTGAATTTAACCTATATAACATCGTGCCAAACGAAAAATTTCGTATAGAAATGTAATAGCAGTATTCGGTATTTGGCAAGTTACCCATTAAAAACGAAGAAAGTACGACGTTTCTAAAAGTACTTTGGTTTATTATTATTATTATTATTACTGATTTATAGATACAAATTACAAATTTTATTATGATGAATTTATTAAGGAATATTAGCAAATTAAAAAAAATAACAAAACGAAAATATATACGTCATATTATATCTAGGAGCAGATAATATACCTAACCTAACCCATCAACATTTATTTTTATATAAAAAAGAAAACGATTTAGAATATTGAAACAATTTTCAAACCATGATTTGAAAAATATAAAACCTATTTTTATTTTTAATTATTTTTACGAATACCAATAATAAATCGAGTAGCATTATTTTTATAACAAAGAAGGATATCCAGATATTTTATACAAAATAGGCGGCAATTTAGATTAATGCGGCACTGATAAAAACGTATATACATTTTAACCAAAATCGCTATACAAGATATACTATTTCAAAGATGAAGCTCTCGGTTTCGACTAATCAGTAATCGTTAATAATTCACAATTGCACATTTTATTTGCACACTGTTTTTGAGCCGGATTTGCAGTGAGAACACAACGAAAATCCGTTGCTGGGAAAATGTACCTCCATATCGATAGTTAGTTTTAACATGATATTTACTGTCTATAGTTTTTTAATGGATCCAGTACTCACTACTAGGGTAATATTATAATACAAGCAAAAATGTATTTACGTACAATAATCGTATTAGGTATTAGTATAAAACCGATTATCAACAATCGATATTAGGTTACATTAAATCCTACGTATTTGTGGACAATATTTGAGTAGGTATATAAAATGATCGCCCACCTAACCAATAATCAGACGTGGGAGGTAATTTGAGTAATAAATACCTACCGAATGGTATAATTTTTTTAACGGAAAGACAATATTATACTGTGTGACCATTTAACTGAGATTGATAAACGATTTACAGGTATATGATGGTCTGAAGACTTATTATTTGAAAATATCAATACAACTATATTATATGATCTGAAAAAAAATCTGGGCACACTATCGTCATGTGTGCGGTTTTGAATTTTTTTATACGATTTATTTATTTTTAGAAAAACTACCGCAAGAAATCCGCTTTTTTATCATGTATGGTAAAGAGTTTGGGAATATTTTTACTAATCGAAATAGTAATTTGAAAAACTTTACTTATAGTTACGTCGCATATAGTATAAAACCAATAAGTTGATTATTAACTAACAGCGTCTTTATATATAAATATATAACTATTTAACAATATTGTCTATTATATGCTCGTATTATTCACTTAATCAATAAAAATCGAATGTGATACATAATATAATGTTCACTATGATATTTTTGAAGCTTTCGTGCATCGATACAATAATAGGTATAATAATAGCTGTTTCCGACTTTTATTGTTTATAATATTTAGTACAGCTTATGTTGAAAATTGGATAATATCGAATGATCGTTCAGTATAACTGATTTTATGCCATTTAGTTTTAATATATTAGATGAGTGTTATTGGCCTATCATCAAAATTAAAAGTAAGGACATTATGTTTGAACTTTGATTTTTTTTCAATATTTTAATTTTCAAGGGAGAATACAGACATTTTTAAATTGTTATATTTCACATATCTCGTTAAAAAATTAAAATATTGAAAAAACTTAACGTACAAACATAGACAATGTTCTTATTTGTAAGTTTGAGTCACTATAATATTAAAATTAAATGACACAAAATCGGTTCTACTGAACGATCATATGACATTAACTAATTTTGTACATTAGTCATAACGCCCATACCATACGAGTATAAGTAACTGTATATTATATTTTTATCATAACATTTCAAGGCACGGATCGTTATAAAATAATGATGATATATATTATTTATTATTACAGTAATACTATATATATATTATATATCTACTCATCACGTCTCGAAAAATCGATTCGTATAATATAATAGTCGAGTATTGTTGTTATAGGTAATACAGGTATTATATTACTTATAAGTTATAGTTGCGATGCAATCGACAGTCACGTTTTAATTTGCACAAACGTTTTGGACCGAAAGACCGGCGCGGCAGCGATAGGTAATCGATAGGTAAGGTACCCATATTACAATAATATTATTATACCTGTCACGAATCAAAGAGAACCGTCAATTCCACATCGTTTTCGTCGGTCGAAGGAGTTTAATACACTAGGCAAAACTACGAGAATCGTCGCGCATACATAATAATTGTATTATCTGAATAATATAGTATTATTGTTCTGAGTCTAGAGACCGGATTTGTATGCGTTTAAAATGTTAAGGATAAAATGTGTGTTTTCATGCACTATAATTTTATTGAAATATTTTTTTTCCTAAGCATTTTGATGTTTCATCAAAAAACAAAACTATAAAATACTAAAAAAATGCTTAAGACAATTTTGTATAGTCAATTCAAGAACATCAAATTTTGAAAATACATACACTTGTACCTAAATACTAATACAATAATACACTACACACACTTAAGACCAAAAAATAAAAATAAAAAAATTTATATTAGATAAAACATCAAATCCTCGGGATCGAAGATGTATTCAAAGTAGTAAAGTAGAGGTCTAACTGTGAAATTTATTTATTCAAAACACAAGCTTCGTAATCGAACGCAATGAAGATCGAAATTTGTTTGTATTTTTTTAGAAATCAACCATTATAATACATTTGTTTTGTAAAATTTCTTAAAATCTCAATATTTTGCGCTTTTTATATGTATTAAACACTTTTGAATGTATAAGTTTATTTTCATGTCAATTATTCATCGAGAAAGCTCGATCAATTACAGTCGCATAATTTAGTCTCATTATAAAAGCATAATAACTACATAAAAATCCGGTAACTAATAACAAATTATACGAATATTCGATAATTCGTGATTAATATTTATATTATCGTCTAAACACATGAAAAGTGTGCAGTAAATTATGAGTCGTCGTGTCGTATTATAATAATAACGTGAACCTACCTATTGAGAAAACCGCAATGGATTCGGTGTGCGATTTTTTTGAAAACTGACGAAACAAGCGAAAGAAAAAAAACGCGTTGTACACCTATTATATAGGGGTATGCCACGGATAATGGTTTTGTTTTGTAAGTGGTCACGTTCAGCCAAAACAAAAAAAAAAAAAATGGAAAAAAAACGATCGCCTTCAGAATTTTCGCCTCGTGTAGAAAAAAAATGGATGTACGGGTTTCGCACAAATGCCAAAGTTTGCAAAAAAAAAAAATATATTTATATTTTTATAAAAAAATAAATAAAAAAAAATCATAGTTACAGAATGACCTAAAAAGTCTACTGGAAATAATTTAAGTGGCCCGAATACGGAACCGCGACGGCCACCCAGACGAGTATTTTAATCGTCTGACGCGACACTATTATAATATTTTACGACGTGAGAAAAAAAATTATAATAACAATAATTCATCGTTCTTTATTACAACAATAATAGGTTGATGAATGTAAACGAAATATTATATTTTTATACGCGTGAAAATATTATAATATAATAAGAGTAACACTCTTAAAGTATATAAAATCGCAAGGGAAATAACTTTTCCACGTGTTTATTGCGGGGTATTCGGAATAAAAATCCCTAGAGGAAAAAATCTGCAACCCATATTTTTTTTTTTTTGTTTAATTAAATTTCGTTATTTAAATCGTTAACCGACTTAATTATTAAAAACAGTCCATTTGTCCTACTCAGGTAAGTTTAGGAGAAAATTTGTCTTTAGTCTTTTTTATAATATAAAACTTCATAGGTATTAATGTGATATACTTAAATTATTAACAACTAAAACTATTTTTCCCTAACGGCAAATTTACAGGTAAATAGTAAATATACGTGTCCGCGTGTCTACGGGAATCTGTAAAAACCATAGTTGACTAGAGACGTTTGCACTGGTTAGTGACCTCGGACACTGTTTTTTTTTATCGCCATTTCATAAGAATATTTGTTTACAACATATACTGGAATCTTGAGCTGCACAATTTAGCACATTTCGTACTGAGCATTTAATGCTCGAAAACACGCTGTTTCAGGCCCTGGCTAATTGGATGTAAACTTTAATATGGGAATATTTAAAAAAAAAAAAAAAAAAACTATACTATTTTACCGTATCTTACGTCTCTTTGAAATGTGGCACCCGATGCCAATGCTCTCTATACCCTTTATAATTAATACATCCCTGCGGTCAATGGCTGGTATCTATGGTAACCGTTAACAGAATTTGTTTTTCAACTATAATAATATATCGTTAACAACAATCGTATTTATCGGTCGAGACGGTACAGTCATCGTCGTCTAGGATGGACGTTATTGTTTCATCGTGTGACCGCGCCGCCGCTCGTGTATATCCGGTCATTGTGTATATCATATACATCATATATATGTGTGTGTGTGTGTTTGTATGTATTTTTGTGTGTGTGTTTGTGTGTATTTGAGATCGGCAAGCAAAGACCGCTACGCGTGTATCGCTTTGAACCGACACAACCGCGCGAGACGACACCGCGGCCTTCGGACCGGTGTCCGGACCCGTATGCAACAACAACAGCCCTTATTTGCCGCCGCCGCCGCATATTCTTCATTTGTTTCTTTTTCTTTCTAGACGTTAGTTTGACGCCTATGACATTATACCTACACCTATAAGTAAATAATACAATAGACGGCGGACCACGCGCGGGTTCTTTATTTGAAAAAAAAAAAAACAAAAAAAAAACACGCACACGTGAAAATTAATTTGGTTTTTTCCCTACTTACCGCCCGCCCGTAACCGTAATTACTATTGTTGTTGTTGTTGTTGAACGCGCGAACCGCGGGAGGACGTTGTCCGTCCGTATATAATATTATTTTATTACACACATACTGCTGTCGCTGCGGTACATAGTTCCATTCCATTAACTACCTTATACCATACTTATATAGGTATACTTGCCACATATAGGTATACTATACTTAACCGCTAACATGGTCGGGTCGGTGTGTATAGGTGTATATGTGTATATGTATAGGTATATACGAGGTGTATACTCGCCGCCCGCCGCCCACCGGAGAGACGAACAACCGATTGACACGTGGAATGCGTTTAGGAAAATAATAAAAAGTATAAAAGTATACGAGTATTATAGCCGTATAGGCACGGTTTTTCGAAACATACGTGATCGTTAAAAAGATAAATGTGCTTAAAAACGATTTATAAAAACAAACACGCCGCGGCCGCGATATACACCCGCAGGTTTAAAGACGAATGTGTAATCGTTATAAAACAATAACCGGCAGAGACCGTGTAATATAGTATCAGCTTTAGGTATTATTACTCTGTGCGAGTGAAATAACAATAATTCAATATTAATATACGGGTCTGGCGTTGAATAAAATAACCTGTCGTAAAACCGGGAGTAGTGGGAATTAAACGATTGTTAATTATTGCAGGATATGTGGTGTGGTGGCCAAGTGTGGTAAAAGTTCTTAGTCTAAGAGAAACGCTTATAGCAGGAAAAACGAGATAGTCATGTTGAGTAAACGACCCAAGATAAATAGTCAAGAAGAGATCCGTGTAGTATAGATGGGAAGCCGGGGAAGAGATGCGTCAAATAAAGTGGCTAGAGGTTAATTAAAAGGATTAAGGGGAGATACGAGGACACGAGGAACTGGATGAAAAAAATGACGATGGGGATAGGACAATTTGGAAGAAAAAATAAGAGTTTACTATTACACGTATTTCGTAAGGTAAACGCGAAGAGAAAGAAGATTTCAATCGTCAGAATCTCAGAAGCCAGTAATTTCTTTCCTTCTCGTTTTCACTGTAACGCATCAATAAGACTTTTCCGTAAGTTTTTAATTTTACCAGGAAAAATAGTAAAACATATATCTGAATAATAATGATCTAGGTATGTAACTACTTTGTTGGTACACGCGTATTACTGCAGTCTGCAATAGTTATAGAAATACAATTATACAAGTATAAATGCGGATGAAAAGTTTAGAATAATTGTATACTATTGAAGTCATTACGCGTATAATTACTTCAATCGAAAACGTGTTATTATATAATAATATTGTAATATAAAAACAGTATAGTAACTGGAACAAACGTGAAAGTATAGGTATAAAATTCATAACAAATTATAATTTTAGATTTTTTAGGCATGATACCTATGTAAAATCTTAAAAATACGCAATAACAATCAAATTTCATAACATCGTCAAAATAATTATAATAATATGATTATATATGATTCTTTGATTACACAATAGTATAAAAAGTAATCTTACCTGATGGACAAGAAAATAGGCCTGTTCCAGGAGTTTGAATCTGAAAAAAATAAAAAAAAAATTCAAATTAGGAAAAAAATTTATTCCGGTACCGGGAATCGAACCCGAGCCTCCTGGGTGAAAGCCAGGTATCCTAGCCACTAGACCATACCGGATTGTTGAAAACAAGTGAATTAATAACTTATAAGTATATCAAAAAATGTATAAACTATATTAAGTATTTAATATTAATATTAATACTAATCACAATTATCTGTAATTATTAATCTACGTAGATAACTATGGCACTAATACGTTTAAGATATACTGAAATACTTATATATTTTCAAACGATGCCGGCCAATACTCGAAATACTGTGCAACACAGCAGGATAAACATCTAATGATAAATTGTTAATAATTATAGTTGTCTTGATAGCGTTCATGTCAATTTCATGTATAGGTTCTCTACCTATGAGAGAGTATTTATCACTATAGTAATAAAAATAATTATAATCGACTCGTTGATATTACAATCCCGGGTGGGCTCGAGGGCATAATATAATATCTAATATTATAATGGTTACAATTCTTAATTAAAAATTTAATAGTAGTAAACCTTTCGGATAAAACGTTTTTCAAAATAATTAATCTTGACAATCAGTAAAATCCTATAACAATGATTGATTACAATAAAGAATGGCCACTCGTAGTATGCAGATAGATATTATTATCGTGTACTTTGGATCAGTAGCACATAGAGGAATTATTTTAAGAGCACTTACAATTAACAAAAGTACCAACCCGTTTTTGTTTAATATGTATATTATTACATATAACTTATAACATATGAAATGCTAATAAATAAATATTAATTTATAGACATCGGAAAGAAAATGCAAGGATTGTTATGAACTTTTTTCAGAAATTTGAATCAAAAAATTAGAAATGCCGAAAGACATATTATATTTATCATTTATGGATATATTTTTATCTCAATTTCAAGGCTAGAGCTCAAAAATACATAATATTTGGTTCGGTCTGCGTGTTCAGTTCAGACCAGATCGAATTGCGGTCAGGTTCTATTTATAGAATAACATATAAACTTAAGACTCGGTTATGAGTGTTCACAATTCAGTAGAATAAGTAGGTACGTAATTTAATTCGGCTCGGTACCACTGAAAACCACATTACCTACTGCTGATTCAGTTCGGTCCGGTTTTGGTTAAACGTGATTTTGATGCAGTCTGAATCTTGGTTACGGGGTATTTAAAAATAATGTTTGTGCTATATTACTTTAAAAAATTCATAGTACAGAAATACAGTATGAAAACAAACTTTGTACGATTATTATTATTAAATAATTAACACAAATTAACAGTAATGAGTTATACCTTAATTTTAATGTAGAGGATATTATGTTACATTATTATAGTGTTTCCTGAACAAAATTAAACCTAAGTCCTAAAATAAATTAATCGAATACCTAGTAATAATAATAATATATAATATATACAGTTCATCTCCAGAGATAAACCATCATAGTATTATTATATAAATTGCCGGTCCATCTTATATTCGATTTTTCAAAGTTATTACCGTGGATTGTTGTTATTATTGTAATGTATATAATATTTACGATCGATCAGTAACGCTTATTCTGGCGACATATTTCCATTGGGCAAATAACTCGATTTGCTACGAAGGTCGAATAACGAATAGTTACATATAGAAAATAATGATATCTTATAATATACCTATACCTATATTTTGTGGATTGTTATTTTTACGATGCGGCATCTCTACGAAATGGTACCTATACAGTATATGAAGTAGGTTAACTGTTCGTTAGCAGTTCGGCAGACGATATTTTTATGAAATACTTTATAATTCTCCATAACCGACCGCTTTATGGCCATTGGCCATATGAGATTGGCGAGGTGGCCTAAATAGTGCGTAAAAATGTATTATCAATGAAACCAACGCGGCATAATGTATAATAGTAGGGTATATTATACACATTGTACTCGTATTACATTGCGACTGGCTGTAACGAAAATGGAATGCGGGCACTTGAATTTTAATAATGACTATACCTGCCTATATATTATGGTTTTAATTGATTGTAACCGCTTTAGAAAAATAAAACACAATTATCCATAAAAAAAATATTAAAATATAAAATAATTATTTAATGGGTCTCTAGTACTCTCTACACAACTTGGCTGTAATAAAAAAATCATTCGGTCGAAGTCATCTTGTAAAGTCTTGTTTATAATAAAATGTATAATAGGTCTCTTTACCCTAAATTCAATCAGAGATTCACCATCGTGGAAATATGAAATGCCTTTGTTGCTATATTATTATGCACGAGACAAAATGTTGTGAAAAAAAATAACGGCACTAAGTCGTCGCTGCAGAACACAAATTAGCTCGCGTACGTTATTTTTACGACGGACACAGCATATGGGTACCACATGAGTACTACCATGTCATTTCAAGGGACAAAAGAAAATATCCACAAATAATCTATCATTACAAAAACACGTATGCAAATGTTTTATACAGAAAAATTGAGTAATGAATTACGTAGGTATATAATTTACTGATGTTTAAAGTTTAAAGTGTTGGAATCGAACGGGTTTTTTTTTATAAATTACCCAACGAACGAAAGGTCGTTTCATTTTAACGTCTATAATTTTCATAAAATAATTTTTAATTCCGAGGAAAATATGTATATATGCAACAGATATAATATGTCGATTTTTTATCAAATATAACTCACGTATATTATATTTTAATTTTTTATATGCAAAACGATAAAAAAAATGTATAATATTCGTTTTAAAATGTATTAAAAACCACAATGTGAGTATCTACATGTAATATCGAATAAAAACCTTGGACTAATTCAAAGTAAAATAAAATTAACATTGATTCCCGTACAACACATATAAATTTATGTCAGTCGTAAAAAAAATAATATGCTGTACCGTATACATATTATACATTTATTAGAGGTTTTTTTTTTTTAATTGTAAGAAATCGTAGATCTATTAAATTTGTTTGTCTTGTACTTACTTACCTGCCTATACCTATACCTCTACTGTTTTTTTATTTTTATTTTTTATAAAATCATTAAGGCCATTAGAAACGCAGAAATTCACGCGCCAAATACGGTCTTACGGAAACATACAATTATTATATATTCTGTGCTTAAACACGATGGTGAAGAATAATAAATTGAACCCAATGATGATTGTAAAACAGAAAAATTGTATATTATAAACAAGAAAATCACTCGGTAATAATAAATCCAATTAAATAAATGATTTGTATTGAATATAGATATGGTACATGTAACACGTACCTAGATAATATTATTCTGAAAAAGAAAATTTGTTTTAACAAAAAATAAACTTTTTTTTTAAAAATCATTTAACTCAATGATTCTTAAAACGGCATTGTAGTACCTTCATTGTATACTATAGTGTGAAACCCTGTTTAGAGTCTTTAAAGCCAACATATGGATTATAGTTTACTTATTTCAAGTGAACCGTTTGTTCACTAATCACTTGATGTTTCTCCAACAATAACATTCATCAATAATACATTATAATACATCCTATTTTTTTTTTCACCCATGACAGGATAATGAATCTCCGAGGTATGAGGAGGTAGCGTTCATAACGATTTGCCTATCTGTCTAACTTTTTAATTATACTCAAATTATAAATTCATAATTATATAAACCTATGAAAATAGTTTTGGCGATAATACCATAAAAAAGTAAATTAAAAAGGCAACAAAAATGTCTCATGCGATGTTTCGATTAAATCATTTTTTTTTTTTGGTAGAAAACGTGGTCCCTGTTTTTATAAAATAATGAAATCGTGAAACTGTACGTTTTCCTACTTTTTTTCCCATTTAAGAAAATCAAAAAATAACCTCTTTAAAATACCATCTGGATAACTTGAACTTTCAGGAAAGTTGCTACATGTAAAAATTGAAGCAAGTTTACTAGAAAATAACGCGTCCACAGACTAAAACAAAGAAAAAAAAAATTAACATTTTAGTAAAACCAATAGCTCGATACGCTCAGAATCTAAAATAAAATTTGTACGTGATTTATAAACTCAAAAAACCCTGAACCAATTGGCACCAAATTTTGCACACGCATTGCTTGAGACTCGGGAGGATTTATAGCATAAGCGTAAATAGGAGAGGATCTTGGAAGTTAACCTACTAAGAAAGGATTTACTCAATATTTAACTTTTAAAGGCTGAAGAACGAAATAAAAATGTATTTTTTTTTTTAAATTGGCAGACTACAACGTTTAACTGCAGTGATAGTAAAGAAGATTGAAACAGAGAATCACGGAGTAACATGTTTTTATTTTTTCATTTTGTTTTTCGTTCTACTGACACGGGAAAAACCGTGCAGAATAACTATTAAGTAATAAACATTGGTCAATAAAATAGTCCAAAGTAGACAGTGGTGCATGGAGGAATTTTGAGAGTTTACGGAGTTAACAAATGTATCCAGCATTCACCCACACAATTTTTCTTTTTAAGTATTTTTAAGATGCTCTGTGACACCAATACGCCAGTGATAATTTATACCAATCCCCTCTAGAACACGCACGCAGTTGCATTACTTGATAACCACCCATAGTCTATGCGCTACTAAAAGTATAATAATATAAATTTTAATTAGGTAAGTAGAAAATGATTACTGATTTAATATTACATATTATAACTGTATATTATAAACGTCGATAAAATAGTGTGAACATGTATAATTATACTATAAGAATTATTCTTAAATATTTTTTTAAAATCCAAAAACATCACGATAATATTATTATTAAAATAACCGCCTTACATTCGCCAACCTGGTCAAAGAGTCAAGGCCACGGCGTGTAAGAAAAATACCATTGAAAATACTTGTTGTTACTATAATAATTAGTTATGGGAGTTTACACACCTTTATAACATAACTTTTATACCTACCTGCATACTCATGGTTAAGTCTCAACTATTTTTATATATAAGTATACGAAATGTGTATTATGAATTTATTTTAATATATAGAAACTAAAAATGAAGAAATTCTGTTTCGTGAAACATTATTATCGTAACTATTATATATTTTATTTTATTTATATTTATATTTTTTACACTTTTTCATATTGATTTTTTTTATTGTTTAGAGATTGATTTCTTATATATATATTATTAATTTGAATAGAGTTAAGTTGGGAAGTTCAAAGAACGTCCTTAATTAAGCTATGTTATTGTTATCGTATTATTATAGTATAACTGGGAATAGATATAGATAGGTAGCTACTGTGTAGTTTGTTTATCGATTTTTTCGTACCTTTCAAATATTCAATTTAATAAGAACCACCAAAAGGTATTCAAGAAATAAATTCAATTAAAATTAAAACATACACAATATGATAGACTCAACATAAAACATTATATTATACTTTGTTGTTACAGAATTTTTACGTCAAAATAATAATTGTAATACCTACTCAGAAAATCATATTGTCTATGTATTGTATTTATTTTTGTTTAATAATAGAAGCCTGTCTGTAACTGCAGTGGCCATTGACCAAAAATAAATTTGTATTATTTTTTTGATAAAATAACAAAATTATGATTTCAATTTTATTTTGATTGGGTATTTAACTTATATAGATACAAGAAATTAAACTTATTATTAAATTTAGTTCTATAAATTATATGGACATTTTATATTTTCATATAATATATGTGTCAGGGTGTACGATTTATACGATTTATAGAGTCGTATGTAATCGAACGTTACTGGTCCATATTATATCATGTAGAAACATTTTAAAAGTTTTAATGGTTTCAATAAAAAGTTTCATAACTTATTTCAATGACGCAACTTTGTATACATGGAAGGTAGGTAAAAATTGTTTTTACATAATCGTTAGTACATCGGCTATACATCGGTTGTGCAGCTGGTGCAGGTAACTGGAGAGCTACACGCGTATAAGTTGTTCGACCACATTACCACAACAGTTAAAAATTCCCTCGAGAAATATTATAAGGTGTTATCGTAAAAATATTATTCTACTATCGTGATGTATGCGTGCCACTTTCACAGAGTACCTATGTGTAAATATTTATAACACATATATGTATATTATATAGCCACATAGACACTGAAACTTCAAATTAATAGTACTGAAATGTGAATTTGTTTTTTAGTGTGTATGTAGACGCATATATCTATAATATTTGAGAGGTTTAAGTCCCCATAATATTGATTATATATACTTAATATTAACTTCATAAGGACTTGAGGGGCTTGAATGAGTTTTTGGGGGATAATTCCTCCTCCTAGTCGACTTTTTTTGGGCCAAAGATTCGTTTTCACGTATAGATAATCTATAACTATACCTTCATAGAACTATTCGGTTTAAGTAGGTACCCATCATGCTGTCTCCCGAAATATGTTTATTTAACCTAAAATTTCAAAAAATTACAATAAAATCGTAGGGTTAATAATATAATTTTAAAACTTATTAATTTACAAGGATACCGGAAAAAGAGTATTAAATATTTGACTAAATATTATAGTTTACGCAATATGGATACATAATATTGAAACCTTTCTAATTATGAATTAAATATTTAATATAATATCTTAGTTTTATATACTTCCTCCATTTTCTATAATTGTTTTATAGAAATGAAAATGTGGTTAAAATGATGTGGTCAATTTCGTGTTATAATTTGAATACTAAAAGTACATAGAGCACCAAAATTATTTTTGACAACGACCAGTTTACTTTACAACAAAATAAATATATTTATTTTAGAAAATTAATGTAATTTTTTGTTCGTTTAAAAGTTTTAAGCAATACAAGTTTATTTTGTTATAATTGTGGATTTATTTGTAGTTACGTTATTTCTCGATGATAAACCGTGCAAGATTTATAGGTAGGATTGAGTTAAGTTTATGATATAAAAATTCGTTAGGTATCCTATAATATGCCAACTGCCACACTTTCCCCTTGTATATTATATATCTTTTGATTCATTTTAATTTTTTGGTCTTATAATAAAAGACGCGAATAAAGAGTATAATATAAAAACGTGTTACATCATTACGCTTAATTTGAAGTGAACGTATAAACGTAACCACGAACCACAGTGTCTGAGATTGTAGATTATTATATATTATACATTGAATAGGTAGAAAATAATGAAATTGTCAACAGAATTATCATTATTATATCCTTAGGTAACTGAAATAATATAGGCCTGTTGATGTAACAGTAAAATAAAATTGTGTTTCCACAAGATGGAATATAGATTTTTTTTTATTATAAACTATATTTTAATAGTTATGAGTAATGACTAATGAGCAATGACTATAATGATAAGTACAGTAAAGTAAAAATGATAAATAAAGTGTAATGTACCTGAGACAAGACGTATGGAAGAGTGACGACCAGCAAAATGGCCGCATATATTTTTATCCTCATTCCAGCTAATGAAACTGTAAAAAAACAAAAACAAATTTTAAATTAATAACTACAATATTAAACTTTTTTGGTGCAATAAACAAATATAATTTTGTATTTTATGACTAAAAATAAAAACATATTCAAATACTAACTATAAACGACACAAACGATTTTTTACGAGTAATTGCACATTTTTAGTAATCAGACACACCGATAACTAGTATTATAACATTACACAATAATGTAACAATCAACCAGTAAATAATAATTTATTTATTTCAACATTTTAAAATTATTTTTTTCTGAAATAGGTATAATAATTGATTTTTTTGAAATAATATCGATACTATACCAGAACTAATATCTAATACATGGTTCATATATTTTTAATCTACTAAGACTAACATTAACTATATAGTGAATTGTATGTATAACCTGCAACACTTTTATTGTGAATTAATAATAACTATTTAACAGAAAATTATACTTCCAATACTCTATATTACATTGAATATATATAGAAATGTATAATTTATACATTTTAAGGTGGGATGAAAGCTAGTGAATAACAGGTATAATATAGGATGATCACATGTATATAATAAAACTATGATATACTTTTTGTATGGTACAGTTTATAGATTATATAATAGTAAAAATGCCTATATACAATGTAGAAAAAACAAGAGAAATTGAAATCGTAAAAAAGTTAAAAATACAGTTTTAAAAAAATGTATTGTAAGTACCTATTTTATTACAAAAAATTACAATTTACAATAATATATACTAATCTCTTTCGATTTAGGGACATGATGATTCTTGTAAACTCTTTTTGGGTAATCAAAATCAAGAGATCATCTTAATTTGATTTTTTTCACAATATTAAATTTAAAACATTTGATAAAAAGTTAAACATAATTCCCACGGTGATTATCCCCGCCAACCCGCAATCCTTCAATTTAAATATAGTCGGTTGTGGTAGATTATAATATAGGTGTGCCAATTTATCTATTTTTATTTATACATCTAATACCCTACCTGATGAAATAGAATGTCCCTCTTTATTTTATAAATAAAACATATATTTCAGAGTTCCAGTACAACAAAAAAAACCACGGTCATCTGCATGTTCTTATCGTATCCTGTTAATATTATGTACATGAATTCAAAAGTTTCTCTACTCAAATATAAACTATTATCATCAAAAAAAAAAAAAAATGTTTTATTTTAATGTTGGATTTCAAGGATTTTGGATAGTCTTCTAACCACCTACTCTCAAACTAATAGACCGTTATGATTACCTATTAAATCAAATGATTTTTAAATTACATTTTATTATAAAAATTATTTGGGTCAAACACAATTGCACTATAAAGATTTTTATTTCAAGAATACGAGTACCATTGTCATCTATCAAAAATATCACATATCATAATAATTTGAACCTTTAGAATATCTTCGTTAATTTGTTACTTAATAATCTATTTTTATTTTAGCATACAGTCTAGCACACCGCATGATATAATAATACTGTAATTTATATAAATCATATCTACCTATAATATATTTTAAAGGTCATTAAGGTGTGTCATATATTATTTATTCGTCTATATACAATATAATATTAGCTAATATTACATTTACATTGCAGTATATAATAAGCAATTATATATTAATATATTAATCAGTACCTGCATACATAATATGTTAGGTTAAACAGGAGTAAACAGTGAATTGCAACGATAAACTTAATAATAAAATTAATGTGGGAATCAAAGTTGTTATATATGCTTAATCTTTACATCAGACGACTGCATTATGCAACACATATTATATATAATATATGCATTTCAAGTACGACAAATATTGACTATTAATTATAATATAATATTATGTAGGGTACTAGAGTATTCCACGAAGATATACTCATTGCGATATCTCGGAAAGTATTCATTTTTTTCGGAATTTAGTTTTGATGATTTAAGAAACAAACAACTCTAAAATGTTGTTTGGCCCCCTCCTAAAAATAAGGGTGACAAAAAGATAATGGTAATATACTATTTTAGAGTTATTAATTCTTAAAATGTCAAAACAAACAAAGTTTGTATGTCGTTTTTTAGGGCTCTCAAATTTACAATATTTTATATGATTGTTATTATTATAATATGAAATATATTATATATATATGAGATCTTTTTAAAAAGAAGTGTTTTACGTAAAATCGTATTAATTATGCATTAAAGGGGGCTAGTGAAACTTAATCCCTCCTCCCCGGAGGTCTTAAATTAAAGGAATCTTAAATTCTCTTATATTTTTTTTTTAATGCTCCCTTGGTTGCGCCACTGTATTTATTTAATATTATGATAGGATTCAAGCCCTTCCAAGGTTTATGAGCCAATTACATGTAACATATAGCTAACTACATGAAATCGTCTGCAGCAGTGGAAAGTTTTGTAACGTATTTATTTCGAACAATCATTTAAAAAAATATTAGTATTTATGTTTATTTTGTTCGATATCATGGGACACCGCGGTGACAGTTATTCGGTTTGCGAGTAAAAGCCTTATACTATGTGATCAAGGTCCGATATATTAACAAAAATGAATAGTTATAAGTTTGAGAAGGTTATCGGCGAGGCTTATGTCAAATATTATATTATTATAACGTTCGTACTTCACGGTATAAAGATTCCAAAATATATACAATTTACAAAAGTAAGGACTCACTGAAAAGTGTACTGTATTATTATTTAAATAATAATATATACGAGTACCTACCTAAGTTCAGTAAGAGTATCTTCATAATTCTAATTTAATACTTTTTACATTACTTAATTCTTATATATATAATTCATATATTATTATACTTACATTTAACACATCGCTATAATTTACGTGGTTTTTATTCATTCGGTTTCTCGAAGAATAACTGTTTTTTTTTCTTTTTTTAATCTCTGACATAAATTTAACTTCTGTCTAAAGTATTTAAACTTTCTTTTATATGAATAAAATGCACAAATATAAAATAAATAGGTAAATCATACTTATAGTTCACTAACGAAAATGTCCTAAAATATAGGTATAATCGGATTTTGGATAACATATTTTTAAAGTTTATTTAACATCGGCTTCTGTAATTGTTGGCTATAAATCTATAATTTTGGTCCTATATATTGAATGAAACGAAATATTATATCCGATTTCTAGCGAGTTCCTATTATGATTATTTTTTACGTTACCAAGGTAAAGTGAACAAATGGGTGAGGGCATCCATGTTTACTGTGTATGTTCACTTGTTCGGTAATAAAATACATAGCGTGGTCACATGAAAGATGGGCGAAAGAATGTAGGACGAACAACGGTGCCTGGCCGCGACTTAATAACAACATTCCAAAACCGGGTTGGGTTTTTTTAACATATGGAAATTAAGTGATTTCGTATACGGAAACGAGATTTGTTCGTCTATATACTCCACCTATATAATAATATTTCGTCCGGTACGACGAACAAATCGAAAATTGTCACGAGACTATATTACTATTTTGCAGATGTGTACAGTTCAATTATTTTACTTAAGAGTAACCAAGAAAAGTACAAGCGCTGCAGACATGCTGCGCAGTGTCTTAAATATTGATTTCAAAAGAGAAAGGTTTTTTTTTTTTTTGTTTCTTATGCCTTGTGTTTATGTATATACCTATATAGTGTCTATACCTACTCAACATTAATCCCGTGCAAACTAACACGAACGAGCATCGTTTGATATACCTACGTAAAACAATCATGTGAAAAACGAAAGGAAATAATATGAGGTATTATATTATAGTCTTGTCATTGACACAATAACGTGACTAGTTTTTACGCACTTGAACTTCAATCCGAAAACCTATTTATATACACTATATAGAGCTCTACAATAATAATATGACGCAACCACCGACGACCCGCACTCTTCTAATATCCCCGATATTAATGGTTTACCCTTGTAATGTTCTAATATTATCACAATTGTCTGGCTGTCGATAATTTTGTTTTTGTACAAGAAATAACTGCATAAGTGTTCAGAGTAGGTACTTACTATATTATTAGATAAAGATAAGTATAAGTTATTAACAAAACTAACATTTTCAAAATCGTGAATTGTATTTTTATTGTCACAATAAGTAAGATTATATGATTAAACCAATTGCAAGTGGTGTCATCACAATGTTTTTGGAAAACTAGGACAAACTCCCAAAATTTGCTGACCAACGAAGAAAGGAGTAATTTAAAGTTAAAATTAAATGTTTTCGATATTCACTTGAATTTTTCTTTTCATTTGATAGATAATTCAAATATTGTCATACTTCAAGAAAATAATTACATATTTTCGTGTCATTTGAACTTGATATTTAATTTATTGACATTATTGTAAAAAGAAGTGAAAATCGAAAAATAAAAAAATCGAACTTTTGACTACGGATCTATTTTTGAGGATTATAGGAACAAAATGTATAACACATTTGATAATTTAGCATGATTTTTTCCCCAGATCAAAATCTATAGATCAACCGAAATATTTTGACCAGGCTCAAGACACTATAGACTCTCGAGTCCGACCATCTATATTATCACTATTCGTTATTCTTATAATAATCATAAAATATAACCTATAAACGATTAAACGTTGTATAGTTACTTATTATTTATTTGTAATTTGTATCGAAAAATACGAAATTTAAAATTAATTATAATATGATAAAAAATTTAACGGTATGAATTTAAAAATTAAAAAAATCAGTTAACCATAAAATTCAGCATTATATACCTAATTAACTGTTCAAACTGTGAAAAAAAAACAATATAATTCTGATTTCGGTATATTATCGAAACTAGTTTTGTATTTGCATCGTTTGATTCAACGATTCGACCATAGTATTTTCTTGCCTATATCTAAGCAATAAGCATATAATAATAGGTATGGATTTCTTTAGATACAACGCGTATATAGGTACAACATTTCAGCAAAATATGCGTTAGTTTTTTCGTCTTTAGCCGCTGCGGATGAACTAAAACTGGTTTCAAAAATAAACTCTCGTCTATATGTTGTTAAATTCAACAACTCTATAACGAGTTTTTTGGAATTTCAATTTTCCGTTCTATATCAAATATTCGTATGTACCTACTCGTCTTTTTATCTTCATCGTGATACATTTACCGTTATAAGTAAAATAAATGAATAATAATAAAAAAAGTAAAATTTTTAATAGATACTTCTAGGTACGAATAGAAATTTAAAAAATAAAAAAATTGTAGGTATAAATTATTATTATTACTATTTTAATTTTATTATATATGTATAGAGGTAGGTATTTAAAAATATACAACATGATGATTTTATTATCAACTGTTAAGATAATTACCGAATTACCTATATGAAATTTAATGTACCTAATAATGTAAAACTATAAAAGTGTGTGTGTCTCTATCTCTATCACTCTCTATTATCTCTTCTTTAGCTCAAGAACTCTTCAAGAGCCTTAGTCGTCAACACGACTTCTATTTGTGTATATCTCTAATACATTATTACCAATCAATATTTCTTACTTTCTCTTAATGAACTTGTTTAATTCCTTCCAATCAATACTTTTCAGGTAAACTTAAATATAAATATTTCAATTTTTTTTTAGTTAAATTCTAATATTATTGCCTACATCAAACATCAACAAACGTCCTATGTATACATGGGACATTTGTTACTAAAATACTAAAACTACATAGGGTACCTATACGAGTATAGTTAATTGAGCATAAAAAAAAATATTAGGTACCTAGTTATGGTATCATTTCAGAGTTTCTACAACATCGAGTGTATTATAGTCTAACGCATTGAAAGCCTTGTTATCATACAACAAAACATAGAATATTGTATTTTACCATTGAAAAGCCACTACTGGTCTTTTTTCCAATATAATAACCCGTCGTATCTTACAATACAACGAGGTACACGATACCTATACCTACCTACGTAATTTGATGAAATCTATTTTCCTTCGCAACATAATAGGCATTTCCGAGACAAACGGGTAAAATTATTATTAACGCTGTCCAAAATCAAAACGACAAGAATAACGTAGTAGGTTATAGGTACGTACACACGGATTTGCACAACTGCACACTAGCACCCTCTCCTTCGCCCCCGCATAAAATCATATTACTCACGACGACGGTGTTATTAAGACCAATTATTTAACGCGCGCGGGCGACACAAAGCCCATGACCACTTTCTCACGAAATTATCCGCCAAAAAATAGATACCTATCTAGATATCATAATGCAATTTTATAACAATAAAATTGAAAAAAAAAACATAGGTACCTATTCGTGTTTGTATATTATATTATTATTATATTACTGTAATTCATTTCCACGAGCTGGCAAAAAAAAAAAAAAAAAATAAAAAAATGTAGGTTAATATCGCGGAACGTTTCGTCATAGATCAAACGTAAGTATAGATATATGCAACTAAATATTATGATGAGATGAACCGTATTTGAAGGATTATAATAATATTCTATTTGATATTTTTTTATTATTATTAACCAATTAAACTGTAGGTACACCTAATTATATAACATTGATTATTCATCGATGACAACTAGTTATATAGTCTGCGTTATGGAGTTTTGAACTTGCGCTACAGTAGCTATAGAGTACAAAAAAAAATAGTAATAATACTACCGGATACGGAGACTTAACACTATTATGATCATGATGACTTTTTTTATTGTTTAATTTATGCAGGCTCGGTTACCTACCGAATACTAAAATTGTATAATATATATAGGTACGATTATATAGATATACATTGCGCGGGGACGTGTAAAAAAACGCTCGTCGAAAAATCAACACGGGTCAAAAACCCAACCGACCATACGTATTCCGTCACGGTGAATCGATGATAATAATAATAATAATAATAATATTATTATTTCAGTCACACCTATCATTCAAATGTCAAACTGTTCGTCTTGAATATTAAAAACTCACTCCTCCGCTCTCGCGTACGCGCGTGTGTTCGATTTGTATTTTTAAATACTTATTTCCGTGCTCCGAATGAAAATGTATATCTATACCTATCTACCTACCTACCTACTATTATTATGATGGCGTAGCCATATGTGTACGATTTTATTTCTTTTCGGAAGAAAACACAATAAGCGCACAAAGCATTGTTATATACCGTATAGGTATACACGACGATGACGTAATAATATTTTCAAAGCGAAATACCTCAGCGTCTTTCACCGTGTGTGTGTGTGTGTGTGTGTGTATGTGTATGTATGTGTGTGTGAGTGTGTGTGTGTATGTGCACGGTGCACACCCAGTCAAAGTCTTTTGCAAGTATATACGTACCTATAGTCAGACCAACCCTCGAAACGTACCCATTGAACCATTGCCAATATACCTGCGTTGAACACCTGCACGTATTATATTATAAGAAAAAAAAATTATTTGTAATATACTGCTGGTTGTTGTATGCAGGCTATATTGTAGGTACTCGTTTTTGTAAATCGTATAGTGTTTGTAAATGTGTTAACCCATATTATATATACAGCATGTTTAAATCAAATGATAACACGAAATTATTCAAACGAGTGGTGGTTGGAGGTACCAAAATACACAATTTGAGGTAATATTAATAATGTAAACCCTTTATTTTCAAGCAACTAATGTTAGTTACAACTGCATACTAATGTTCAATAAATTAAAATAGTATTATATTTTTTTATCAATTTTACATGTTTGTATCTCAGGTAATTTCGAATTAGAAAAAAATTATATTGATCAAATAAGCTGCTTGGAAAAATATAACTATTCAAATCTGATATTAAAATTGGTGTATCATGTTTCCGTTAAAGAAAATGTAATTTTTATTCCCCATGTGCGCAACACGAGATTTAAAATTTTGAAATTGTAGGCAAAAAGCAAACGAACATGCTTCTCACGATAGGTGAACTGCTGTTACAGATGAGAAGTTAGAAGATAGAGGGGAATTTAAATGTATATCTGTAGTCAACGATTAATCATTGTTAACCATAAACGATTCTGAGTGAAGTTCAGTTGTACGTGTTTTGAAAAGCTATAATATTTACGATTTAAAAATAATACATTTCGTAAATTTTCCTGTTTTTCCTACGTTTTTTTTTTCCAATTTTTCCCCATTTATTTTGAAAACCTCTGAAAAAAATCAAACATTGACTTTCTAGAGTACAACCACAGTTCAATATAAAAAAATAAACATATAATTGTTAAACAAATACATTCCTCGTTCCGCTAACAATCTAAAAATGTATCATTTAGAACCATGGATTTTCCTAAAAAAACTTACATTACACTCTAAGTCTATCCAGCTGAAATTTATATCATATTACCATTTGAGTGGCATACACTATATAACACTGAGTTATAAGCAGCGTATAAAAATATTTTCAATACCTACATTTTCTAATTAGTGTTTTTCAAACGATATGTAACGACAGAATTTTCATTGTAGGATTTCACCAGCTATTGTCTCGTCCGTATAAAACGAAAACATGTGTAACAATGAGCATTGATATCGAAATACCTAAACTATACCCATGTATAACATGATAATCAAATAGTAAAAGTGTTTTTGATCATGTCGATTTTCCGTTTTCTAGTATGCTGTATAGGTATATTGTGGTCAATTTCGAATAAACCGTTATAACAATAATAATAAAATAACCTATACTCAGGACTCAGAGCTGATGTCGAGAAGAGGTACTTAATTATAATAATTTAAGCTCATTCGATTTTAATATTATTTACCACATTCGTTTACCGAATAAAATTAGTTTTATGTTTCGGAGGAAGTCTATTTTTATCGTAAAACAATATTATAAAGAAAATGAATGATCTCACATTATATGATAAATATTTATCCGACCACAGTTATCATTTTTTGACTTTATGTCTCCATATCACAATGTATTCTCGTTAGCTATATATTATGAATTCGTCAACTACCTACCTCTTAAGTAGAAAATGCAAAAGCTCCAGTGAACTGCATACAATTCGCGTATTTATTATATTATACTTTTAATTAATTGGAGCCGAATTTGTTGGTTTATACCTATCTACTACTAAATAAATATAACCTTCTTCAGCGTTATTTTATTTTTTTCATTATAATTACGAGAACAATAATTAATAATTGTACAAGACTACCGTTGATCATGATGGGGTCTACTCGTCAGGAGTTTCACGAGGGAACCTCACGCGCATCGTTTGTTAATTAAAAAACTGTTTTAACTTCCATAAAAAAATATACATATATATATAGAGAGAACAATAATAATAAATAACAGTAGTATTTTATAGTAGTAATAGTAATATTATTATAATATAGTACAAAAATAGGTATCCGGAACATTTTTTTTTTGCGTCGTCACGCAGTTTTTCGTCCTGTGGGAGCTAAATGTAAAATATTATTATAGTAGTAAGTATTCACACAATGTCATTTTGGAGTTATAGGGTGAAAAAGACGAGACGAGGAAGGGGATTTACGAATGTAACGAGACGACGAGTATATAATACATAAGTCGAAAATAATATATTATTTATTATATCGGTGTTCGCCCAAAAAATCCACGGACAAAGAAGCCTAACACAAATATACATAAGAAAAAAAACAAATTTTTTTTATTCGAGGTTTTATTGATAAGCAAATGACTCGAGTATAAAGGTCACGTTTAAACATTAAACGGACTTTTGGAGAAAGCTTAAGTCGGAAAGTTAAATTAGAAAAATACAAAGGGGCCGTCCAAGACAATATTGGACAGATTAAATGGCGACTTAATTAGATGTGCTTAGCAGAGGCGTTATTTCAAAATTGTATGGGATCCAAAACCTATACCGAAAATTAAAATCAACTTGAAATCCGCTCGCGTAGCATGAAATCAATAATTGTCATACATAAAAATCTTTTTTTCAATCATCTGCACATATTCAGATGTGTAATACAATTCAAAAACGTATTTCGAATTAATTTCAATTCAAATTAGTTATTTTACAATATTAAACAATTAATATAATTAATGATAATACTTGTTGACAAAGCAACACTCCACTCAGAATTGTTTTTCATTGACAATGATGGTCAATCGTTGCGAACAGATTTACATAATAAATTTACCCTCTACCTTCCCAACTTCTCACCTACAGCAGCGGACCACCCATCGTGCGAAGTACATCCGTATCTTTTCGTGTTTTACAATGTTACTGATGTTATCATAATTATTATTTTTTTCATTTTTTTTCGGTCGGGGTTTTTTCGACCGATTTTCTATATTGAAACGTCCGCAGAATACTACCGAGTTCCGGAATAGTATTACTTATGACGAAGGCGACATTTCGTACGACCCGCGCACGCAGGCACGGGACGCGATTCGCTACAATAATATAATAATTACGTTCGCGAGCGACACGTAAAAGGACGTACCGCCGGCCGGCCGCGTCCGCGGCGAGTTGGTTGTCCGGTCACGGCGCGGCGGCCGCAGTTGGCACCGCGCGTCCTCGTACCAGCTATATAATAAATAATATTGACCGCGGACGACGACGGCGGTGCCAGCTCATCTTGGCGTCGGCGAAAGAAGGGAGGGGGGGGGGCGGCCGAGAAGTTCGATGCTCCCGACTTCCTATCTCCGCGCCGCGCGGCCGTTCGCCACACTACATTTTATAATAATATTATATTATTATTATTATTATTATTATTATTATTATTATACGTCACTGGGCCAACAACCGGTCGGGACGATCGGGTGAGACGCGCGGACTCCTCCGTTTTTTTCGCCGGCCAACGCCGCGGTGGCCGGCCGGTGACGCGCCTATCGAATCACTCGAAATACTATCATTATTGCCGTGCAGGTATGCGCGCGCGCGAGGAACGCCGCAATTAAAATGTAGGTAAGGTAACGAACGTGTTTTCTTCTCCCTTGCCAATAATAATATCGCGTGCGTATTAATTATCCCGCAGCCGCCGCCGCCGCCGCCGCCGCCGCCCGCCGCCGGGTTCGAGGCTGTTCGAACGGTGATCGAACTTTGTACGCGTACGAAATACGTATACGAATCGACAGGCGTGTTTAGTACATCGGTGTTTCGATCGGTTGTTTGGGAATTTGTTCGCCCGAATATGCGCAGCGGTTTATCGGCCGTTACATCGCGAAAACGTTTGGTTCGCTAAACTATCAATGACTCTTGCTGGGTTCACTACGGAGTAGCACTAGTAGTACAGCATTTGTGCGTGCAATTCAAATATCTTCTTAGCCGAGTGTTGTAGCGGCTACAGTACAACTAGTAGCCCTCTACTTCCAACCACTGCAATCACCCGCCCGTCTTTTTTTTTCTTTTTCGAGGCTTTCAAGGCTTCCTTGCAATACAAATACACCGATAAACTATACATACCTATGCTCCTCGAGAGCACATACAATCGCTCTATACTTGGTAACCTCCCTCCAACATGTATTTTGTATATTCATTGCCCGATACTCAGACACGTACATTATATCTTTAGTCCATGCAGGGGAAAAAAAGCATGATTTTTCGATCTAACCGACATAAGTGTATGTATTTTTTCGAACAAATGCTATGCCGAATATCAAAATATCTCAAGTCACTTTGATACATTTTTTGTTTGACAAAAAGGCGAAAGTCGTATAATTATACGACTTGAACCATATAGAACGTGATGTTTAGGTTAGGCCATTTATCAATTATTTACCATTAACCATTTACCATTATGTTATTTAACAATTTTCAACAATTCATTTGCTTGTATTGAAAACGATACAAAATTGACTTAAGCCCTTCTTCCCTAAAAAAAAAACCATACATAAATAATATACGTATTATTTAAATTAAAAATAATAAAATAATTTTTGGTGACTTTCCTAATATTTATTCGTGTACAAAATATATTACCAAATAGTCACTATAAATAATCCACTTGAAACTCGATTACGTCGCCCTCGACATAATAACAATACATTATTAATAAATTAGATACCTACATTTTCGTTAAGTCGACGAAAAAAAAAACCACTCCGGAGATAACGGGAATGTCTTATAATAAGTATAGCCAACGAATTCAATAACATATATTTTATTTTTTATGTGTGTATAATAATAATAGCCGTGTGTACCCGAAATCTCGTTTCTCCGACATCGAGTCTGATAGGTAGATGCCCGCCGCGGCATGACTCCGGGCAGGGGCCGTGTAAGTTATTATTATTCCGGTGACAGACAGATGCATGGGTACCTACACGTAGATTGAAGAAGGATGGGCTGCGCGTTATCGAGGGGAGAGACGATCATTATACCTTACCAGTTTTAAACGTATATAAGTTATTAAAAAAAAATAACCAGACCTTTTGAAAAAAAATTTCAAGTTAAAACTAAGAAACACACCCCGAAATACCCCTCGTTTCGAATGACGTATGTTCGATAATAACATGCGTTTGATTATATAGGAGGAGGTGGAGACGTATAGCATACCTACTGTTATTGTGTTTTTAAAGTGTGCTCCTACGCCACGGTCGGAATTCCACGGCATATACATATAGGTAACCCAAATCGACTACAGTTCACAATATTCGGGTTCGTTACGCCCCCGCAGGTTTACACGGCCGTTAAAATATTATCGTTTTCTCGAAAATGTACGACGTGTCACGTACGTGCAGAGAATCGCCAGCAACCGAGCAACATTCATCGGACATTGCAGTAGTTCGAGGAGTAACTAAACCAGCTGCCGATCTCGGAGGAGGGAGAGGAGTTCGGAAGGTCAACTGACCCACGGTGTTAGTGTTTGCTAATAGAATCGGCCTCTTTTTAGGCCCTAGCCTCCAAGTATATTTGTTCGAAAATGAACGCCGTGTAAATGGTAACATAATCGTGTGCAAATAGAAATGAATTAAATACGTCAAAAATATTATTGGTTTCAATTACTTAACCGGTATTCGACCCTGAAAAGTGATCTCTCGGCCGGACGGGGACACAACCGGAGACGGGTCGAACTGCAGAATGCCCGGATTATCCGGCTAAACTCGCGCGAGGCAGAAAAACGAATATTTTTTTTTCGTTAATATTACAGTCGACATAGACGAATGAGCAAACAAACGGGCCATATTATGAGAATCGGATTACGGACAAAACAACACAAGACACCAGTAATCGTTTTCCGATTCGCGTCGGTCGCGGGCGGGCCCGCAAAGTGAGTGCAGTGTTGACGCGACGACTGTGCCACCGGCCGGAATATTGCGGGCGGATAATTGTCAAATTTACCCGGGGGTTATCGCGATGTGCGGCCGCGATATCCATGGGAATAATAACCGGCAAAAGTCCGGGCGCGCGTTATCGTCGGTCGCCGACGCCGGCGGCGCGCAAAGATCTCCGCGCCGTCGGTCGGTCGGTCGGTTAGGTTAGGTATAACGCCTGTATAAACAGGTAGGCGGGCGGGCGGGCGGACGGGTAGGTTAGGTTAGGGTACGCGCGTAACTGGAGCATGGCGCATACGATCCGCAGGCTTTTAAACCGCGTACACGGTCCGTGACTATTCGACGACCCGCGGAGTAACGCGCGCACAAGACGACGCGGAATAATAGCGACGGCGGCGTCGACGGCGTGTGCGTATACTGTGCTCGTATATTTTGTGCGCACGTTGTTGTATTATCATTTAAATGGGGTACTCGGCGGACTCGCATCACGATAATGATATTATAATGCCGTACGGCGATCCGTTTTTTTTTTTTTTTTTCGCACGGCGGCGGCGTCCCGCGGCGGCGTGCGCGCCGTTGTTGTGCTGCCGTAGAGTCGTTCACGGTACGCGCGCGCTTCGACCCGTTATCAATTAATCGTATTAATTAGATTTGCCACCGAATCGCGTACGCCGGCTAGCGGCTGCCGTCAAAATGGTACGTATATATACATTACAATATTACTATATATTTATATGTACACAGACGCGCGTGTTAAATCGCAGCGGTGTTATAATGTTATCATTGTGGGCATTTTGATGTTTCTGTTCGGTCCCAGACCGGCGTCCGCGATACTCGGTCCCCGCGCCAACATTCGGCCGCAGCACGTCCGAAGTAGGTAGTGAAATCTCAACAAGAGACGGCCGAAGTAATTGCAAGGGGGGCCCTGACGGTAAGAAAACGTTTCTATAAGCGCGACTCTAGATGCATGACCGCGAAACTTGCGACAAGAACTCGACGCATAAAAGAAAACTAGAGGCTTTAGAAATGTAGTGTTGTCGAATAACGCTTAGCATTAAACGGACGGAAAGAATACAAAACAAAAAAGTGCCGAACAGAGTGCAGGGAAAATGAGAATTTTGGCGTGGTATAAAATTCAAACGGGACGAAATGATAGGGAATATATTGCGTCACCATAGGCAAACAAAACGCGTCACAGAAATAACGTAGGAGGTCATATTATAAGACGGAGACCAAAAATGGAGTAGATAAAATAAGTAACGAAAGACATGCAAAACGATAGTTAAAAGAAGTTAAGGGAATCAAGTTACAAAAATCATAGCGAACTACAGCACACCAATCGAGAAGGGAAGAAGTAGTATACGTCCTGATGAATTTTGACACTAGCTGTTTCATCTACGAACGCAAAACACGTAGTTTTGCATGATACTCCGATTTATGATTAACTCCGATTCCCGTGACCTACCCGGCGTCGTTTTCCGTTTATACTCCCAATGTTGTAGATAAAAACTCGTCGAGGTTTTTCTTCGGGTCTCTAATAAGGGACTATAGGCTATTAGGTTTTCGTAGTGTCGAGTTGTTTGTGCTAGATTAAAATGTTGAGACCGAACGGTGTTCATTTTTACCCAAACGGCTGAATATTCAACTCGGTCACCGTTTATTTATTGTAATACCCATTACGTGACAATATAATGCACATATACACATTACACATACATATCATTCGAATGACCGTGAAAATCGTTATCTCGACGCCATTTTACGGTGATGACTGTCGAAAATCGCATTGACCGCATATGACCTAACGTGCGCGTGCACTTATACTTAAAAACCGGACAGTACGATTTCAAAGCGATCGTTCTTGCCTGTTGCGAACTATAATATTATATAGGCTGCGTTTAGCTTAAATCTAACGTTTGAAAATTATTTTTAGTATAATAAATAAAAAAATACATACTTTTAGTCACGAAAATATTTTCCAAAAAATAAAATGTTAACTATCTTAATACTATCGTATGTGACACACCCAATACCTATTGATTATCTGTCTATTTATAATATACAACGTCCGCGTACCTATCTGTAAAGTTGAATCGGCGACCACGTAAGGGTATTATATTATTATAGGTACCCCATTATTCGAAACTAATCTAATCTGAACGATAAAAATAATTTTAATAATACGATAATAATTATTATTATTATTATTGTAATAAACGAAAACGTAAAAAAAAAAAAACACGTAACGACGTAGTCTAATAAGTACGTGTGCGGCACCGACAATGTCATTTTCCAAAGATACGATTTATACTTATATACATATACTTATAATACTCCCATAATACACATTGTATATATGTATCGTAAGACTTGACAGCCCGTCAAGAAACCATAACGTTATAAATGCCACTCGATTCTTTATTTTTATTTTTTGTAATTATTATCGATCGAATACTACGCACGATTGTCGAACAATGTACAAGAAGGTACAGAATATACCTGTATTTTTCGACCGCAGTCGAACATGAGTTCAAACAAATAATGTTCCTACCTAATAGGTATATATAGGTATGCTTACTATCGTTAATATATTCCAAATATTATATGCTATAAACGAGGTTCGAAACAACGGCTGCTTGTGTTTAAAAGAACTTGAAAATTATTTGCTAATGTCCCATTGGTGAAATATTGTTTAATTCATAAAATGGAAAATGTTAAGAATATTCCGTGAAATGACAAAGTGAGCTGCTTAATTTATAGAATTGGTAAAAAGTTTTCTATTTCATGAAATAGCAACTAATAATCTTAGAAATACAACTCAATAATACTAAACATTATTTAATGGAAGAGATTATATCAATAAAGAGTAGCAGGTTTTATAAAATGAAGTGACATGTGTCAGTAAGTATATACTATTCATTCCAAAATCTTATCTGCTATTAGTTATCATAACCTTATACCTAAAAATTACCAATTTCATTATTTTATATACAATTTCACCTCTGGGGTGTAATACATACACGTTCACCATAAAAAAAAAAAAACAAAATAAGTATTATAAGTAATTAGTAAAATATTTTGAAATACACATGAAAAAAAAAAAATTAAACAGATATTTTACATGTATTTTCTTGTCCAATCAAAATAAAAACATACTATCGCTGATGGGAATATGAGTAACCAGGCATAAAGCCTCGGAAAAAACTGAATATGCAAAATATTACGCAACAAATAAGTTTTTTTTTTTTTATATTTAGGTTTTATGAAATGATGCTAATATTTGTATCAAAACCAAAAGTTCAATAATTGTATTATACACCTTCCAAACATAATATAAAATGCCTAAAATTCCGATCACAATCGTTTGTATCCGATTTACATTTAATACTAACTTCTATATATAATAATATAATAAAGCATTAACAGTTATAAAAAAAATTATATCCAAAACGTTTAACGCGTTAATTATATATTATATTTTCATTCATGTCGGCTGTTTAAGTCTCTGGATATAATACGGACACGGCCGCGTATTTTTCGACGACGATGCCGTTATGAATTTTTTGCGAATCTACAGTACCTATAATTTCTATCCGTACAATATATATAAATATAATAATATTGTATATTATACTGCACTTCAAAGCTATACTACACTGATGAATATATATCGCGCGTGTGTATATGTAATTATCTTTCCGACAACGTATTTTATTTTCTCTTTAATAGCAAAACACATATTACCGACAGCTTATAACAGGTCAAGTTCATTAAATCGCACCCATCAGCTATAGGCCAACATAATATTATGTTAAGTCAATAATTAATATATAATATTATATATTTCGGATAAATATATATGTTTTTTTAAAATATGTTCCACCCACTCTCAATACTATAACTTTTAAATCGTGAATTCGAAGAAGACGTACTATACCCGTGTGTGATGTCTCAATTTTATTTACTGCAAACGCACGATATAGCAAAATTTGCGTTCGGTAGGATCAGCTGTTATTAGTTATTAATAGTTAATTTTTCTATTATAAAATTTATAAATTAAGTAAAAACAAGAAGATCTATGCTCGCGTCTGCGTCGATAAAATGCGTTCTCTTAATATTGAATTAAACACCAGTATGCAAGAATAATGAAAACATAATAAAATTGTTTAAATATATTACTGATTTAAATTCAGCGGCGGTTCTAGGATTATATTTTTGGCAAGGTAAAATACAATTGTATACAAAACGTCTGATGTATATTAACTATCGTTAGGTTGGTATACTGCAGTTATCATAAAATTTGCGAATTATAAGTATTCATTTTTCGAGTATGTAAAATTATTAGTTTTAATCGAATTTAAAGATATTGAATATTAAGATTAATATAAATTTATATCATGCGATGATGCAATATCCATCTTTATTCGATAGTTAAACCCGTTTTATACGAAATAATTCTACTTATTCCGTATTTATAATGTAGTTAGCAAACATTCACAGCACATTAAGAAGAACTAGATCCGTTTCATAGTATGCCGTTTTTTTGATAACACTGTACCCAATCATTTTTTCATAATATTAAATTAAACGACCAAAATAACTAAACGTTAAGAAACCAATTATATTAATTATGTTAGCAACAAAATAAACACGTTACAGATACAGATAAAGTTTTTCTCAATATGCTGTGCAATTTTTATAGATTTACTATGAATACGGAATGAATATCGTGTTGTCCAGCGTGAAACGGTTTTTTTAGAAAAATTGTAATTAATAGTTCCACAGCAAATACTTTTGTGATAATGAAACGGAATAACGTTTATTTAGTATTAAATTTGAATTTTTTTGAGTTAATAAATTTCCATTTGATTTTTAAAAATTGCCTACACGAAAGCCCTTACTTACGGGCGATATCGCATCCTCTTGAACCTAACTTATACCAACACTAATACTCATACTAATACTAATACCATATTCACTTATATGTATACACTCCACTGTATACATTTGTATTAAATGTGTATATAGTACATAGTTCTTTAATAGGCATTCGTCAATTACGGAGATATATACTATGCGTTTATGTACGAGAAAAATAATTTCACTATTATAAGAAAGTACAACGGCGCGTTAACACGTTTCGAGCGACTTGACATTTTTTTGCAAAATGTTCAGAGGATTATAACTGAAATACCTATCACTAATACAGATTTACAAACATCGTTTCAATTTTAATACCTATTACAAAATAAATAACTCGTATATTATATTATATTCACATTATTGAATTAAAACAGGGCACCGTTACCAATATTATTAAACTTATCAGTGAAACGTTTTATGCTGCACATTTTATGCATGTGGGTATGAAATATTCACCAGCGCGCTACAAACGATTTACCGTTTGATGGCTCTCGTGATATTTTTTTAATTGTGTCTGTTTTTTTTCCAAGGATATAAATTATAGCTACGTGTATTCATATATAATTTGAAACACTAATGTTTTATAGTAGGTAAGTATAATTAATTCGCGAAGTATACAAATTTAAAACAAATCGAATCTATAAAAACTATATACAATATTACATGATTGTAGTTCGTTTATAGTTCATTTTGTCCATCACCGAATAAAAACGAATTAAATAATAATATTAGTACAGTCCTGTACATGAATATTTATTAGCAGTACATTTTATTGACGAAAAAAAAAACGGTACCTATACTTACGATATTGTAAATGCGGATTTCCTATACGTCAACATGTCAGATGTTTTTATACGAATTATTATACAATCCGTAACTAATAAGTAATAAGTAATTATAAGTAATAACTGTATTAGAATGATATTGCAAAATATTTATATATTATAGAATTAAAAAAATATATTATTATTAATATTTTTCAAAAATAAAAAATACGTCACTTTCACAATAATTTACGAACCATAGAATTTATTATAAACCGATGATTAGTTATAATTATTAAATATTAAAATATGAGAATATTAATTTTTAATCTTAAAAATCGAAAGTATTTAGCTCACGTTTTACATATATATTTAGGATATCCTAAAACGCGTAAAATTGTATTTATCGAAAATACAGTTTTTCCAATTATGATTATGATAATTGATAATAAATGATTTTGCAAGGTAGGTTATTATAGTAAATGACTAAAGATTTTGAGATTTTAAAAATGGTGAAAATAATTATCTCGGATTAGACATTATCGTTATTGGATCCCACGACTATAAAAAATAAATATAATAGCCTGAGGGTTGGACGAGACATGATGTTTTAAACTTGACACAATGGAGGAGTTATTTATGATTTTTGATTCCCACGTAAGGGGGAGACATTTTTTTTTTTTGTATGGAGATATTATCACAAAAGAGTTCTGCAGGTGTAAAATAAGGATGATAAATAATATTTTTTCTTTTCTACTGGAATTATTTATTTTTACAATGTTCAGTTATCCTGCAGGTACATTATGTCGTCTCTATGTATTATTATAAATCCGAACTCCTAAAAACGTATACAACAATAATATGCTACATTTTTTTTTCAACTAAGAGACGTGAATTTAATATTTTCCGAGAAAGCATAGTGGTATACCTACGATAGACTATAGACCACAAATATAATATCATATCTCATAATGTACCATGTAATTAGATACCATAACTTTGGTGCCGTTGACCTACATTTAAGCACAAAAGACTATTATCCACGGTCAGATTGACTTCAGATGTACACAATGAAATAGTACAATTCTATTTAACTATAAAAAAAGATTAATAATAACCGTGTCTCCCGAGATTTTTAAAATTGCATTTAAATAATAAACCAGTATGCGTTCCAGCAAATCGTAACTATGCGATTATAAGTACTTATTATCTGTTGCAAGATGATTAACTATATTTGAATATTAACTATTATTAACTATATCTAATCAATAATAAGCTACTCAAAATTCAAAAGAAAGTAATTTTAGTATATAGTTTGGATAGCTCGTAGGTGGGTTCAGCAATATTATTTTTAAATTATTAAAAATTAAAGTGTCTAAAGTACGTAATAAAAATAAAAATGGGTACTATTGATTTCTTACCTGCGCGTATTTCTTGAGTGACTAATTTTTTTAATCCATCAAATCACCATAATATTCCAGGTAGATAAATGATAACACTTTCACCGTCGGTCGGTGTTAAGTACACACTTAACTCGAGTATATTCCACAAAACTTTGATAACTAAACGAAATAAGAATAAAAAAAAAACCAGAAAAATTCTAAACAAGCACCGGCGAAAAAGTAAAATACAATTGTAAAAATGTGTAGGTAATGGTTGGTATAAACGATATACCGGTATTGCGACACGTTTTTACTCGGAGCCGTCCAACCGACACGGGTTATTGTACCTAACTACCTAGAAAGAAGAAACCTGTTGGCCAAGACAGGCAGGTGCGCCCCTACCACCACCGCCACCGTCACAACCGCCGCCGCCGCCGCAGCGCACAGGTAAAACGGACAAATTGTAGCCTGTGTTCTTAAAAAAAAAAAAATAGTGAAAATCGAATTGATAATAATAACAATAATAATAACACACACACACACACACACATACACCATTAGAAGATATCAGCGCGTCTTTTAATTGTTTTAGTTTTTCAATTTCTTTTTTTTTTTTTGCACTAACAAAAGTGTAATTGTGCAACTAATAATTGTCTTTAAATACACACAAATATGTTTGTATAAAATGAGTATAGATACCTATACGGCTATATGTAAAAATTACAAATTTTAATGTTTATATTAGAGGTGATCGAACGGGCAGGGGGAGGAATTGGGATATCATTCTATGTCCTTTTTCCATTCTATATTTATTATATAGAAATTATATTATCTATTTGTTAACGCAAAAATTTAACGTAAATAATAATAATTGTAAAAAATAGATTTAAAAAATCTTCTTCGTCTGCTCCCCCCCCCCTCTATTGCATGGCATAATCATTTGATCACAACTAATTAAAATAATATTATTAAATTATTTTCTACCAAGTTCGAACATTTTTATCACTACCTTTATTAATTTTATCCTTCAATATACGATACCTATACAAATACAATAATAATGTGATTATAAATCGTAATATATAAGGTACCTACACTCCCGCAGTTTCGAGGTCATATTATAGTTATTACAATATATACTCGTATATGTCTTAAACAGTAGGTACCTACAATATCAATATCAATACCATTTTCGTATTACAAATAAATTACACTACATTATAATATATTATATAGAACCAAACATATTATTATTATTATTATTACTACAGAACGAGGATTTTTTTTTTTTTTTTGTAAAACCATGTTTTTATTAGATATATACACAACTACAAGAGTAAGATATTATTTCTACAATAGTATCTAATACTAAAAGAAACTAAAATTGTATTTTGCATATAAATATATATTTTGATATTAAGAGAATGTATTATGATTCATAGATTTTCATATATTAGTAACTATAGTTCTGCTATTACCTATTAAAATCTATAAATGTCAATATGTGTTTATACACAATCATATTATTTTTATTGTATATTTGGATAACTAAATAATGACAATTGGATATATAATAATTATACTGGTAACTTAAAAAGACGGGTATAGATTAATTTGTTAAGATTTGTGATTGTAGTGGATGAGGTTTCCGTGGTACTCGGTAGAACCCATTATTTTTCGTAAAATCAATAAATGAAAATAAAGACTTGAATAAGATGTGTTTACGTCTCATATAAAGTAGATACTTAGTAGTTTGTACCTGAGAATGGAAAAAAGTGTTTTGCGTATAATGTTTATGCACAATAGTGATAAATGATACCTACAACTAAAAAAATACAATTTTTACTTAACATCCAAAATTAAATCTGTGAAATTAATACGGTAGAATATTGAACAAAGTCAAATAATTTTAATATCTGCCGGATCATGTTAGTGTCGCTTTTCCATTATTAAAATGTGATTTTCCGTTTCATTGAAAAGTGGCGTTTTTCACATTGATACGAAATTAGAAATAGTAGTCATATTTTATGTGTGTATTTTCATGATGAAAAATTACCTAAGTCAAAATGATTTATTTACCTATGTTTAAATGTAATAACTATGGATAAAAAAGAAACAAAACAAAACATTAATTGTATGTACTTATAACAACATTTATTCAAAAATCCATATTTTTTTCTACAAACTAATTCGAATAAAAAAAATTTCAATAAAATTAATTTAATAAAATAACCAGCTTGAAAAATGACACGTTGTGTCATTATAGAAATATTTTATTCGTATAAAAGTATATTTTTAACTTTTTAAATATTGTATTTTATTAAAATACATTGTTTTATTATTATTATTATTTATTCGTTGTATAATAAAAGTTTAAAATGCTGGCTCTTTTATTATAGTTTTTATCATAATCGTTTCATATTATTGATATTATTTCATCGTGTATGTAATTTATTTTCATATTTCATTAATAATATGTAAGTAGTAAATTTTTAAACATAAAAAACGTTTACAGACAAACATGGAATTTGTAATTTTTTTTTTGTTTCTCCCTATACCCATTGAAATACTCAGATACGCCACTGCTATACATCTACCTATGTTAAAATGTCACTGTAAAATATTAACTGTAACGTCTGTAACTGTTCAGAATTATATTGCTATATTTTCAATGTCCAAGTATTATACACGATGAGCTATGCATTTCTAGAAATATTATTTAATTTATTCAACACCTATGTATATTATTCATCTGTTGACTGCGCATTGTTATGACTGTACGGTTTAATATTATGGTACGACACTCGAGATAGATTACTCATTATAATTTATTTTCAATATTTTAATACCTAATATTAATATTTAAACAATTGTCGTAACAAATAATTTATAAATAATTCAAACAACTATTGTAACACTTTCAGGAGACTATAGTACCTATAATATACTATTATCATAGCTACATCCTGTTTATAAGTCAGGTCATAATACATTACACTGTATTATCATAAATACAAAAAAAAAAAAAATAATAATTAATCTCAATATTGTTAATTGTTTTCAGGAGACTTCAACACTACACGGCAATTGCCTATCTTTCATTATAATACGTCAGAAAATAATAAAATTCCATTTCATGTATTGAAATGTGTACAAAACTCTTCGAATTATTTCAATAATCTTTGTAATATTTTATTCCTATGATATTGATCGATTGTGTATTTTATTGTATTTTCATAATATTTTATATATTTTATTTCTAAAAATGAACCTACCTATAAGTTAACTGCAAGTCAGGTTGGTTTGGTCACGGTAGTTTGGAAAAAGACAATTGATGGAATCGATAATCGAGGGAAATTCACTAAGCCCCCTCAAAATAATTTGTATGTCCTTGACAATGGTGACTAATAAAAATGGAATTGGGGTTGGAGTAGGGGGAAAATTAACATGACGTTGTGGCCTGCAAAAAAACGATGTAGGTACGTTGACTTTCACCAGGTGCATAAAAAAATGCGTCTATGACGAACGCGGAGGTTAGTAATTTTTTCTCCGCCTTCTTTTTGTCGATGCTGAGTAATCCGGTATTGGTTTTCACTTCCTATTATAAACATGCAGTTGTCGCTGTCGATCTGACAACTTTTTGATTTAAAACAGCCTTCTTCGAACATAATATCAGATTCTATAAATGATTTTCATCGAAAGATGATACCGTCATTTATAGCTATACTGACTATGTTGGGGTGGTTTTTTTATTATTATCTTCATACGCAGACGAAGGGTGCGGCGGTAAGACCAGACACAAACGAGGGTTAAAGGGTGAGTAGGTATCATTATTATTGTTACGTTCTATAATTTTTTTCTCTCGAAAATGCAGTTCTCGTGTGCAACGTTTGTATTATATTTATATATTTTATATCTGGAATGTGGTGTGGGCTCCAAGGTCGACTACAAACCTTTTAGCCCCGTACGTATATATGTATACACTATACACAGACGCTGAGACCTCGTTTCAAACAGGCAAACTTGACGAGTCACCTCTGGTGTAGCTATTATGCGTGGAAAAATATACATTTTTCTTCATAGACTCGTAGGGTAGGTTATAATATTTACAATATATTGTATCTTTTATATAAAATTGGAATTTTGTCTGTTCGCTATACAAATCAACAATTTTATTTTATTGTTATGAAACTATGCACACTTGGCATCCAAAAAAAAAAAAAAAACAAGAGGTAGATCACTGTCTATTTTTATATCGAAATTGAACTCCCAAAGGATGGCTGGCACAGGATTTTTGATATTTTTGGAATGAAAATTGAATTATTTTTGTTGAATTATTCAATTTGGTTGTAATAATAACATAGGTTAAAATGGAAAAACTTCTAAATTAACTTAACCTAACAAAACTTTCAGAACATTCATACTTGTAGGTAAGATTTCCAAAATATATTCCTGTTACACACATTTGTTCGTACAAATTTTATACTATAATAGGGTTTAAAAAACACGCTTGTATAATCGAAACCAGAGGACACTGGACGGTCAGCGGGAATTGCGTTTTGTATGCGACGACGTACATATCTAACTGTACAGGAGGATATAATAATAATGAGCGGTTGAAAAGCACCGTTAAATACGCTAAACAACAAAAAAAAAAAAAAGAAGAGAGACTTCGGACGATAGGTAGATACACCATAGCTAATCATTATATTATTACCTATTTTTATTATTATTATTGTTACATAGCGATGATATACTACGTGTCACGTCTACCAAGATATTATTTTTTGTATATGATAGAATAAAATTGGTATTTTATATTTTAGACGTAGACGTATCGCAGTAGGAGCTCCTCGTCATCGAACATACACGCCACGCGATTGTACACATATACCTACGCACTCATAGGTGTATAATGTATATATATATATAGACACAAAAGCACGATGTGTGTGATAATAATATTATGATGATGATTGATGACTGTTATAGGGTACCCTTATAATATATATATATAAATATGTTTTGTGTCCGAAATATCGAAAAAATAAAATAAAATATAATCGCCTCGATTGTGTGCCGCCACCATATAATAATATATGATCGGATGATATGGAATGTTTGGTGTATAGGTCACACACGTTATACCGTGTACCGTTAAGTAGCCTCGAGGGTCGTCGATAAAAGAATGTCTCACATAATTTTTAATTTATGAAAATCATGTTCGCGGGATAGTTTAGCTATACCTATACGTTTCCGGTTTTTGTTTTTGAATTTCCGACTTTCTATTAATTTTTTACTATTTTTATTTTTTTTTAGTGACAGAACACGGTGGGACATCCTATATAAATATACATAAAGGTATCACGTAATCAAAATCAAGATTTTTGTTTTTTATTTTATCAATAACTCGATTGCGCGGGCCTATATGTATGTATAATATAATATAGATACTCGTAAAATAAGCTAGCAAATGAGACATCCTAGAATAATGGAAACGTGTGCAGCCACTGATATAGGTAATTTAATGTATATCTGTTAGCAACAATAAACCGTTAAATAAATTCTTTGTCAACAATATATATGTTATATTATAGTAAAATAATTTCTATATATATATAGTATAATATTTTCTTTAATAATATTTGTTAAATATTGTACCGATTTTTCCCAATAAATGCAAAAAATTACCTCCTTAAAGTACCTTCCCAGTCAGATTTCCGTTCACAAAAAGTGCTATCATTTCAAATCGGAACGAAATTGCTGGTAGAAAAGTTGTACACAGAAAAAAAAGGCCATAATATTTGTTTTCTAATACTTACATTTCATATATTTTCCGTTTTTCCGACATTTTTTCCCGGTTTTTCCCAGATATTATGAAAACCGCCTGAAAAATTAAAAATCGTCTTTTCTAAATTACCGTAGAGATAAAATTTCCTTTCAGAATATAAGCTACACTTGATACATCGGACCAAGATTTCTGGTGTAAAAATTTGCACAATAAATTGAGGGGTATTTTGTGATTAAAATAGTCTGAGGGAGCGATGATTTGGGTACATCCAAAATGAATTAATTTTTTCCTTGTTTAGGTAAAAGGAAAAAAATGTAAACAATTTTTTTCGTCACACTAGTAACCCCTAGGATGATAATAGGTATAAATAACCATTAAATCACGAAAAATATGCTTTATGAAGGACAATATAGAGTTATTTAACATAACATACAATATCAGAACTTCAAAAAGCTATAATTTCGAAACTTAGTCAGTCCGCTTAATTCTGACTTCATTATAGTTCTTAAATCGGCAATATACATATGTAAAAAAAAATATTTAAAAATTAGATTTGTTTCATGTAATTTGTTCGTCAAAATTGAATATTAAAATTCCCTTATATAAAAAAAATACAGCATTAAACACAATTTTTTTTGTTTACCACAAAGTACGACTCTTAATGAACCTTCTGTTAAATTTTGAAACATTTCTCTTCAAGTATAACAATTTTACCACAGAGTACCTATCGAATAAATATTACGTACTAAACTCTCAAAATTAAATATCTATAAATACCTCAAAAATGGCTTACATTTTCTCGGAGATTTTACCCCGTCTAGAGAGGCAAATGTCAGTTTTTGTCCAAATTTTAAGTCCATCGAGTCGATACGAATATCTTTATTTAAATTTCAACAAAAATATTAAAATTTTTATAAAAAGCATAAAATAGGCTCAAATGTTTTACAAATTTTACGTCGTTTAGAAAAGGTAAATACAAGTACTCTGTTCAAATTTCAAGTCTCTACGAATATTTTTAACTGAATTACAACATGTAACAAAATTAAAAAATAATAAAAAACATTATTTTCGTAAATTTCCCGTTTTTCTTACGTTTTATCCTGGGTTTTCCCAGATATTATGAAAACCGCTAAGAAAAACAAAAAATGACCTCTTAAAAGTACCATATGAATAACATTCCGTTTCAGAAATGGTGCCGCTCGTATATATCTGAGCAAGATTTCTGGTAGAATTTTGGTACACGGAATGAAAAAATAAAAAAAATAAACATCTTAGTAAAACCAATACATTCTTCGCTACATTCAGAATCTAAAATACTTAAATACGTTTTAAAGTTTTTCAATAAAATAATTTGAAAGTGTCAATAATATCAGCCTAATAGATGGATAATAAATTGAGGTACGCACCTACGCCGATATTATTTACCTACAGTTTTGATGCTATAGATACGAAACACTTCACAAGATGATGTCCTAGTGCCAGAGGCAATCATATACATCGTATTGGTGTCAGTAGACTTCTCTGATTTTGTCAACCCCAGGAGGTTGCCGGAAATGAGTTAACATTCTTTAAGACCCTTCCTTAATTATTTATTTCATTATTACGTGCAGCGCTCTATAGCCTATAATAAAGACCTAGATTAATTTAATTTTCAATAGCCAATATTTGTATTATCTATCGACAAATTTTTAAACGAAAACATTATAAAATTATATTATATTTTATTTATCATATTTAATTTGTATACTATTGTCAATTCATATATTTATTGTTGATTAATTAATATTAAGAACAGTACCTTTATTACCTACCTACACAAAAAGCTAACAATTTTGAAAGAAATATTTACCATTTACACTAATTTTTATTCTAAGTATTGTAAACAAAAAAGATACGGACATACTTCGCACGATGAGTGGACCATTGTTGTATATGAGAAGTTAAAATGTAGGATATAGAGGGTAATTTAATATACATATATACACAACGATTAATCTTTACTAACGACTGACTTCTGAGTGAAATTCGGTTAAACATATTTTAAAATACCATGTTTTTATAATTTTCGTCAAAATTTGAACTTAAACACTTAAAAAAAAAACTACTTCATTAAGTACTCTTAACTTTTTGTTTTTCCACTAAGTGTAACGCATGATGAATTTTGAGTACAATTTTTAAGTATTTCTGATGGGCTAAACAGTATTGTCCACATGAAACCAAATAAAAAAACGCAACCATATCAAATGCTTGTAAAATACCAATATCAGTATTCTGTAAAAGTTTTACACCTTTACGAATATTTTAAACTCATTTGCAATAAAAAAATACGCTCCGAATCTAAAAAAAAAATGTTTAAATCAAACTGTTAATTCCGTAAACTTTCCCAGTTTTTCAAACTATTAAGAAAATCGACTTCCTAGTCCATCAATTAGATAACATTTTTTTTTTTTTTCAGAAAAAATGCTATATTTTAATTTCAAAGTAAGATTTCTGGTAGAAAAAAAAAATCGAAAAAATCTAAATAATGCAATTTGCATTGTCGTAAATTTATACGTTTTTCCTAACTATTATAAAAAATGTTTGGAAAATCTAAAAATAGCCTCTTTTAATGCATAAACTATATCCAAAATGCAACTAAAAGGCTCTCAAGTAATTTTTTGATTGGAATTGGATTTCTAGTAGAACAGTTGTCAAATCAAAAAAAAAAACACGAAACATAGTATAGTAGAACCATAAAATTACTCACTGCGCTCAAAATCTGAATGAAGATAAATGTAAAAAAGATTTTTTTTTCAAATTATCTAAAACTAGTAAGTACCTATTTATTATATTTTCGTGTAATTTATAAATTCAATACACATGCATTCAGATTTAATATTAGGGATTTATTTAACACTCAAATATAAAATAAAATAACCGACGTACCTATGATGATAATTGTGGGTACCAGGTACCTACTCAACATGAAAATTGGCTATATTTTATATTCGATAATTGTGTATAGATATTGATTGTATAGGAACCCAATAATCTTAAATATTTAATAGATATACACATTCATACACGTATCCTGCATAAGGCTTTGGTTTTAAACAATATTTTCTAAAAAACGTATTTGTGTGAGAACTACAAGGAGTCTATAACAATATTTTGTTGCATTATTAAGTTACGTATTAAAAATTTTAACTTGTCTTCAAAGTTTAATTTGCTATGCATAATTATCAAAATAAAATTACTCAATTTAAATGTAAGTATTTCAAATGTTATAAATCCAAATGAGATTCTCACACATTGAAGAATAACGGAATAAAAAATTAGTTTCATATTTTATAATTTTATAGCCGGTACCTACCTAATAATACAGGAATATGTTTACCAGTTCCGAAGAACCAGTTTTTATAATACCATAAAATTTGGACGATTGAATTTTAAAATATCTTGTATTGATAATTTGAATATACTTCTATGAATAATTCTTTATTTTAGATCAGTTTTAAAATTGATTCCTTTGAACACATAGACACATTTTTAAATTCAATTAATTATTATTATTACCTAATAATAAATGTTTATAAATTAACATTATTTTTAAACATTAGCAGTTTTCGATTTTTGTATTTTTCGCCATGTTTAAAACTCTTACCTCTAAACTATATGCACATTACACCTATTATATAAATGAGTTGAATATACTCTTAATATACTTATATTGTGGTGTGTTTTTTCCTCAAGCTGTAAAGATATCACGAGAATTATTATTCGTGCGTTTAATTAAATCACGAATTACGAATACGCATTTTGAAACGAGGACGCATACCTGCCTATTTACTTAATAATGTTTAAAAATTATTTCCATACGTGCAAATAACTATCAATTTTGTTATACGTAATAATACCTATTTGTATATAAAAAAAAAAAAAACACTATTTCTTTTTTTTTTCCGAATGAACTTTAGAAGAAAAAAACTCGAATTGAGTGTAAATTGTTCCCACAACCCCGCCAATATGAAAACTTGAATAAAATCGCAATTAATCAAATTCTACCACGGTTGGTACAAATTTATATTCGTGCATAAAGTACACATAATTATACTGGTAGGAAACTAGAATATTGGGAAATAAATCTGTATGATTATCTGTATCTGTATAGGTACCATTATGCGTATCTGTAGTAAAACCGGATTGTTTTATCTTAATTAGTAGGTATAATAATGTACCATCCTTATATTTACATACTTATAATTACTAATAATGTTTAAATAAAAATTAATTTACATACACCTACTTACATACATTTTACACTTATTTATTTAACACCTATACTATCAAATAGGTTTATAGACAAATTAGTATTAAAAACTAAATTAAAACATGGAAACGCACAATATTATTGCCACTAAGACAATTGTTCTAGGTGTACAGTGTTAAAATCAATTCTGAGTAGATCTACGTAAATCAGAATAAATATTATTAACGATTACTTGCAGTATATCGTAGGTATAAATAGAAATATATTGTTCAATTAATTGTAATGACTAATGTTTACTTAATATATTAATAAACAATGCTTAATTGCGCGAGTAAAATATTACGAACATACGCGTGTTGATAAATTTGATGATAAATTGTTCAATTAAAATAAACCAAGTGATATTTTTACTATAACATACAAATCCAAGACTCATTAAGCAGAAAATCGATTTTTATATATATATGACTTACATAGAATAGCTCGTTCTTCGTTAATACCTTTTTTAAATTGAATTATAACGACGAGTTTATTTTTCTCCTAGGGCAAGTACACACTCAAATACTCAATGCCACTATTACACTCAATCGATAGAACTCGAATATAACCAAAGAATATCCACTTTATTTATTAATAAATCGACGGTGTGATACTGGTAGGATTAGGATATGCGATATAGGGTATAGCCATAGGTGGTTGCTTATGCATGCGAATGTGAAATTCGAGGCGCTGACGTCCCGTGATAATGATAAAATATTATCACTACATTAGTTATTAGTTATTACTCATTAGTGCAGTCGACACCGTAAATGATTTTAGTATAGGCAACCATTATGTTTTCGAGTGAGTCGGGAACGTTGACACGACTGTTCCGTGTTATTATTATAGTACTGTTGCTATAACCCAGTGGCGGATCCAGGGAGGGGAATTTGATAATTTACCCCCTCCCCAAACACCGTAGTATCGTATGTATTTTGATTTTGAAGCTTTAAAGGTGAAATATATTTTAACAATTCGAAGTTTTTAAAAATTATTCGTCATAACTTTTAGATTCTGAGTGGAGCGAGGAATGTATTGGTTTTATAATGATGCTTATTTTTTTTTTATATGAACGCCTTTTCCACCACAAAGCTTACTCCGATTATGAAGTATAGCACCTTTTCAGAAAGGAAACGTTCTTTGGGGTGTACTTTAGAGAAGTAATTTTTTGAAATTCTCATTAACATTCGTGATAATGAGGAAAACCTGGTCCTTTAGGTTAAACATGATTGAAATACTAAAAATAAAGTTATCATTGGCAACAGTTTTTATTTATTTTTTGTTATTATCAAATTTATATTATTTTAATATATTTTTAAACAATCATTGTTATCATGGAAACGCACATTGTAATCATTTTACCATAATATGACATATTGTATACTGTTGACAACGTAACACTACCAACTGAACTCCGCTCAGAATTGGTTTTTCGTTAAAGATGGTTTATCGTTGGGTACACATATACATTAAATTCTCCCTGAATTCCTGCCTTCCAAACTTCCCATGTACATGTTGTAACATGTAGGTTACCTACATGTAAAGCAGGGACGGCTCCAGAGACTTGGTAGAAGGGGGGCAAGTCATATTTTTCAGAAAACTGTATTCAAAACAAACTTAAAATTTTTTTTTTTTTTGTACAGTTGTTTTTAACGAAAATACGGAATTAGGGAGACCGCGGTCCCTAGCCCTCCACCCCCTTGAAGCCGCCCCTGCGGAAATCCGTATCCGAATCACACCTAACCTAAAATAAGTAGTCACCGGTTAGGTCAGGTAATAATAAGTCAAATCAAAAATGACCGCGGAAAAAAACGATTCCCGATAAAAATGTTTACACGCCGAAAGAAAAAGAAAAAGAAAAATAATAAAAATAATTATACGTCGATGGTCGATACGTGTAAATAGTGAATACATTTATAATATCATGCATTATCTTTATCTGATGATTAAATGTTTAATAATATAGGTACATAAACCGTCCGTCGACCAATAATGGTAATTTCCCAAATTAGTACACGTTCCTATATGATAACACCGTATATTAATATCATAATATTACGGATTTTCAAACGAAATAAAATTGATAATTATCAAATTAAATAATCAGGATTTAACTGTTCAAAAGGATAATGATATGTATTAAAACAATTTAAATTATTTGAAAGCCTTGGGGGGGTGCATGGCTCCAGTGCCCCCCTGGAGCCGCGCCTGATGTGAAGTATGTCCGATGTTTTATGAAAAGATTCAACAATTTTTTAAATTTTCGAAAAACACGATTTTCAAAAAAAAAATTTGATTTTGTTAGGGGTGTGCACTTGTTCCCCTGCCTGTATCTACTATCAAAATATTTGATGTACCGACCTACCTGATAATATTTTACGGTCGACCGCATTGTCAATAATAGGGGGTGCTACGGGATTTTTAGTACCCCCAAGTGTAAAATTAGCACTCCCAATATACCCAATAACCTTTTTTTAATGTATCGGCCGAATATTTTATCCGCGTATTTCGTAATTAATTACCAGACCATAATACAGATTACCTGCATTCAATGCGTGTGCGTAGAAAAAATAAAGTTAAAAAAGTTATGGTAAAATGTTATTTTTATGTTAAAATTGTAAGTGAAATGTACATACAGTAAACAATTATTATAAGTGCCGTGTAAAGGAGATTGTGGGGCATTGCCTCCGTGGGTCTGTGATGCGTCTATAATTTCAACACACCCAAAATTGGTGGTCTGGTGGCGCCCATGGACTCGGCCATGGCCGTCTATAAATCGCGAAACCGTTGTAAACAATACAACGCAAAATTCGCCGTGTACCGTCGACGCCTACGGTGAACGCGTATAAAATCTCGGCCATATTTTCAATTTGTGATATACGATTACTAAGTACTCACCGGGTCACCGACGACGTTTTAGTACAATATTCGCATTGGCCGCCGTCATTGGCAAACGATTATCGCGACATGTCGAGACGTTTTGTTCCAAACACGTTGAACAAAAAAATAACACTACAAAATATTATTATCGTTACGCGTGCACACAAAAAATCAACGGTGACTTCGCGAGCGCCGATCGCGTTCCAACGATGAAACTGCGGAGTGGTAACGATGAGGAAAGCGGTTACGCCGAACGGTCGGCCGTCTGTAAGAACAAATCATATCGCGGACGACCAGACGAGTATACGCGCGATTCGGCGGTGGTTTTTGCGTTTATTGAAGGGCTGTGCTGTACGTAACGTTTTCATGGTTTTCGTTTTTTTTTTTTCGAAGAACAGCAAGGCACTGAAAAGTTATCTGAATCTATTTCTAGAATCTGAAAATTCTTGGAATGTTATTATCGTACATGTTACAATCATCGTGGATAAACGTGAAAACCGGCGATGGTTGACAATTTAAAATTTAAAAACGTACCATGTGCATTTAGTTTGTGTCGTTCACAGTTGACGGACGACCACTAGATTTAGAATGTGCTAACTACGCGTAGTCCACCAAATAATATTCGAGGGAAAATATAGTGTATTTTTTGTTTTTCTTCGATATACTAAAATGTACGAACAGTTACGCAGCACATTATTCCCGAGTACCTTTCAATTATCGTTAACCGTTAGCCGTTACACACGCCGAAAGGCATTCAAAAACGTTGTCAACTCGGTGGTGTATTTTACTGGAGGATTTAGCGTGATTCCATCCCACTCTTCCAAACAGCAAACAACTTTGAAGTGCAGTCTATCCGGAACTTGGGTGAATTTTACAGAAACCTAATCAAAGTTTGTAACATATCTTATTATATTTATACATAATTAATTAAAAACTTACAAAAACAAATTTTAATGGTAATTTGTCCAAATAATTAACGCATATTTTTGTATAGATAGGAAGTTATATTTATTTCGACGATGGTGTTCTCAAAAATTTAACAGGAATCTAGGTATAATAGGTACCCAATGCATAATGGGTATTTTACAATATATTTATTTGTATTCCACAAAGCCTTGCCCGTCGATATAACCCCTTATATTCCACCCACGTTTATTACGGTCAATAATTGTTTTCTCTTCTTTTAAAACGAATTATTTTTGCCTATGAACCGCCAAATGAAATAATAAAATATTATTTATTGATATTATTATTACTACAAGTTTATGGATAAACGATAGTTTTGATAATATGTAACTAAATACCTGTAGTTATTATTCGTATTTTGTGACTTTATGTTTAGCTCCGATTAATGTACCGTTTAGGCTACACAATATGCATTCTTGTGTCATAATATTGTATGAAAAAGATGCAATTAATTTTTGTTTCTCCCTCTATTATAGCTACCTACTCAGCTAGAGGGTAAGAAAGTGACACCATACCCTATATCAAGGCCGTGCTTTGGACCAACTCCTTTTAAAAATTAATTACAGGGCTGCTTCATTTTGGGCTAAATTTTGGTTACCAAACTGAATGAATACTTCTTTACAGAAATAAAAACCTCTGTACATAAACCATAATTTTGCACATAAACTGGACTATTTAGTTAGTCCTTTGAAATGTATTTCACCTTACAACATTTTTAGTTTTTCAGTCACTGGGACAAATCAATGTATAATGCTCACACTAATATTTATCAATTTTAAAATTCACCTAGGTACTTTTAGAAGTGTGTAACATTATCATTGATATGTATAGTTTATGAATGAACTCTTTGCTTACAATAATGTAAAAATATATTATATTAAAACATAACCGCATTTATTGTTTTTATTTTTTAAATTATCTACCTATTTATATATATTAATTTACAATGGAGCTTCTTTTCTTCCTGTTAATGTCTAATCTCAATTTGTCCTAAACATAATAAAACTGGTATTTCTATTTTATTAGATTAATTATCTTGTCATATTTTAAAAATAAATGTAAAAACCCAATAATATTTTTAAATTTCTCCTTTTAAACTTTTAATTATCTAAATTATTATACTAATATTTAAAGGGAAATTCAAACTGGTTTAATCTAGCTAATTTCTAATAAATTTGCAAATAGAATTTATTTTTGTTACAACCACCAATACCTAATATCATAAATATGTAGGTACATAATCAGTATGTTTAAAATCAAAGTAAACAGTTCTAATAACATAACTCATTGATAAAAAAATAGTCTAAATTCAAGATGTATGACTTCAAAACAAAATTCTAATTTTATTAGTTTATATTTATTTTAACCTATTTTAGTGGATTATTTATTTCCTCTTATTATATGCATTTACATTATTCTAGATTATTTTCACAATTTATACTAAAAGTTTTGTATTAATACCTACTATCTAATGATACTGTAACTAACAAGGAACTATTTTAAAATTTAGATGTATATTGTAATAAAAATATTTAATTTTAAAATTTTAATATGTGTTGCTGATATATTAAGTTTTCAATCATACTATATTTTTTTTAATAACTTAAAACATTTATATTAAATTAAAAAATATATGTCAATATTGGTTTACTTTAAGTTTTATGTAATCCTGTAAAAGACAATTTGAATGCCATAATATTCTTTATGAACACAATAAACTTTTTATTTAAAGAATTAATGTATTTAAATAAAGAAAGCTTATTATAAAAGGTTTTTTACATAACATCATTATATGGTAAGTAGTCTTCAATTTAATTTAACATAACTAAATGTAAAACAAAAAAAGTGTTGATACTGCCGATGAATGTGATAATGAAACTGTTATTTCTGTAAATTGTCCTGTTTGTTCCCAGTTATTATAAAAACTGCAAGAAAAATCAAAAACTGACTTACCTAGCCACTAAATCCAAAATACTGCTAAAAAGCTTTCTTGTCATTTTTTGATTGAAGCTGGATTTCTGATAGAAAAGTTGTTGACAGAAAAAATTAATCAAATAGGTATATTTTTAGTTAGATTATGAATCTAAAATGAATATACTCATAAATGGTTATTTTAACAAAATATTGTTTAATACAACATTAATCCACAATCAAGGAAAGTAGTATTTATTATATTTGATTTTAAAATGATAAATGCTATATTCTATATATGTTAAGAATGCCCAAATTTCAAAAAAAAATTATTTAAATTTGAACATAACTGTCAGCAAAAAACATGAATGCATTTTTTTTTTAATTTTGAGAATTTACTTGAATTAAGTATGAAACAAACAATTGATGGACTAATTTAATTGTAATGGTCTACAATATAGACTCTACACCTAACATGTTTGTTATTCAAACAAATTGATTAAAAATAAATTAATGAACAATATTATTACCTTCTACTAACTATATTACCTTTGTATACAGGCTTTTAGAAATGGATATATTATTTTTGAGAGGGGAAAATAAAATAAATAGAATTTGAATATAAAATTGTACTAATAAAAAACAGTGTCTTAATATGCAAATTATTGATAATTTTAAACTATTAACTTAAATCTCATCAGAAGCTAATAAAAATAAACTTTTTTTATTAAACGACACAAAATAGATTGAATCTAGAAATACACAACAGCAATATAATATACGCTACTTATTTATTTATATGACTAAAACCGTTTTAATTTATTTAATAAATTATTTCTTTTCATTCCAATTTTTCGTACTTTTATCCAATACTGTTTAGTACTTGGATCCAATTCTTGTAATGGTAATGGTCCATCTAAAAATAAATAATAATAAGTACTATATTAATTTATTACTGAAATAATTAAAATCAAATGTATAAATAATTTGGCTTGTTTTACTGTTTTTATAAAATTAATTATATAATATGTCAAGTTTGATAGTTTTTTAATTTTCTATTGTTTTTACACAAACTTTAATGCAAGATTTGTTATGTTAATTTTAAAATTATTTTATTTACACCCAGTTTTATTCACCATATAGTGTATAAAACAATAATGCATATATTAAGTATTTTTGGGCATTTAAATGTATTTGCATTTATGTTTAAATCTTTTGAAAATATAATGTAATATAAATACTAAACTATAATGTTCAATAAATCTTGTTAGAATATAAAATGTATGGTTATATAGTTAACAAAACATATTATGTACATATTACCTTACATTAATAATTTAAAATGCGTTACCTATATTCAATTTCCAAAGCCAATCTGGGTATTCTGAGTTAGGTTTTAATTCTACATCTTGCCCTTCTTTTAAAATATTACTTCCACACACAAATTTAACCAATTTCTTAGCATCAGTTTCAACAGGAAGTTCAAATTTTTCTAAAATTGGACCCCCTTTGCCCAATTTTTTTTTTGATTTTCCCAATCCCATAATACCTAAAACAATAGTATAATTATCATTTTATAAAATACAATTAAAATATAAATTTGTAATATTCACATACCGCTGGGTGCTGCATATGTATTGTTGGGTATTCGGATACAAGTTCGAACATTGTTCAATTTAATTAGTTTAAACATTTTAATGCTATTAATATGAATTACAATTTCATATAAAATGAGGGTATAAGGACAAACAAGTCTACAACAAAAATTATTTAATATGAAAAATACATTCAACTGCTGAACCGCTGTAAATTGTAAACACAGACTGCATGTTATCAATTTTCACTTATCAGTTATTAGCTGATAAGATTTTACAATGAGTATATGAACCTGATAATTTTTGAACCTCTGCTAAAAATAACGTGTCGAAGTCGCCTCTTTAACTCCTGTTTATCTTTTCGATCATTAAATTCTACAATGAATTTTATCAAAATAAACACCTTATATATTTTTTCGTAGATGTGTATCAAGGGGGGGGGGGTAGTTGAGTTGGGTTGTTAACCATAGATAAAATATTATCTATGACCGTGGTATTCTTTCTTATCTTGTATCATTATTCAGTAAGATAGTGGGCCAAAAAAAATACGTCACTCGCAATTATCTCGCTGTCTATTTGCAAACAAAATTACGAAATATACAATGTATATTAGCATTTTAATCATTAGGTAACAGGGACGTCACTTTGCATTTTTCACGGGATGCTAAAAAAATATTAAAAATGCAATAGTAAAGCCGCTCTAATTGCGTACTACATAGGAACTACTTAGGACAAAATGAATAAATCTCCATATAAAAATTCTATTTCTCAATTATAACTTATTAATATTGATTATTGATAACACTTACAATATTCAAAAATGTATTTTATCCTCAACCTGAGGACGCGTTTGGTAGCCCAACGCGCCGTTTTAGAATTGTCGCCCTGAGACGTTCTACCAGTTGGACCGCGGCTGCCACTCCGCCGATACGAGACCAACGGTAAAGGTTCCAGATCCGGGTGGCTATTTACCCAGGTACCTATACGTATTCGAACGATGTTTAGTCGAACAAAATTCGGGTTGATAATTTGGTATTGTGTACGTTTTTTTTTTATATTACAAAAAGTTCGTGAATATTGTTACTAGGCACTTACTTTTACTTTGTACATATCCATAGGCGTGCGCATGAGAGGTACCGGGTATGCCTGGGTCCTGGGCACCTCCTGACATTTTGTAATTTGGGTTTTTTAAGTTCCAAGCATAGGGCCCGTATTTTAACTGATGTTACTATATAGAATAAAATGTAATATATTCTAATAAATGTGGTAAAAATAAATCATGGTTCGTGATAACAAAAATAAAAAAATGTATAATATTTTAAATTTGCTTGGAAAAACTTATTATGATCATAACAATTCGATGATATTGACTACCAAATTACAAATAATAAATACACATTGGAATTATTGTAGAAACAGATATTATATCCAAGGAGCATTGTACCTGTTACTAGTTGTTCGTGTGATTGGTTACTTTTAATATTAAATATTGTGAAAAGTAAATTAGGAAGTACCACGGCCCAAGATCGTTTGAAATCATTAATTTTGCTTTTTACGGAACAAGAAACGGCCTATAATGTCGATATAAATTTAGTTATTAATGATTTAACTAAAAGGTGTATGTTATTATAAATTTGTCATTTTTGTTTAGTAAATAGAAAAATGTAAGTGATTTTTATGTGTAAATTATAATTTAATAATTATACTTGCTTATTAAAAAAAATTAAAAAAAGGGCCTAAAAATATTTATAGGCACCCCTCAAAATTCAAATTTGCGCACGCCTATACTCATATCTATAAACTATAAACCCGTCAAGAAGGTATAAATTATAATAATAAAATAATTAGTTGACATTCAAAATGTTTCCTTGGTAACCCATAGCTTATTTCTATAGGTTATTTACCTATTAAGAGGACGTCACACTGACATTCACTGTCTCCGTCTTACAAACACGAGCAAATTTGTGTTCAGTAGGACACATTCTGTGCCATTAGTTTTAATATTAAAGCAAATTGACCTATTAAAATAAAAAGTAAGTAGATTATATATGCCCTAGCGTTGATAAGATTTGATATTTTTATTTTTAAATGAGACATGAGTATATTAAATATCGCAATTTAAAAATAATTATATGTTACTTAAAAATTAAAATATTAAAAAAACATCCACGCTAGGACATATATAATCTTCTTACATTTAATTTTGGTAATTTTAGTAATAAATGAATTTATACTTCTGCGATCCAAACTTAAAAGTGAAATATCTCGACAACAAATTGATACAAATCTAAAATTTCAACACCAAAATTTATTTTAACTAATAGTCCATTTACTTATGGAATTTTTAATTTAGGTTTCCATTTGAAAACCAAAAGTAGTTAGTGGCTTTACCCCCAAAAATAAAACAAATGTAAAATTGTAGAGTTGCTTGTTTCATTAATGTGCTAAAAAACAAATTCCTAAAAAAAACTTAATACTTTGTACTAAATTTTCAAATTTTCTTAAATAATTAAAAACAAAAAAAATACTAAATATTACTTTGTCAAACATTTATCATTTATTCTTTGTATACTAAAGATTACCTGTAAAAAAAAATCAAGAATATTTAACTACTTGTTTTAGCAGAATATTTATTAAAACCTTAAGGTAGTCAACTTGCCCCGTTCTCCCCCTACCTGTATAAAGTAAATATATACTAATATTTAGTTCACATATATTACTTACCTGCTATAATCCTTAATGGATAGGATCGAAACCGCCTGTTTTGCCGCGACTAAGGTAAATTGCAATTAGGGATATTGGGGAATAAGAAAAACTCATTGTTAATATATATTTTGCTAAATTTGTTTAAATTAATGAACAGTTACAATCCTCATTGAACTCCGATTTTTAGTTTGATTTCAAATAATGATATACAACGATTTAAAAACTATCATACAGACGTATTATAAAATTTTACATGCAAATATTAGTATAAATTTAATGCAATCTGCTTCATCTTTTAAAAAAAAAATTTTCTCTGAAATCGAGTCACTCAGAAGTTAAGAGTTTTCCCCGTAGGGCATGTTTTTAAGCTTAACCCACGCTGACACAGGGCCCTTAAATTTGTAACTATAAAATAAATTAGTATTATCTGTGTTTTTTCATGTCAATATTTTGAAATACTAATTTTTTTGGACAAACCCAGTGGCGTATTTACGAAGGCATTATTCATAGTATAGGGGCACATATTATTCTTATTTCAATTCTTTTAAAAACTCGCTAAAATCGAACATAATAATATTTATAATAATACTATTTAGAGAATACAAATTTAACAAATTTTATTTTGAACTTTAATTAATCTATAGATATAGGTATACCATAAACATAAATGCATATTATATTTATCTTCCCATTTCAACGTAATAATAATAATTTAATAAATAATACTGATAATATTATAATAGTTAGATACTACCTTAGTAGCTAGTTTAATGTTAAAATCGGTTTAAACAAAGTATGTAGCTCCTACTTCTACATATTAGTATTGTTCGTGATATATTTAAATTTAAATTTAACATTATAAAAAAAGCCATATACATAATGATGTATTATATGCGTAAATAGGTTATTTTTTTTTTCATAATAAACAAGGCGATTTTATTTTCGCAAGGTAGGGATGTCGCCGACTTTTATGTTGCAAGTAAATAAAAATCGACCAAGTTTTACTTTAACTAGAAGGGGCCTGGCACAACAATCATGACACGGTGCCGTGCTAGAACCCTTTTATATAAATCGAAATGACTGCATACACGCCACTTTGCTATGACGACAAATACACAAATGGCTGATTTCATGTCGCCGAACAACGGAATTTCAAACGTAAGTACGATTATTTTATCATATATATCTATATATAAATATAATATAATATATGTAATTCAATATAAAATTACATATTAAAAAATAAAATAATAAGTCAAGCGTAATATTATTGTTTTCTTAACGGATAGTTATAGTTTCTAATATTTAAATTAGTATTTAATGTTCATATTCTGTGTTTAAAGCACGAAAGTCCCGATTTCGCTATATTTGGAATAAATGCGGAGCTCACTGATGTTAGTTTCAACCCTCAACGTAGACAAACATGCATTAATATTCCATTATTGCCAGCAGCTTTGCAACCTCCTCGACTCCATCAGAAACGATCATCTAATATTAGGTATAGTATATTGTATTATTATATCATATCACCTATATTATACAGGGTGATTCTTTTATCGTTGAATAATAATTATTTCGAAAAGTATTAAAAAAAAAATGTGTTGACAATAATTTATTTAAGAAACAAACAGATTTAAAATTTTATATTTTCATTATTTTTTGTTACCTTTATATTTGGGGTTGAAACCTCTACCAACTTTTGATTTTTAAATGGTAACCCAAATTAAAAGTTCCATAAATAAAAAGAGAATTAGTTTAAATAAATTGTAACTTTATGTTTTAGTAGATGGAGAGTAGTGGAGCACTAATAAAACGCCGCGCGCTGCTACACTAATGATATTCCACTACTTTCCTCCTACCTAAACTTAAAATTGGAATATCTTATGAACGGGTTGACGGAAGTCAAAAATTTTAACACCAAAATTAATTAAAAACTAATACTCTATCTGTGTATGGAACTTTTAATTTGGGTTACCATTTAAAAATCAAAAGTTGATAGTCGTTTCACTCCCAAAAATAAAGGTAACAAAATATAATGGTAACATTCATCCTGTATACCTACTTAAAAGTGCCTATATATTATAAGGACATAATAGTCAATTAATTTTTTTTTTCAAGCAATAGCAATAATTTGCACGAAAACATGAGTAGCACAAATTTGGTATCGTTACAAACATTGACAGATGGAAAAATACAAGCTACTAGATCTCAAAATGTTAAGAGTCGCAACCCAGAAAGAATGAGTTTAGATAGGTATTTTACTCCTATTTTTATTCTAGAAATATTTAAATATTATGATACCAAATACAATTTTTCTTTTAAGACGGGGTTTAATGAGCGTCCCTGTGATCACCGGTGAATCTCGACTTCGACTACTGTCAATGCAACACAATTTGCTAACAAAATTGGATGGTATTTCTGGTGCTGGTTTATCTAGATTAGTATTTTTAGATGTATATGGTAACCAATTAGAAAGAATTACAGGTCTAGAATCCTTGAATAATTTACGTGTGCTTTTACTAGGGAAAAATAGGTAGATATATTTTCCTGTATTCAGTTGTAATACTGTTTAAACAATTTTACATTGTTGAATTTCTCTTTATTGTAGAATTAAACGAATCGAAGGTTTAAAAACATTACACCGATTAGAAGTTCTCGACTTGCATGGCAACCAATTAACTCAAATTGGTGGACTACAAAGTCAAGGCGAATTGAAGGTTTTAAACTTAGCTGGAAATCAAATAAAAGTGTTAGGTTCATTAGATCTCACTGGTCTCAGATCATTACGAGAGCTCAATCTCCGTAGAAATCGTCTAAAATGTCTTTTAGGATTCGCTGAGACTCAACAATTGACAAAACTTTTTCTCAGTAACAATGAAGTAAACACGTAAGTTGTATAGGATTTAAACAAAATACTCATCTAACAATTAAACATAGTCTTTAATCAAATATATATTTTTAGTATTGATGATATGCCAAGTTTAGTACATTTAAATAAACTCCAAGAGTTGGCTATTGACAATAATCCAGTGTCAGCTGTAGAAGAATGTGTTTCATTTTTGGTATCGCATCTTCCTCAGCTTCAAGCTCTTAACCGCATTCAGGTGACCGATCAAATGAGACGTACTGCTGTAATCTGGAAAGAAAACAGAGAAAGCCTTAAATGTGTAGCTGCAAATTCTGTTCAAGAACCCGGAAAAAAAGGTCGTGAGAACATTATATATAATGCTAAATCAAATTGGGAACAAATGCGTTCTCACCATTGTGCTTATCCCAATTTAGCCTCATCTTTAAAGGATCTAAGAAGCTCAACAGAAACAGAAGATGGTAAATAATATTATTATGGAATTTAAAAACTGTAAGTGAAGTATGATATAATAAACCTAAATACCAGGATTGTTTTGTTTAAATACACGTTTTAAGTATCAATAAAAAACGTGCGTTTAAAACAATATGTTCAGTAAATTTTAAATTAAAATAATAAATGGATTTTCTATTTTACGGGACACATTTTTTAACGATTTTTTTTTTAAATCAGCAATTTTCAGTGATTTAAAAGCGATGGTAACAAAAAAACAAAAAAAAATGGGGTGATCGTTTTAAGCAAAACTCCATAATTGAAAATAATCACAATCCCCAAATTCTGATTGCACCACTGTTATCAGCGTGAAAAATTATAAAATATAAATAAAAATAAATTTAAAAAAAAATATCCAGTAAAGATCTTCTGATCTATTCTACATATTTAAAATAATATAAAATAATATAATGACTGATACATGATGACTGATGAGGATTAGTTAAAACGTAAATGATAAAACCATATAGGTATAAAAATCAAGTAGGAAAATAATTAATTGATTGAAAAATGTAAAATGTGAAATTCTTACTTTATAATAGTACATTAATTTGCTGAAATATGAGATATAAAATAGAAAATTGATTACTACCAAGTAATGAGTAATGACTATAATGAAATAACTTATAAAATTACCAAAAAAATTATTTTAATGAAATTATAGAAATTAATATTAATGTTACGAATTTACGATCACTGTTATATATTATATACATTTTGTAAATTTTTGTGTAAATAGATTCTATAATAACATAATATAATTATTAAACTGATAAAGAATGTTAATTCATCCTAAAGTTTCCTCTTAAAAATTAGAATATAATAATATATCGAGCGTATTCATTAATATTTGTATTATAATTTAACATTATTTTATAGGTACAAAAAGTGATTCTGCACTTTGTAAAAATTCATTAGAAGAAAATCAGGAAACTGTCATTTCGGATCAACGAAAAAAGAAAATGTACTTTTTATATAAAAATCGAACATTTGTGGAAAAGAAACTTTGTCGCCGTCCGACAATAGAGAAGATTGAAGCAGTACCTGTAACAAGACTGCCACCAATATTGAATCAATATCTCAATCAAAGTCCAACTTCCAAAAGAAAATCTGAATTTAGACACAATGATAGCAGTAGTTTAGATATGTATCCATCTGACCAAAGTGTACAAAGTAAAAGAAGTGTTTCAAGCTTAGGCAATGTGGACGAATCAAATTGTGATGAAACTAGTAGTAGTAGTAGTAGTAGTAGCATCGAATCTTCTTCTGAAGAAAAACCACCCAAAGAACAAATTAATAATGTTCGACCAATAAAAAGTGCTAATCCAAGAATGTCGGCGCCTATTATAAGTGACAAACAGGAAAATAATTTTAGACCAGCTACATCCAGGCCTAAACCAAAAAGCAATACTGCTAGCTTAAAAGATAAAAATAAGGAACAAGGTTTGACTGAATTTTTTAATTATTATAATTAAGTACTCATACAGATACAGTATACATTAGAGTGATACCTTTATCATAGACTAGTAATTTTCTTGAAGGCAATTAATTTGATTTTTGTTTTTCAAACATTATGGAATTGTATAAGTTTTATTTTTAAATTTTCTTTAGTTTTAGGTTTGGAAAGTAGCGAGTATGGGAGTAGAGAAAGTACGGAGAGTATTTATTAGTTTTACTACAATGTAGTTTTTTTTTTTTGTATCTGTGACCAACTTTTCGAACAGTAAAATTACTCCAATTGAAAAATTACTAGGGAATTTTTTTGTTGAATTTTGTTTTGAGAACGTCAAATTTTGATTTTTATAATATTTTGGAAAAACTGAAAAACAATTATTATCGGAAAAACGACAAATATTTACGGTGCACTGCGGCACTGCGGCATTGCTAATTTCATAGTTTTTATTTTTTACGCACTATGTTTACTATCAAAAATATTGTTTTAATCGAAAAATTCCAAAAGACCTTTTTTATTTTAAATTTTAAATTTTGTTGTTGAAAGGAAGTTGTTTTTTGATTTCTTCCTATAGTTTTTTTAATAATTAAGCAAAACTGAAAAAAAAATGAGAAAGAATGGTGAAGTTTACGGAAATAATGGTTTTATTATATTTAATTTTGTGTTTTTCTTGTAATTTAGTTTATAATATCCATACAGTAACTTGAAATTTGTACTAAATTTATGTAGATGTAATTATTTGGCTAAATAAAAATGTACGAGACCAGAAGTTTATTATAAGTTATACTTAGTAATCAATAGTAATTTTAGATTCTGAGCGGAGCAATTGATTTTACATTAATGTTTTTCGGTGAACAAATTTTTTATGAGAAATCATGCTCCGATTTCGAAGTGTAGCATTTTTTCTGAATGGGAATTAAACTTGAGTGGTACTTTAAGGAGGTCATTTTTCTCAGTGATTTTTTTTTTTAATAAATGGGAAAAAAACATGGAAAAGTGGGAAAATGTACGAAATATATTATTTTCAAATTGTAAATACTACAGCCTTTCAAAATATGTATAACCGAGTTCCACTCAGAATAGGTTTTCATTAACCAATCATTACGTACAGATACAAATTAAATTTTTTCCTCTACCTTCCTAACTTCTCAGCTATTACAGCTCACTCATTGTGCGAAGTATGTCCGTTTGTTTTTGTTTATGGTTGTTTTAAGGTCAAATTTTGAAGAAAATCATAAATATTACTGTATTATACATTATGTATAAACGAACTTCGTCCATAAATGTTTTTCATTAGCAATGGTTTATCATTGATTACAGATATAAATTAAATAGTTTATGAATCTTAACGTCGACAACAGTGGCGCGCGTTAATACGTAAAACACAAATATTTAATTCATTGATTATGACTTAAAATATTTTTAAATTTAAACTGGAAGAATAAGAGCGGGTTTTACATTTCATAATCACTTTTAGATGATTAATTCATAACTTCCCTACTCTTCTGGTGTATACTTTAAACTGTCTAAAAGAATAATCCATAAACGGTATATACCTATAGGCTGGTATTAGTGTTATGCCTATCAAAATTGTATAACAATATCCTCTAGTTGAATCTGTGTTTTAAGAGTGGGAAGTGGTTGCTATTAAAAATCTAAAGTGTGCATTAATTTCAGATATAAGGAGTAGGAGAACAAAATTGAAAATAGTGTTAAAATAAAGCTTAACGATTCTATGATTAAAAAAAACAGTAATCCAATTTACTTGAAAATAGGAAAGGCTGATGGGAATCGATAGACTTCCTATTTTGTTTGATTAAATGCATTATATTTTTTGTATTTTAATATATCTATATTAAATATATATAGTTAACTATACAAATTAAAATAATACCTATTTAAAAAAATAGGCAAGACAATTTTTAAAGTATGTTTTTACATACCTATTGTTAAATTTTATATTATTTTTTAATATGTTAGTAAAATTAATATTGTACTTATCTATAATTTATACACTTACAGGTGGCGATTATTTAGTTGAAATAACTGGTAAGTTTTTAAACGTGTACGGTCAAGGTAGTTTACGATACATAGACAAACCATGGAATCAGTCAAAATCAAATGATGTTTTAACAATTAAATTCAACTATGTCAGCTTCAATTCACTTGTACCGGTTTTTTCCAAAATTAAAAATCGTTTTCCAAACGCGGAAAACTATTTTTTTCGTGATACCAATATTTACTGCCTTGGTCAATTGAATGCTCTAGCTGATTTACAAGGATTAGTTTCGTTGTTTATACATGAAGATGGAAATCCTATCACTCGAAAAGAATGGCATGCCTATGCAATTTATAGATTATCTCACTGGGGATTGAAGTTTGTAAATGATAACGAAGTATGTATACAAAAAAAAAATTGAATACTTAAACTATGAAATAAAAAATGCATTTTTCCTTAAAATGTATTTATATGCTTAATAAATCGTGTTTTATTTAGGTAGATGAAACTCAAGTAGTTAAATCTTCAGATACCTTTAAGGGATTAAGCAATTTGGTTTTATATTCATTGCCAGAGACATTGTTGACACCATTGCTCAATAAATTACAACTAGATTATAGTGCTGAAGAAAGTGCGTGTAAATGGTTAAAATCATCGGATCCAGCTTTACGAAATGTCGTTTGTAAAGAGGCATTACAATGGCGTAAAAATGGAAATGCTCAGGTAATTAATATTCTCTATGGCTAATTTTAATTTTAATTATTTTATTTCACAATTTTTTTTTTATTATATGATAAAATGAGCATTTCTAATACAATAATAAAAATTAAAACCTTAAAAGAATAATCTATAACTAATATTGTATATACATTAAAGTGGCCCAAAAAAACTGACTTACGAAATTCAATATGTGTACCCCCCCCATTTTTTAAATTAAAACGAAAAAAATTTTTTTTGTAAATGTGGTTTCGATAACTCATCTCCTTGCCGTTGAATTATGGCAAAAAGGTGTTATTTACACAAAATTATTTTTCATATCAATTAGGGGGGGGGGTTTAATTTTTAATTTCCCAAGAAAATGTCAAGCCCATATAGATTTGGACCACCCTAATCTATATACATACATATATATTCTTCGAAATATTATCTGTGTATCCATTTATTATATATATAGTTCCATTATCGTCTGATTTAAAATATGTTTATTATCTAATAATCACTATAAAGTCATTAAAATTTTGTTTTGGTACTGTGGACAAATTTGTATTATATTATTAATACTGTTTATTTTCAGGATGAATGTATATGGAGACATAAAGGACTCATTCATTTTAATTCTTTGATTAATACAACGTGCCTAGCGATGGCAAAACTGATTTTATTAGAGCATGAATGGCCTCATGTGTTTAAAGAACTCATTCAAAACATATTGGTTGATTATTCACAACTCGAAGAATACATGAAACGGAAATTAAACGATTTACGACCTCCCTAAAATAAATAAATTTGTTTTTTTAGCATTTTGGCAACAAGATATTAATTATAATTATGCAAATACCTATCCATTAAACAAAAATACACGGTTGTTTGTATAGAACTATCTTTTTACAAGTCATAAAAGTACCTAATTGAATGAATTATTACAAAATAAATAATATTATCTTCAAACAAAAATTGACATTAATATTCTTACCTAAAATAGATTAATTATTGCAGTACTTCTTAAACCAGTGGCGGATCCAGGGGTTGGCACAGGAGTCCATGCCCCCGTCACGTAGGCTACAGTTTTTTATTTATGTATTTCATATTAATTTTTAATTAATTTACTGAAAATATAAATAATGCCCCCCCCCCCTTTTAATCAATTTCTAGATCCGACGCTGTCTTAAACTATTTTATCTTAATAACATCGTAAAATGTTTGAGTACACTATATTTATAGTTTTATTTATTATTATTAATTTATAAATAAAATTGTATTTTTCTTTAAATTTATATTAGTATCTATTTAGTTTTCTATTAATTTATTTTAGATTCTGAGTGAAGTAAAATATCTATTGGTTTACTATGATGTGTATTTTTTTTTCTCTATAAATAATTTTTCTCTTAGAAATCTTGTTTCAATCAAAACATAACAAGAGACCTGTTTTGTTGTATTTCGGCTCTTGTTGATACTTTAAATAGGTCATTTTTTGAAATTCTCATTAATATTTTAGGTAATGAAGAAAACTGGTTCTTTAGGTTAAAAAATATGAAAAGATTAAAAAAAAAAAGGTACTCATTGGTAAGTTTCAAATTATGGTGCAAAGATTTTGTTTTTTAAAATTTATACGGTTTATGTTTTCTAGCATAAATATTGCCCTAAAAGAAAAACGATAAAGACCTTTTTTGTTTCATTTTTTCATTAATCTAGTTAGTGACCAAGAAGGTTGGTTTATGAGTTTTTTTTTTTGATAATTGAACAAAACCGAAAAATAAGTAGGAAGAACGGGAAAATATACGTAAACAATTCTTTTATTATTTTTAATTTTGTTTTTTTAGTGTAATTCGGCTTAAATTATTCGTAGACACTTAAAATGTTGACAGAAAATTATATTTACTTTCTGTTATTTGTATTTTTTAAACGTAGTAGAATTTTCAAAATATTTGAGCCATTTTTGAGTTATTTATAGGCAATTTAATTTTGCGAGCTTTTTACGTAATTTTTATTTGGTAGGTATTCAACTGGGTATAACATTTTTAGAATAAACAAAAATAATTGAAAATTTGACAACAGGTTTATAAATCGTACTTGGTAGTGAAAACAAATAATTGAGCACAATACATAATTTTTTTTTTTTTTTAATAAGAGTTTTAAAATCTTATTTTGACGAAGTATTACGGCCTTTCAAAACATGTATAATCAAACTTCTAACTTCTAAGTCAGTAAGTCTATTTGAACACAAAGTGCTCAAAATGAATGAACTAAAAATATATTTGTTTTATGTAAAAATATCTATTTAGTCCATATAATAGGTAGTAATAGGTATGAATATATACCTAAGAAGTAACATTATTTATTTGTTATAGTACATAAGAAATTAAAAAAAAAAAACAATATTATTTTCTTAGAATTATTCATGATTTCGTACATTTATTTAATTATTTATTTGTTTGATTATTTTATAGATAATATATAATTTTATTTGTATTCAAATTATAATTCTGTTCGGTTATACTGCATCAGTGTATACATGTATAATAGTTCCCATTCGTTTAATGACCTCGTGTAATTTTGATTTTTAGACTTTATAACATCATTTGTATAGTAATTTAATTGAAATCAATACTTATAATTATTAATTGCTCAGTATGAACCAGATACACACCATGAATTTGAATAATTTAAATTTAGTATTACTTTATCAAATGATAGGTACTTATGGTATGAAATTCTATTCATTGGACGTTTCTGATACCAACTTAGTTTTTTTTTTTTAAATTTTAATGTCAATAGCTACCTTCATAATGTATTATTTTTGGAATTCATATTTTGTTTGTTTAGTTATTTTATATTTTATGTCACTTGTGAATTCAAGTAATATAAAAATGACCAATGGCCAAGTATGGCCAAAACCTAGACTTCAGCATAGTTATGACCAATACTTAAAATTAAAACCAGACAATTTTCATTTTCAGGTAAGCAAATAAATAGGCGTATTAAGATGAATAATTATTTATATATATTCTATGATGGTGTTCTTATTATTGTGATTGCATAAGTAAGAAGTTGTTACATTATTAATATTAACACCTAGGTTAAAGGTTTTCCAAATTAACAAATTATTTATTAAATTTATTTTTTAAGTAGGCGTACATTCATCATTTCAAATTTAACTGAAAAAAATATTCTTCAATAAGCTGCTGCAGCTCTGATTTCATAAATTATTTAAATTTAAATGTATAATAATGAAAATAATAACCTACTGATATTTTTTAACTAAACTGGTTAAAATTAAAACCAAAAAGAAATGTTTATTTCAAAATATTGTACCTATAATTTAAATTATACCTATGTTTAATAAAGTATATCAATTAATTATTAATCAATTATTAATTATTTACAATTCAAATTTGTTACTACATGACAAATTATAAGGCAGAGAAGTTACAGAAATTAAATTCATTGCATATTTAAATAATATACAGGTATTTACCGTCATATTACACACACAATGATTATCTCTATTTTTTATTTCCCATTGTTCGGCTGACTAGTTAAAAGATGATCCCATCACAAATATGATGAGGCTTAACAATATTTGATCAAAAAATTAAGTAATTGAACTTAATTATTATTTTCTTTTATACATTTTGTTCAACCTTTAACTGTAATACTTACCCATCCATATACTTAATAATAATCATAATTGAATATACAAATCTACAAATATCCAAAAATAAATAGAAGGTACAATGGTTCATTTTGAAATTAATACATTTTAGTTTATGAATTTAAATGAAAACATATTTTGAAAAAGTTTTTTTTTCTATTTTTACCTATAGTTTAATGATATGAAAATTGTGAAACAAGATAAAATTTATAAAAAATAAGTCAAAATAGGTATTTAAACTAAATTCTAGACATTATGTTTTTTATTTTTTTTTTTTCATAATCATTTATTTGTTTATTTTACTATTTTATATTATTTATATTTACAATTTTGTATGTATCACTTTGATAGGTATTCACCTATTTATAATTAATTTGTAAAATAATATATATTATTGTTAATCAAACAAATTATTATACGTTTAGGTAACTGGTTATAGCTGTGACATCCTTGATATTCAATTAAAGAGATACAAACGTATGCTATTTTTAAAAGCCATAAACAATAATGAATACTTAAATAGTTTATCTATGAATTTTACAAACGAACCAATGAAAATGTTAAATGTACTTTTACTAAACCCATGTGAAGATTATCCTTCATTAAACATGGATGAAAAATGTTAAGTTATTTTTCAGCAATTTAAATAATAAGTCTCAATAATAAATTATATTTATATTTTTTATTACAGATGAAATATCCATTAACGATACCAATGGAATTTTATTAGCAAATTCTATATGGGGTATTCTTAGAGGCCTGGAAACTTTTTCTCAATTAGTTACTCTTGATAAAGATGGTTCAACGGTATTGTATTTTTATCTATCACTCGACTACCTATTTACTATTTTAATACCTAATTTATGATGATTAGGTGAAATCATGAGTAATATTATTGTATTATTATTATTTTTGATAACCTATATAATTTAATACTTATCTCAAAAAGTAGCATAATGATGTTGAATGTAGGTACAAAATCAATAATTTATCTTAATTAAAATTATTAATGAAGCTATATTAGAAACTGTTAATTGGAGACTAGATATTTTTTTTTTTTGCCCGAGTCGTTTACTGCACATATTATGTTTTTATTGAACTTAAAGAACACACAAGATGTAAACTAAAAATGTATATTATATAAAATATAAATTCAAATTAAACTTAAGAATAAAATAAAATTCTTAACAGTTATAAAATTATTATAAATTTAACACCAGTACAAATAATAAGTACAGAAACAAATTCAAAACTATTTAGATTCAATTTATTTAGTTTTAATTTTTTCAATGATATTGATAATACTATATAGTTTAAATAGAAAAGCATTAATAATTTGTATAAATACTCATTTTACATTTCATTTCATTTTATATTCGTAAAATATAAATTAATGCGTCAAGTGGAATAACAGGGCCAGTTCACATAGGTTAGTAAAATTGCCAAGAGAAGGAAAAAATGTTTCAAGTGATAAATATTTTCTTCTTTTTCTTTTTTTTCGCTTTCATTCCTACTATTTAGGATCGAACACCCTCGTCGTTAACTTCCACTTGACCAAATCTCCTACCTCGTACATACTGGCTGTTCTCGTATCATTTTAAACTCAAAACCTTTTTTCGGTCTTTCTTTTCCACTCTTTCCACCAACGTTCATTTCCATTACAGTTTTTACTACTGATTACTCTCTCCTTAAGACATACCCAAACCATCTAGGTCTATTTCGTTTCATTTTGTCTATTATTAAAAGCACGCCTAGCTAAGCTACATGTTCTGTTCTCATTCCTCATTTCATCTCATTCTATTTTCTCTTGTCACTCACTTACACCATGTCTCCAATTAAGCATTCTCATATTTACTACATTCATTCTCGGTTATTCGTCTGCTTACCACTCAACACTCAGAAGCATACAAAATAGTTGGTCTCATCACACTTTTGTAGAATTCACTATGATATCATGGGATTTACCTTAAGTCTTATAGGAATATTCTCTTGTCAAATAAAAACAACTAACGCTTCTCTCCAGTTGCATATTTAATCGTTGCTGCATACAAAAATACATTAAATTTCTCTCTATATCCTACCTTCCCAACTTCTCACTTAAAATAGTGGCCCACCCATTCGGTTTTTTTTTTTTTTATTCTTATAAATAACTTTATTATAATTTGACTAAACTTTTTATAACTACACAGTTTGTTATTAGATGTACGTCAATAACGGATTATCCTAAATTCAGCCATCGAGGCTTTTTATTAGATACTTCTCGTCATTTTTATCCTGTCAAATCGATATTAGACACGTTAGACGCCATGTCCTATTCAAAACTAAATGTGTTCCATTGGCACATAGTTGACGACCACAGTTTCCCATTTCAAAGCAGAGCTTTTCCAAATCTTAGGTTTGATTTTAAACTGTTTTTTTTTTATTATTATTATTACTTTTTATTAAATTTATTTAGTAAAAAGGGTGCTTATGGACATTCGGCTATTTATACCATAAACGATGTTAAACTTATAATCGAACACGCAAAAATTCTTGGTATTCGTGTTATTCCAGAATTCGATACTCCAGGTAAGTGATAAAGAGTAACATACTTACAGAACTAACACCATTGTCAGTTAATTAGCATAGTATTATGGAGGTTTAAAAATTATAGGGCACGCTTCTTCTTGGAGACTTGGCGGTATACCAAGTCTACTAATTAACTGTTCGAATAATATTGATCCTAATAATTTTGGTCCCATTGACCCGACGGTACAAGAAAATTACGATTTTATCAGAACTCTTTTTACTGAAGTCGGAGAAGTATTTAAAGATCAGTATTTACACCTCGGAGGTGACGAAGTAGTGACAGCGTGTTGGTTAGTATGTAGATATAATTTCCTGTTGTTAACAATACTCAGATGTCCTGATACTTAGGTAACTACCTAGTTTTCTATCATTTACAGGTCCAACGACAAGAGAGTACAAGCATTTATGCAGAACAATAACATCAGTAACATCACGGAATTAGAAAGTTATTATTTTAAAAACATATTTAATATAACGCGGACATTAGAAACTGTTCCGATTGTATGGGAAGAAGTATTCGACGAGAACATTCGTCTAGACCCTAATGTGGTAGTGCAAATTTGGAAAAATGATTTTAATGAAACTCTACAAAAGGTATATAGGTATAAAATATTAAATATAAAATTGGTTTTATATTGTTCTAGTATACATTTCATATTAGGTTTATAAATTTATCTTTTTTTTTTCGTAGGCCTTTGTTTATCATCCAAAACAGTTATTGTTATTCTTCTCTGATATTTCTTATTTTGGTTTTTAATTAATTTCAATTTATAATGTGAGATCCATAGGTTTTTTTATCGATCAATAAGAGGTATTTTTTTAAGACATGTTAAAACTGGACTAGGTTAGGTTAAGACCGAGAAAAAAGTTTTTCAATATACACAAATTTGAAAATAATACATTATTACATAATACATAATTCGTAATTTTTCTCGTTTTCCTTTATTTTTCCTGGTTTTTCTCAATTATTATGAAAACCGTTAGTAAAATCAAAAAATGACCTCATTAAAGTACCACCAAGAAAAAATTTCTTTTTAGTTTCACTCAGAATCTAAGGTATAATAAATATGATGATTTTGTTAGTTATTTTATTTTATTCTAGAACTTAAGATTTTCTTTACAAATAATAAGATATAGGTAGGTAATAAATTGGTTTTAGTTTTACAATTTTATAATATTATTTTTAAACCAAATTTAGTATTCAGTTGTAAATATAATGAAGTGTTATACAAAATGTTTAATGAAATAATTGAATATTATTTATGAAAAAAAAAATATTTACAATTTTCCTTGGGGAGGAGAGGGGGGATAAATGTTCATGGGATGAAAATATCCGTATTAAATAGTCAAGTATCCAAATGTCAATGTCTTAATCGATATGGCAATACCATTATTATACCACTTTATCTTTTCACAAAATCAAATCCGTCTATTTCTTAGAAAAAAAAATAAACTTATATTCATTGAGAATGTTTTATACAACAGGTATTGGAATCTGGTCATCCGGTCTTGTTGTCTAGTTGTTGGTATCTTAACTACATTCAGTATGGAGCAAACTGGATGAATTACTATAGTTGCGACCCAAGCAACACGACTACCAATCGTAGTGATCTGATTTTGGGTGGCGAGGCGTGCATGTGGAGCGAATTCGTGGATGACACGAACGTGTTGCCATTTTCATGGCCGTCTGGCTGTGCTGTGGCAGAAGTCCTATGGTCACACGTGCTCAACAAGACCGAAGCTGCAGCTCGGCTCGAGGAACACGTTTGCAGGATGAAGCGTAGAGGCATACCTGCCAGGCCAGCCAATGGGCCCAACTATTGTTCATACTAGGTCACTAAAACATTATTTATGTGCTATATAGGACCGTAGATGAAATTGAATGATCATATTTTGTTATATTTTTTTTTCTTTTAGGACCAATACTATAGATTGTGTTATTTATTAATATTATGTATATTATCATATTATCAGTAATCAAATATAATTTTTCATTTGAATCTGTTACTTGTCTTGCTAATGTGAAATTTTAGAAGAATAGGTATACCTGTATTGCATCCAAATATATACCTTTTAAATTCAATTTGTAAGATAATAGATTTATTACCCAAATATTGTACTGGCACTGATATATTTGTATTATTCCTAAAGTACTCCTACAAATATTATTTTTAGGACAGGGGCAAATTCACAAAATAATGTTTATTTATAAATAAATGTTCATTAAATGAAAATGTAATTTGTAAATAAAAATCATAGACATTATATAATATTATATGTCTGATAAAAATACACAGTTATTGATATTAATTATAGGTAATTGCTTATTGCAATTTATTTGTGTCTATGTTTATTATTCATTTTTATAAAATAAATCTACTTTACACTATTGAAAAGTGCACAAGAGTCGAGTACTCTTATAGAAAATGTTTACAAAAAAGTTTTTAAATTGACTTTGTTCATTAACTTAAATTGGAGTGTTTTCATAGGCGCAACTAGGGGATGCCAGGGGGTCTTTAACACCCCTAAGTTTAAAATTAGTACTCCAAAATATACCCAATATGTTTTTTATAGTATCGACTAAATATTTTATCCATGTATTATCTAATTAATAAGCAGAACAAATACAGATTACCCATTTACAAACAATGCATGTGTATATAAAAATAAAGTTTAAAAGGTGATGCAACATTTTTATAAGTAAACATTTTAAAATTAAATGTCTTGTATGCTTATTATAAGTGTCATGTAAAGAGAATTGTGAAGACATTGCCCCCATGGGCCTGTCGTGTGTCTATAATTTTAGCACCCCCAAAGTTGGTGGTTTAGTTGCACCTATGAGTGTTCCACAAGTGTAAAATTTATTTTCCACATCTATAGATCTGAGCTGAAAATACTGCTTTTTTGCGTACCAGTTTGACCTTCGTATTTTTATCCAAATATATTTGTAATTATATATTGTTGCTACTTGCTTCCCAAACTAAAACAGTTCTCTATTTTTAGTTGGCAGTTGTTCATTAATATAAACATTATTATTTGGAAGATTGGAATGAGTGGAATGTAAATCTTTAGCTACAAGAGAATTATTATTTTAGTTCTTGATTTAGTTCACTGCAGATAATAATTTTAATAATTTTCCTTTTAACTCGCTGTTATGCAATTGGAAAATTATTCTACTATTTAATCCATTACGAACTTTAATTTTAACAACTTTTTCTATGATTCTTCGTTAAGCTCAACTTGAAGAAAGTTGGCTAAAGTCAAAATAAAATGATTGAGTGATTCGTTTTCCGTTTTTGGTATACCAATAATATCAAGATTATTGCAAAGTTGGTGTTGTTCAGAGATATTTGCGTTATTTTTAAAATTGTCCTCTTTTTTTTTTTTTTTTTTAATTTTTTTTTTATCTTACTCTCAACTTTGGTAATGCGTTATCCATATTCGTATTAAATTCATCAACTTTGGCCGTGGCGTGCCGTAAATATTTGATGTTTTACCTATAATTTTCTTTCCGGTTTTCCCCAATTATTTTGAAAATAATGACATCAAAATATCACCTCCCTAATACATCAACTAGAAAAAATTACTTTTTAGAAAAGGTGCTACACTTAATACTTCGGAGCAAGATTTCTGGTAGAAAAATTGCTCACAACACAAATACAAAAATACAAAATACAAAAAAAAGACCGGCTATTGAAGATGGGTGTGCATTAGTGCTGCTGTGGTAGTTGGGAAATTGGGAAGGTAAGATACATAAAGTTATTTAATTTACTTATATCTGTATTCAATGATGTACCATTACTAACGAAAAACGATTTGGAGCGAAGTTCGATAAGACAAATTTTGAAGCGTCATAATTTTTACGATTTTTGTCAACATTTGACCTTTGTTTAAAGGTTGCTTGTGAAAAAAAAAAATAATGCATTAAGCTCAATTTTTTTTTAGACCACTCAATACAACTTATAATACCTTATTATCTTATGTTAAATTTTCAAATATTTCTCTGAAGTTATCCACTAAATTTTAATAACAGATAAAAACTCGAATATATTAAATACCTATAAATAGCCTAAAGATAATTAAAATATTTTGAAAATTTTATCACATCTACCAAAGGCCAATATAAATATTTCGTGAAAATTACAGATCTCTACGAAAAATTTTAATGGAATAACATCAACAAGTTCAACTCGTATACATGTATTAATCATAGACATAGTCACATAGATCTATGTTTATGTCTATGATCCATACTAAACCACTAACTAAATTTAATTCAATGTACATGTTTATTATTATGATTTAACGCGCAAAATAGATAACCGCCGACCGGTTTTGATAACGATAAATTATAACAGTACGATAATGAATTCAGGACAAATGAAGACGATTACAAGTTTCAACTGTTTTATTGTTTTATTAAATACGTACCTATCAATATTATAACATATTAACATGTCAATTTTAATTATCTAGGATTATATATTATATTTTGTTTATTTTTTACTCATTATGAAATATTTTGTTTTAATATCGTTGTTCGTTTTCACGATCATTTTAAAGGCATTTGAATGTCAGGTAAGTACTCTCTAAAACTGGAAATTAACAAATATTCTAAGGCACACACAAATATTTTTCCAAGGCAAACCATTCAAACAATTGGGCTGTACTCGTAGATACATCAAGATTTTGGTTCAATTATAGACATGTAGCTAATGTACTATCTATATACAGAAGTGTAAAACGTCTCGGTATACCAGATAGGTATAAGATAAAATATTTATAAGCGTCACTAATTTATGTGTCAGTTGTATTAGCATTGGAATATTCTATGTATTTATTATTTAGTCAGATAATATTAATGGTAGCTGACGATATGGCTTGTAATCCACGTAATCCTAGTCCTGCAACTGTATTCAATAATGCTGATCAACAGCTCAATGTCTATGGTGATGATGTTGAAGTTGATTTTAGGGGCTATGAGGTAAATATTTCTTCACAGTTAATTTTAATGGACTTTTATTTAATATTTTTGAATTCATAGGTAACAGTTGAGAATTTTGTACGGTTGTTGACTGGCCGCTTACCACCAGATACACCTCGTTCAAAACAATTACTTACTGATGAAGGTAGCAACATCTTAATATATCTGACTGGCCATGGTGGTGATGGATTTCTTAAATTTCAAGATTCTGAAGAAGTTACTAGTCAAGAGTTAGCTGATGCACTTGAACAGATGTGGCAGAAAAGAAGGTAGGTAATTAGGAAAAATTACTGAATATTAATGAATTTAAAATCCTACTAAATAATGATAAATTAACATAATAATTTTTCATTTTTATTTTTAGGTATCATGAAATATTTTTCATGATTGATACTTGTCAAGCCTCATCAATGTATGAAAAATTTTATTCGCCAAATATTCTTGCAATGGCTAGTAGTTTGGTGGGTGAAGATTCTTTATCGGTAAGATACTTGTTAAAAAATATAATTTAAACCAATAATATAGGTGCTAATATTATTTATGTGTAAGTCATTATTATCTATTATTTTTAAAAAGATAATGCTGTGAAATAAATGTTAGTATATATATTTTTTTTAAACAATTTTATTTTGATTATAAAGAAATATTTTTAATAATGACAACATTTAGCCATGTTTTAATTATTATTACATAACATCAACAATTTTATCTAGGTTAAAAATGATTAGTGATATAATGTTTTATAAAATATTAATCTGGCATTTATTATTATTTTAGCATCATGTGGACCCAGCAATTGGAGTGTATATAATTGACCGTTACACTTTTTACGCATTAAAATTTTTAGAGAACGTTAAACTTAAAAGTCGCATCAGCATGAAAAGTTTTGTAAGTCATAATTTATTCAAAGTGTGTAAACCAATACTTTATGTTTACTATTTATTGTACTCATAGTTATTGTATATACAGAATGATTCACGAAGCGTGCTCATCCCATTTTTTAGTTGAATTTTGTATGCATTCAAATTCTAAGTGGAGTTAAAACTGAAACTTTTGAATACTTAAGCACTAATAAAACGCAGCACAATGTATCGCTACACAAATGATACTTCACTACTCTTCCCCTACTTAATCTGAAAAGTGGAATATCTCGTTAATGGGTTGACGAAAATTAAAAATGTTGACACCAAAATGTATTTAAAATAATACTCTTGTCAATTTATGGAATTTTTGATATAGATTTTCATTTGAAAAACCAAAGTTGGTATCACCACAGGATACATTTTAAATGTTGTGAAAAATCTAAGTATTCAAAAAAATTATCTTTAACTACACTTTAAAATTCTAAAAATCATAATTTGCATACATGCAAAATTTAACCAAAAAATGGGGCAAGTATCTTGGCAGATCACTCTGTATATGTACAAGTTTTTAATGAAATATGGAAGTACACTGACTTATGAACTTAACTTAAGCTTGAACACATTTTTTGTTGTTTAATAAGTATGTTAGGAAATTAATTGTATTTTTACATTTTTATAAGTAACTTAAAATTTATAATTATAATAATGAAGAACACATTTTGATGCATGTACTATGCTAAATATTAGGTATTTTATCGATCTATAATTTGATCACAATTTGTATACATAAGTATATATTAAGGTGGTCCTTCTTTTTGAACTTCAATAATTTTGTGCCACGTGCTCGAAATTCTGTTAGGCATATTGTAAAAATAATTTTTGTAAATTTTGGATATAAGTTAACCCATTCATGTGCTTCAAAAAGGTTAAAGTTTGTAAAAAAACATGTTTTTGGATTTTTAAATTTTTAACATACGACATTTACCAGACACTTTATTATAGTAAAATAGATTTCTTATAAAACAGTTCTCTTTAAAATTTTCATACAATTTTCTGTTATATGTGAAAAATTGACTTAAAATTTGGTAAATTTGTAATAGGAAATTCAAGATTATGTAAAATTTCAAATCTACAAACTTTTAAATTTATTTTTCACATATGACGATTGGTTTCACTGAAATGTTAAAAATAACTATTATGTAGGAAATATTGAAGTTAAAGGGGAAAATTTCATGAATTTCGGGTTTTCCGTTTCACGTATTTCTTAGTGAGAAGTAAACATTTTCAATTTTTTTTTTTCCAAATGTGTGATTTTTAATGTTCAATCCATTAAACTTCAATGGGTTGACAGAAATAAAAAATTTCAACACCAGAATTTATTTTAAATAAGAATCCATCTATTTTTAAAAGAGGTTGCCATTTGAAAATCAAAAATTGGCAATCATTTCACCCCCAAAAATAAGGGGCACAAAAAAAAAAAATGATAACGTAACATTTTAGAACTATTTGATTCTCAGGTTTTCAAAACAAAAAAAAATTGTAAAAAGTTAATATTTTCCAAGATAATGATCGTTTCCAGTTTAGTGAATCACTCTGTATACATATATGAAAACTATAAGCAAATTCGTAAAATGCCTGGAAAAAATACAAATTACTTATACATATTTGAAAGATTTAATTCAATTTAAATCAGAACTTCAATCAAAAATAACAAATTACAAAAAAAAAAAACTATTTTAACTATATGCATACAATTTATTAATAAATTATGGGGTATTTTCTATTTTTCTGTTTACTGGTAAAACATACCTATATATTCAGAAGAGTTATGATTGAATAGTAAAATTTGTCCATTCAAAGCAAGGGTTCCATAGATGAAACCAAAAGAAAGTCATAATTTGTTTGTATTTTTTTATAAATACATTTTTTTTTTTTTACTAGTTTTCCTAAAATCCAAATTACTCAGGTCTTAGGACATATATTATTGTCTGAAATGTTTTTTTGCAGTTAAATTTTTGCACATCAGTTCATTTATAAAAGAATCATTAAGAAAGTACACCCACTACGAGCTGCATAGTGAAAACTTAAAATTATTATAAAAAAAATTAACTATGTTATTAGATCAATAATTTAAACATATACATTTTTTATTATTTGAAAGTTCTAAATTAATATTCAAGTATTTTATTTAAATTATTATTTAAAAAAAAGAAGATATGCAAAATTCTTAAAAAAAAAATCGTTTTTATTTTAGATCAATTCTTAAATTAAATTAGTTCAACAGTTTTGTATAATGAGTAATAACATGTTTATTTTAATTTCCAGCTTGGGGTGTGTCCTAAACAAGATTGTATTTCAACTGTTGGTGTGCGAACAGACTTATTTCACAGGGACCCAGCAAAAGTTCCTATCACAGACTTTTTTGGATCAGTGCGACCAGTCGAACTAACATTTGACTTTTTAGATATTTCACATATGCCTATGTTATAAATACGTGTTATTTTGTTATATTTTGTTTTGTATATAAACTCAGACGAGTACTTATTATTTATATATTTAATTTCAAATAATTCATACAATATTATTTAATGCTGTTAATGCTACTTATTTGTTTCTTAAACTTTTGGTGTACTTGGACCTCTAATGAAACTTAGAAATTGCAAACCTCCTACTTATACTTTTTTTTTTACAAAATATTTATGTTATCCTAATCAATATTTATTGATAGAGCTGTCGCGGACCACTGTTGAAGAACCACTAATTTAATGTCATACTCATCATGTAATTTATATATAGAACATTAATTTTATATAAATTATTCATAGCGCATTTATTACAATTCTCTACCATGTGAACTTTAAATGAAAATACAATTTATGATCTCATAATAACAATAATTTTTTTTTAACATTACAATCACTAATAACATTGAACTTAAAACTTTTTAGAATTACAGCCAAATTACTTCATGAACCAATTACGAATTCCATATTTTGCAGGCGGTCTTTCTTCATCTTCAAAATCTTTAAGACCGACTGGTAAATCGCTAAATACTGTAAGTTCTTCAACTGGTTTCGGACGATTTCCAGTGTAGACCCGTGGTTTGCAAAAGAAACCGTGTTCAGGTCGCTCAATACCCAATTTTTCAAATACACACTTGTCATACACAGCTTGAGTTTTACGACAGGGTTGAAAGTCCAAGGTGCTACTAGATTTATCAATACAGTTGCTATATATTTGAAATTCGTCATAACAATTGCCTTTCAGCTTTCTGAAGAACTCAAGTGCACAACTAGTGACCGCCTTGCCTTCATTCAAGCATTTACGTGGGTCATTAGTATCTTCTTTACACATCATAAATTCATCATTTACTTCCAAACAATATTTTCCTAAACACAATAATTACAAATAGACATGCTGATTATTTGAAATGTTACAGTAATATTTTTTGTAAATTACCAATATGATGAGCAGCAGCGCGGAGACCTGGAGTGCTGATTGGCACTTCTTCTACGGTCAATTCTTCAAACGTGGGTAACTCATGGTTGTTTGTGACAACCATTTTCCGATTATTTTTTGAAAATGCGTAGGTACGTAACTGAAATAATATTTGTCCTCAAAGAAAATTCATAAATTAATAATGAAAAAAAAATATTCTTATCAATTATCACTGTATGATTAACATTGAAGGGGCAATCTAAACAGGGGTTCTAAATGTTGTTCGTCCGTCAGCTGTTAAACCGATTTTTTTAACCAAATTTGCAAATTGATTATCAATATCGGAATTGTGTAAATGGATCTATTGAGCTGCTGGTAGAGGCTTTTTTTTCATTTATTTCGTATGGCAGGAATACAAATCAACATAATCAAGGTCACAATGCAAACCAAACATAAATATAAATAAAATTTAAATAGTTAAATAAATAAAGTAAAATGCAAAATTATGGTTTATCATGGTATTAACTATTACGTATACAACCAGTATTGGCTCGATCTAGGCGGCGATCGCTGCCCGGGCACTTAGATTTTTTTCTTTTCCTGAACATGGTGTTCATATGTACATTATAATTTATAAATAATCGACACAACAAACAATAGGATTATTTCTTAAATAAACGATCAATTATCAATAATATATTATAAAATCTCGTGGTTTAAAGAAATATAGGTACCTATATAATCCTATCAAACACAAAAGAACCGCCCGGCGGTGCGTGCAAGTATAATGTATTTCGTCATTTATCGCTAATCAAAAAAGTTCGGAAATAAACTGCCTGGTCTCATAATTAACTGATTACATCATAATACAGACTCCATGCACTGTTCGTTTTTTCCATTTACGATAATTGTTATGCAGTGTAATTTTTCTAAAAGGAAATTTGACTGGGAATATACTTAAAAGAAGTAAATTTATACATACAAAGGTGAAATTTATTTTTATTTGTAATAAATTACAATTTGTATTAACTATTAAAAAATAAAAATCGAATGAACTACATCGGATGACTTAATTTATCTACTTAACATAAATATGAATAACGAAAACATTAATGCGCGAGCAGTTAGGCAGGTTGGATCCCTAACAAAAAAAATTCTTCCCGGGTCCTTCGATGACCAGGCCGACACTGTATATAACTGTGTATGCGCACACGCAGACAATTAAATTTGTTCTCGCGTTCGCAGTGTCGGGTTGGTCGGGCGAGCAATTCAAACCGAGTGTCGAACCATAAAGCTACGGGAATGCAAAATCGCACGGGGCAAAAACGCCACAGATAAAAACGGACACAACATGAGCTAAACCGCAAGTAATCTCGTCGTATGCGTCCCACTTAAATCTTTGTTATTTCGTTCTATAATTTTTAGATTCGGAGCGTAGCGAGTAATACGTTGGTTTTACTATGTTGCGTGCTTTTGTTTTGTTTATTTTTTTTTCTGTTTATAAACAGTTTTTCTTCCAGAAAACTTGTTCCGATCGAAAAATGACAAGAAAAACCCTATGTTTTAATTACGTGCCTATAATAAAACGAGACAATTTACGGGTTTTATTATTTTCGATTTTGTTTTTTTGTTGTAATTATAATGTAAAAATAATAATCGTAGAGATCTGAAATTTGCACAAAATACATTAACCTTTTCGTGAGGTTTATTTTAAGTTGCATTTAGTGATTATTTGGTACTTGTTTCAGTGGCGTATATATGGGAAGATTTTGGGCAGTTCGAACCCTCCCCCGAAATGTTTGGTTGGTACGGCATACGTGCGTATTCGTGAATCTATATAATCTTATGTATTTACCAAAACCCGAAAGCTTTTTTTATAACCCCCCCCCCCACAAATTAATTTCTTTATACTTCAGGCAAAATTATTTAAAAAATGCAGTGATGTACCAAGGTATAAGGTCATTAATCAAACACACCATAGATGATTTAAGCTATTAGATACTTATACAATATACTCTTTTTAAGTTATTAATTATTCATTATTATTAATTATTTTCTATTATTGTAATTATTTGTTTTCGTAAAAATAATAAATTGTAAAATAAATACCTAATATTACATTGTTATATTATAATATTAACGTGTATAGTTTAATTTATGTCTTTTGTCCGTAGCTTTTTTATCTGTGACTTGTTCCGTGGATTTTTTTTCTATGGCTTTTTACTGATGGCTTTTTTATCCAATTACCGTTCACGAAGATCTAAATTACTTAACTACCGAGACTTAGTTAATGGGTGAACTAATTGACCCACAGAGATTTAGTTAACCATAGGAGATCTAGATATTCATGGAGATCTACATGATTGGGAATCTAGACCATTTAGATTCCTTTGACTACCAGTTCCCCTATGGTTAATTAGATCCACGCAGCCATTTAGATCCTTTTTGCGACATTTAGATCTTTGGGATCTAGGTGGCCGTAATTTATATGAGAATAAGATTGTAAACTCTGATAAGGAAATTTATAAACAATAAATACAAGACTTTAATATAATACAATTTGCAATTTTATTTGTAAGCCCCTTCAATCAGTATCACTGGCCACTGCCTCAAATTGAATTTTTATATTTGTATCTGTTACCTTTTGACTACTGTACTATTCGAATATAAAATAAAAACAAAATTTATGAATAAAGACATATATATATATATATATAGGAACAAGCGCAAAATATTGTTATACAGATAGGTATTTCAGTATATAGGTATGAATATTAGGCATTTAACATATGTTTTTATGAGTAAAAATATTAAAAAAAAACACAAATAAAACATGTATTTGTTTTGCTTATACCATATATTGTTCATGTTATTTCAGCTAACAGTAAAAATAACTGAACAGACTAAGAAAATTATTATATTTTAGTGGGTAATTATAACTTTTTTTGTTACAAAATTTTAGGTTTTTTTCTCAGATCATTTTGATCATGTTGTATTATATACATTATAAGGGTTATACAATTAAAATCTATGAACCACAGTAGTTTAACGTTTTTTCAATTAACTGTTGCACGATTTCAAATTTGGCAAATTGACTAAAGGATTTAGCGGGTCATTTACATGGTGATAACGATGAGATGAACAATGTTGCCAATACAGCAATCACAATGTTTTGTACACTGTGGAATCCGGCGCCCCGTCCCCGTGCTCGACAGACGTCAACATAACCAAATTCTCTCTTTCCTTCGTTCTGGTTTTTATCTGGAAATGGCATCCACACTTTGAGTTTGCTTTTTATCGAAACACCTTTGACAAATTTTTCGTTTTATTTTTATATATTCCTAAAGGTAAGTTTTCAGGACTGCATTTACAAGTACTTAAATGACGATCGTACACGGTTTGGCGTACGATGCACGAAATCGCTCGGCCTGCTTCTGCCTGAGCATGTGTCACGTTTAATAGCGTCATCGTGTGACTTGTGGTTTCGTTTACATTCACAACACATCGGCGGTAAATTAAAATCTCTATTGTTTACAGTTAAATGGCTGAGACTCGTGGAAATTTCCGTGGAGGATTTGGCAGAGGTGGTTCTCGCGGTAGAGGACGCGGACGTGGCCGTGGCCGTGGCAGAGGCAAGGAAGCCGAAAAGGAATGGGTACCAGTAACTAAGCTTGGCCGTTTGGTCAAAGATGGAAAAATATCTTCCTTGGAAGAGATTTACTTGTTCTCGTTACCTATTAAGGTGAGTTGTGATAGTATTTGCTAGGTAGTGTACTGAATAAAGTTACTTTATTTTTTGTACAAAACAGCTATAGTATCATCATAGAGCTTAATTTGTAATCTATCTTATATTTTATATATGTATATTTTATCTCTACAGGAATTCGAAATCATTGACTTCTTCATTGGTTCTTCATTAAATGACGAAGTATTGAAAATCATGCCAGTTCAGAAACAAACACGTGCCGGTCAGCGTACCAGATTTAAGGCTTTTGTTGGTATGTATTTGGTTTAAGCAGTGATCATAATAATATTATGTAATTAATAACTATTAAAGTAAATTTTTATGGTTGTTTTATATTAAATTAATCTGTATAGGTAGTAGGTGCTGTACAAACTGTATTAACTCTTATGTATCCTCAAATCATTTAATATTTTATATTTATACATAATTTTATCGATATTTTTGCACTTTCTTCCAAAATGTTTAAAAATCTATCTTTTAATATGTTAATATATATAAAAACATTCGGACATACCTCACACGGTAGAGGGGGTATCATAGTAGGTTTGAAGTGAGGAAGATAGAGGGGTAATCTGTATGCAACAATGTATTTCTAATGAAAACTGATTTTGAGCAGAGTTTGGTTATTCGTGTTTTGAAAAGCTATAATATTTATGGTTTAAAAATGATACATTAGTAAAAAATTTCCCCTAGTTTTCCTATTTATTATGAAAACCCTCTTGAAAATTAGAAATGATCTCCTTAACTTAAAGTACTTGCTCTTTCAAATTTCCTTTTAATAAATTAAAGGTTTTTACTTTTAAATTTCATAATCATTAAGCTGTCAATACTCAATATCACTTGGATTTTGTATACACATAATTTAATTAATACTGCTTGATAATAATAAAATTGTTGTCTATTTATTTTGGAATAAAAGAAAAATTATTTTAGATTACAAGCATAGCGAGGGAGCTATTGGTTTTATAATGCTATTTATTTCTTCTTCTGTGTTCTAGTCTGGACATGTCTTTTTCTTGTAAAATAGCTTTTATTTTTATGTGTAATAAGTTTTCTAAAAGTTCAAGTTGTTTAGATTGTACTTTAAAGAGGTCATTTTTTAAATTAAAGCACTTGAGTGAGAAAAAAACTTAGGAAAACTTAAAATTTCGTGATTTCATTATTTTATTAAAACATGGACAACGTTTTCTATCAGAAAAAATGATTTAATCAAAAATTACAAGACACTTTTTTGTTGATATTTTGATTTACTTTCTTTTGATATTATCACCAAAATCTTTGAACCACTTTTAAGCTTTTAAGAAATTTTAATTTTTGGGAGTTTTCGCTGTAATTTGTTTATAAATATATGTAGAGATTTTAAATTTGGTAACAATACTTATTGTTGAACTTACCTAGACATGGTAAAATTTCTAAAGTTATTAGACAAATTTTTTTTTTTTAATAAGCGTTTTGAATTTAAAAAAAAAATTAGGCACTTCAAATTATGTATTACTGAATTGCACTCGGAATCGTCTTTCGGCAAGTAATGGTTTATCATTACTTATAGATATAAATGAAATAACCTTATGTATTCTACCTTCCCAACTTTCACCTACAACAGTGGCTGCTCCCATCCTCAGTATCGGCTCTTTTTTCTCTATTTTATTTTCATTGAAAAATAAATCAAACATTTTAATATTCATGCATTTTTTTTTAGCTATTGGTGATTCCAATGGACATATTGGTTTGGGTGTTAAGTGTTCGAAAGAAGTAGCGACAGCCATTCGAGGTGCTATTATTTTGGCCAAATTATCTGTAGTTCCAGTACGACGAGGCTACTGGGGGAACAAAATTGGAAAACCACACACAGTACCATGCAAAGTATGTTTATATTTAAACAATTTATTTGATATCCATTAACTATACATAGTTTATACTCTTCTTTTTATAACAGGTAACAGGAAAATGTGGTTCAGTAGCAGTACGTTTAATTCCAGCTCCTAGAGGAACTGGAATTGTTAGTGCCCCAGTCCCCAAAAAATTATTGACTATGGCTGGAATTGAAGATTGTTACACTTCTGCACGTGGTTCTACTGGTACCCTTGGCAATTTTGGTAAGTTATGGAGTATTAATAAAAATACATATCTGAACTATATTTTTGATAATTTTTTTCCCCATAATTTTAGCCAAGGCTACTTATGCCGCTATTGCAAAAACATATGCTTATTTGACACCCGATTTGTGGAAGGATGTACCACTTAAGAAGACACCGTACTCAGAGTTTGCGGACCATCTTTCAAAAAGCCACAAAGTCGTCCAAAATATGAGGGCTGATATAATATAATTTTATACTTGTTGATGACGTGATGCGAGCAATTTATATTGTTTGATATCAAATAAAATGATGTAAAATTTTATCCTGTGTAAATTATTCAAATGATAACAATCAAAGACTGTGACCCCATTCAGAAAAAAAAAAGCAGTTCAGATTGGTGTAAGAAGTGTGGTCTATTTTGTGTTTTCATAATAAACTTGGCGTGTATTTAAAACTTTATAATATATATATAACTAAATTAATTTAGTTTAACACTGTTGACCATTACTGACTGTTGCTGGTACAATACTATTGTGATGGTTTATTTGTTTTAAAGAAATTAGTTTTGTGTGTATTTAAACCAATCTTAATTTAAAATGTATTTGATTCTTTTTCTGAGGATTTTATAAAATATCTACCCTATTCCAAAATAAGAATAGTAGTTGGCGGCCGAGTTCTGTGCTTGGGCGTTGCCTTTAATGTGTGTGCGGAACATTGGCTCTGCCATCCTGGAGAGCAGTATTGGTCTATAATTGACAGCCGACTAGCAAAATAACTTATAATGCATTGTGTAGGCACCAATTGTGTCATCGCATGCGGCTGTTGTTGGCTGAACAACAAGTGGTTAAGCGTGAGGTAAAAGGGGTGTGGCTCTAGCTGTTGGTGACTATTTTTATTTTGGATAGAGTATAGCAAACATCTTATTAGTAATTATATAATATACACATAAACCATGTACATTGTATCACACTTTCGTAAGATTAACCCACCAAAAATTACACTACTGAATTTCAAATTGCATAAAATCATGGTAATATATATATATATATATATATATATATATATTATATGTGTTCAGCTATTAACAGCACTAATAACACTTATGTACACATTATATAGACTAATAATATTATGGTGTATTCTTGTATGCTTTATGATTATAGTTAATATTTTATAGTTTTTAATTTAAAAATAATTATAAGTTTGTGTAGGAGTAGAGTAGTGGAGAATCATTAATTCTGTAGTGGCACAGCACACGGTGTTTATAATGCTCCACTACTCTTGTCCCCATTCTAATTTAAAAAGTGATTGAAATCGATAATATCAATATTGAAATGTATTTAAGCTAATACTACATCTATTTATGAAATTCATAATATAGGTTGCCAATTGAAATTTAAAATCCAGTATTCATTTTAATCCCAAAAATAATGGTAATTTAACATTTTAGAGTTGCTTGATTGTTAAATCATTAAAAAACAATTCTCTATAAAAGTTAATACTTTCTGAGATGTAGAAATGAGTGTACTAATTATTTATTTATGAAAAATCTTATTTTCAGGATATGTTATTGTTTTGTTTTCACACCTATCAGTTAGATTTTTAAACTATAAGTGAATTAAATTTTCTGAACCCAATCTAATAAAATACTATGTAGATAATGTTGAAAATAGCCACGATAACATGACTATCAATTTTTCTTTTACACTATTAAATTTAGGTTAAATATGATAAAAATATATGATCAATATTTGGAATAGTTATATTTAAAATATGTACCGACTGATTTACTATCGATTTGCAATTCTAATAAATTGCAAGAATGTTAGCTGAATTTTCTAATTCAAAAGAGTAAATAAAGATTAGAAAAAAAAGGATGTAAATAAAATGTAGAAGATTATATTTTGTTAAAAGTTATACCTAGTAATATACCTATTTTACTAACATTACATTTTTCATTTAACTACCTATGACATAAAAAAAAAAAAAAAAAAAAAATATCTTATGTAATATTATGGTAACGGCGTATAGTTAACCTAATGATTATTGTTTAAATACTAAATCGTTCCGAAGAACCTAATCTGGCGGTTAAAAATAAAGGGCGCATAATAAAAGTTTGTTACATATCTGATTGATTTGTCATAATATATTCTAATCGCATTTCTTTTAACACACCGTTTTCAAATGTTAAAATCATAGATAATACATAATGTATTATCTATGATTGAAATAGTAATTAATTGTTGTTATCAACGTGGATTCCTGGGTTTGTGATAAATATATTATTCTATGTAAATGTGTATTTTACAGTAGATGTTCGATAATCCGGTGGACATGGTCAATCCGTTAAGTTATCTGTGAAATGCAATATAGCTCTATGAAATAATCGTGTAGATAATATTATTATCATCATCATTTTTATTACATACTGTCAATAATAATTATTACATCACTCTTGTATTGGCAAGAACAAATCGGTCGTTTTTGTCGGAAAGTCGACTAACGCGCGCTTTTAAAAGCAAAACGAAAAGTATTAATCAGAAAAGAATTACCGACTACAGTTAAATTCTATTATTGTTAAATTGTTTTTCCCCTGTAATTCATTACGTGTTCAGTATTTTCGTAATTTATATTTGTAATAAAATTTATATTTATAAGTGCAATAATTAAAGGCGGTGGAATGAAAAACGGCTTCATTTGAGCAGGTACTTTTGAAAAATCATTGGTAATCCGGACGAGGCCCGATCTGAATTTGTCCGGATTATGTATTTTTATTATTTCGGAGCAAATCTATTTTAACGCCCACGCGAATTTTTTGTTTTTTTTTTTTTTTATGATTTATGCCAAAATGTGCAATGTATACAAATTACAAATATTTCGATGCGTTCGGTCTCTCTAAACACAGTTAATCGAAAATCAAATATTGTTTTCGTTGAGAAAAAAAATGGGTAATTAAAAATTAATGATTATTGAAATATTATATTATTAAAATGGAAACAGATATCAAATTATTTTTATTATTTTTTTGCCAGTTCGGCGGACGGAAATGAACATAATGTACCAGCAGTCTATCAATATTGGGCGTTGTTGCACACGGTCGGCAAGACATCGATTTTCTACGTCTCCTCGATTACAGGCGAAACACGAAGTTTCGTACCAGGGACCCAGAAACTGGCGCGACCGTTCGTCAAGGAACTACGGTAATCATACACTGCCGTCGGCAAACATTACACTCTCATGAACTCCTGGTACAGTTCTCCAAATTTTCAACGACGTTCCATTCATTTTGAAATAATTACCTAACCTAAAATATTTATTGAAAAGCGCAAAGAGGTTAGGAAACTCGTGGCGTTTTCGTTTGAACTCGGTGAACCGGGACAATATTTTTTGTTTTATTTGTAGCACTGACTGATCTCGTGCGCACGCATAGGCATTTATTATAGAAACGCAATGCCAATTTTTACGGTATGGCAGTTCTGAATTACGTTTCTCTATGGCGGGTGTAATTGTAATCGAGGTTAGGTTAATAATCATAGACGGATAATATAGAATAAATTACTCCATTGCACCGTAGACGCTTGGATTATGCTAGTATGTGATCAGATCTTCTTGGATTAATATTCGAGTACTCTATGGCGACGCGGAGTCGATTTTTCCGCCGTTCGTCAGTAATTCCTCCACGCCCACCGTGACCGCGCGGAAGTGCGTCGCGCGGTGGCGAATGTCCATCGCGGTTTTCTGCGACACTTCATTCGCATTAAACGCGATCGTGTCTCCGACGCACGTTCAACAGTGCGGGCACTCGAGAATTGTTCCCGTAACGGCGCTGAAATGCCGCCGTGTCGGGTATTCTTCATGTGCGCGACGCGGCCCGCACAACACATTGGTGGGAGTATTTAGAGCGCCGCCGGACCGCGCGAAATGAAATGAAATGTAAAAAAAAAACAAAAAAACGCAGTCCGCCGTGTTACAACAACAAAGTCGTATTTTTCGCGGTCGATTTAAATACAAACGACGCTGTCGGCGCGAAACGCATGCGTCGTGGTCCACGTCTTGTGCCAGTGGAATTTCCATAAATTAGAAAAGAAATAAAAAAAAAAAAATCAAATCTTTACCAACTTTGGGAATTTCAGTGCGCGCCTTTTGACGTCGAAAACGCCGCTACGATCGTCTACGCGTCCTGCGGGTTAACACCGCGTTTCCACATATCCGTCGGCTTCGTGGCGAAAGTTGACATTTCTATTGTCAATTGCCCGTACGCACGCGGGTTTGATTTAGTTTTCGCCGCGCGTTCTGTGCCAAGTGCTTTGAGCGGTTCAAGTGTGTCGCAGACGAGATAGTACACCGAGTTCCGTAGTTAAAAAAAAAAAAACATTTATTTATTGATTTTAAAATTTATTGGAACGTAAAATATCATAGGCAGGCAGGTATTATGGCCGTCGATATAGACGGTCGTTTAGTGTCAGTGATTCCCAGCAGGAATGCTGAAATGCTGAAATTGCTCTCGACGATTGAAAATAACAGTACAATGAAAAATTACGGCAGTGCCATTTTTATACAATTTTCAATATTATTGTATTGTTACAATTATACATACCAAAACTTTGGTTTTTCTTTTCGAGATTCCCATATAATGTCCACTCGCCTATTACGGATTAACTTTTTCCGATATTCGAAATTGTTTTTTTTTTTTTTTTTTTTTTTACACGCGTTCACCACTGTTATACAACGGTTGGAAACCAACTACTAAAAGAAAAGAATACGATCATTGACGACAAAGTGTCCGTTTTAAACTTCAATGTCCAAAGTTAAGACATTTAATTAACATTGTATATTATGTATACCTACCGACTTAATTAATAATACGTTCACGTTTTGGAAATGTTTAACGATTTTTAGAGGTTGAAGTCGGGCTTTTGGTGTAGAAAAAAAAAAGAAACGCATATATTTTTGTGCGCCCCGTTTGACTTAACCGCGCGGTTGAATTTTCGATTTTCTCATTACCCGTCGAGTTACGAACGATTTAGGAGCGCACGTAGTACACAGATTTAGAAAAATGTTATCGTTCGCAGACGCTGTCTGGCTCTTGGGGTTAAAACTAAACTTAAAACTATCGTAAAATGCTGAAGTGGTTTTATATTCATTGAAACGACGGTGGTCAGAATTTTGATTTTGTATATTTTTCAACGTCAAGGCTTTTGGGCGGATAACGAAAATATGTTAAAACTTCGTATCTTTTTGAGGTAAATTGGAAATTCCGACCGTAGTACGTTGAAGGGAAATGGAATATTGTTTTTCGAGTTTTTTTGTTGACGTAAAGATCCAGGCTTATTAAATATTTTAGATTCCCAATGTTTATATTGAATGCATTTGTTTTATTATAACATAAGAATATTACATTATAACTATTCAAACATTAAAGTCGATCAAATTATATTATCACACGGTGATATGAGACCGAAGACTACGAGGTTATCTTAAAAATCACAAATATACCTATGCAAATTCCACAGTTATCTATTATACTAAGGGCCAGTATTTCTATGCATACTTAAGCTTAGGCTTAAGACTAAGTAAAGCCTAACTACAATTATGTATACAATTCATATTTCAATTTAAGTTTAACAGATAAGTTCAACTGTTAATTGATCCATGTCTGTACTTAAAACATGTACCACTACAGTTTATAATGTAAACAGTAGTAGTGTCACTTGTGGGAGTGAAAAAGATACTGCTGGGAAGCTTTTGTTGAATGTATTTTTTGATAATTGGTGATAGAATGCTGCTTGCTTATCTATTTTATCATGTTTGTTTTTCCTGTAACCCAAAAGCCAGAGTTCAACTGTATCTAAATACCTAAATGATTCTGGACAGTTTTTTTTTTTTTTTTTTAAAACACTCGAAACATAGAAATAAATTATTGATTTTATGAAATAAGAACATCTTGGATTTAATTAGGTACAATAATTTCATAACAATATTAGTTATCAATAATTTTTTATTTGTTACCAATCAAATAATATCACGATCATACATACAAATAAAAAAAAAAAAAGTCAATATTATACAGAATTAATGATTATTTTAAAATTTTAATGTTTTACCATCCTGACAAAAACAATTTGGATACAATCTCCAAATCGTTTAATTTTTTCTACAATAACACCTACTATAATATGTGTAATTAAAAGGTGATATATTGACAATCTTAAAATGTTCTCCTCAATGACATAATGGAGGGAGGAAGAAATAGTTAAATAATAGGTATTTCAAATAAAGGCGCATAATAATAACCAAAATTAAAAGGAAAATTATTTCCAAAAAAAGAAAAAGAAAAAACTGTTACATTTTCAAAATATTGTCAAATGGAATAATAAAACAATGATACCGTTAAAAGGTAATAAAAGGTACTACAAAAAAAAAAAATTAGACAAAACATAGAAAAAAAAAAAATTATGAATAATTAGTTATACATGGGTGGTTGGGCGGGGAGGGGGGGAAAGGAGGAAAACTTTACTAAAAACTAAATATTGTACATCTAGATACATAACTCATTACCTTGGTAATTATTTGATTATAATTAATAGGTTTGTATTACACATATTTTGTATAATATTATCATAAACATCAATTCAATTGATCTTCAACACCGAGTCTGTTATCCGAGAAAATAAAATCTGAAACATTTATAAAAATCATAACATGCGACATTTTAATATTTTGTAATAGCCATTAAATAGTTGCACACATATAGAAACAATCAATTTAGTATTTAGTTAAAACTCTGAAGATAATACCAAAGTGTCTATGATAGATAATTAACTAATAGACAGGGACTGCTATAGAGTAAACAATATCTTAATTTTTATTTTTTAAATTTTCTGTCTTTAAGATTACTAAGAATAATATCGGTTTTTGTTTATGGCACAAGCAGGCACAATTCAGTATTTTCATTGTTTATACGTACAGATTAAAGCAGGAAAAACTTTTGAGTTGGGAGTTTATATTTACCAAAATACGTGAAGGGGAGGGACATTATAAAGCACAACTAAATCCAAACTTCCAGGAAACCCACAGAGTAAACTTCTAATTTTTTTCCAGATATATTTGTTTGTAGAAAGTTCATGTTAATATATTTCTCTGTAGCAAAATGTCATATAATGAATAAATATTATGTTAATAGGGTTCAAAAATAAACTTCCTCATTAAAACAATAATTATCAATAATCTTACATTTAAGATAGTTTGGTAAAAATGAAGTTAAAAAGTGTGATTACGTATAAATCAATATAAAATAATTTATTTTAATTAACTTGGTGTAAATTAGTTTCTTTAAATTTAAATTTTGGACGTCATGTTAATTCAATAATAACTTAAATTATATTATACTGTATGTAGGTGATCATGATTACATTGCATACACTTCTCTGAAAAAAATTAAATTTTCTCATCCCATTTTAAACACTGTCTATATGTATCAAGGAAAGACGTTAAGATAAAATACATACTTTTTATCCGATTATTGACCATTGTTAATATTTCATGATGCATAATTAGTTTATTTGAAATATTATAGATTAATTCCACATGCACAAATTAAACAACCTTTTTAAATGTTATGCATGTTTTGTATTAAATGAAATAATAATGCAGACACAAAATATCAAGGGTGGGCATTAACAAGTTAAAGTTAAATTAAAAAGTTAAGTTTATTTAACTTTTTAACTTAATACATTTTTTTTCAACTATTATTAACTTAATTCTCAACTCAAGGAATATAAATTAACTTTTAATTAACAGGAGTTAATTTTGTGTTCAAACAAGTTGATTTCAATTTTAATAATAAATAAATTTATTATGAACATTTTAAAATACAAATTCTTACGAATGTGTTAATTTTTACAGTTGTTACTGGTTGAGGGTTGCAGGTAGATTAGGCTATTATAGTAGGTAATAGACAATATGTACATTTTATTAAAATTTACTTGATTTAATAAGGTAATTTTAACTTTTAGTCAACTTCTAACCTAGCAGAATTGATATAGATTATTATGAATTTACTTTATTTAAATTTAACTTTAACTTAACTGAGTTAAAAAAAAATCATTAACTTGCCCAGCCTTGCAAAATATATTAGTAGAATGGACATAAATAATATTCAGATTTCTTGAATTGAGTTTGCTGTGTACGAATATTTAGGTTTCTTTAAAGGTTAACCAATCTATTTGGTGTTATAGATTATATAATCAATGATGTAGTGTAATCCTTACTATAGTAAAATCATTAAACATTAATTTTACATTTTTTTATTCTATAATATGTTTTTGACAACATTTGAAATTCAATCTAACATAATATGTTTAAAAAAAATGCCAATTGAAGTAAATTAACGTAATATCATTGATTAGTATGTATAATTATTGATAATATTGTAATAAATAAGCAATTTGTGTAAAATAATGCAGAGGTGTACAAAACTATTAAGTGTTAAGCAATGCCAATTGCTAAAACAAAGGCTTTTTTTTATACATAATTATTTCCAGTACAATAACCGTATACAATAGCATTAAAACATAGATTTATAATAGTTTAAATATAATAATAATAATAATTATAATAGTAAACATGTAATCAAACACGTGATTACAATAAGGAATAAGTATTAAATAATACACTAAAACTTATGATTATACTGTATTTTAAATAAAAATAAATTATAATGACCCAATTTGAATGAAAAAAAAAAAATATACATTATTAATTTATGTAATTAATCATAGCTTATATTATTAGTTGAAAAATAATGATTGAAACATTTCTATCCCAATTATTGTAAATAAACTACTTCTAATAAATAATTAAATAAATAATTACATTATAAATATTAAATATGTTTTCTGAATTAAATTAATAATTAATTTTAGTGGTCTCAGAATAAAGCACTCGAGGAAAAAAATATATTTGAATAATAAATAATGGGATTGTAGAAAAAAAAAAAAAGTTAATTCTACCAAAATATATCATCGTCAGCTAACACCGTAGGACAGTTGGTAGATGTATGTCTTTCACTGTGACAATAATAGCAAAACTGGTAGTCCAGTACGAGGATCTCTTGGGGGGATCTGAAACTACTACTACTACTGTAGACCGGAAAAAAAAAAATGAATAAAGGTATTAAATAATAAAATGTATAAGTACCATGAAACACGGCTTTGTATAAATAATAAATAAATTGTCTATAATATATAAATCTGTTAAATCTATAATATTATAGTTACTACTATCAAACAAATTTTGATTATAACCAGGATCTCACATATATAATATACAAATTATGACAGAAACAAATATAGAGTAATAATATAAATATCTTAATATAATGTAAATACATTGCATTGTATTAGTAAAATTCATAAGAATAATAGGTGTGACTATTTCTTGCAAGTGACTAAGTAGTCACTTGCAAGAAATTAAAAAAATATAAGATCTATTATACTCTATTCAGCTTAAGAGTACCTAGGACAGCGGACGAAACCACGTCTGTTTTCACACATGCATTCCCACTCCTGGTTATCAGTATCACTTCATACAATCACTGCTATCGATACACATGGTATACGACATCGTAGAAAACAAAATAATGATAACATTTCGTTTTAATGTACACATATTTTCTCACACATTACTGTTATAATTTGAACACATGCTACAATTTACGTTGTAAGTAATGTAATTTTTCTATGTTTCCCCTTAATTCGATTGAAACAGTATACTACGATTATTTATTTGGCAGTAGGTATTTAGATAATATGGCACAGCATACATAATGATTGTTTCTGATGAATTAATAAGGGTGTCTGGCAACATTTAGTGCTCAGTTACGTATGCGCAAACCAGTGTACTCTTAAGTTGAATAGAGTATAGAAATGTAAAATAATATAAAGTAAGTTATGTACTGCTAATATTTTGACAATGTTAGTTTTTCATAAAGTTGTAAATATTTTAATTTAATAGAGTTAACATTTCACTTACAGTTTTTTTTTATTACAGCGAGAATTTATTTTTTGTAAAAATCTCTAATATCGAGTAATTAATTTCTGTGGATAAAACCAATTTTGAAATAACATACAAATATTAATTATTATGTGTTGCATAAAAATATACTAATAGTATTGGTAAGTTAAATCCTGTATTAAAAATGTGTTTTTAATTTTTAAGATTTGAAGCATTTAACAATATTTATTTTAATTTTAAAACAATCATAAAATTCATTATAAGCAAAATTAATGTTTATTTTTAATGATTTAAACAAAATGAAAAATAAGATGTATCAGTTATGCTGAAAAAAAAAAAATATAAAATTGATCAATCAGATTTGTATTTTATAGTGATATACAAAGCACTTGAATTGGAAGGAAGCCAAATATAATGTTATGCAAATAATACGCAAGGTTAATCAATTTCTATCATTATGGAACAGAATATTTTATATACATATATTAATTTAAACATTAACACAGTTTCAAAGGCAAGTTATAACAAAATGGGTTAGATTTAAAATGTTATTTGTTATAAATAATAAACATACCTATTGTATGATTTAAAATAAGACAGTCTAGACTTTTCGAGTATCATTAGACATAAATTTATTTTGATATAATGTATCTGCTTATTAATACATTTTTTTTTTCCCAGTACTGACATTGCTGAAACTGGTCAAAATAATTTAATATCTAATACTTACTAAGTACTAACTGCTTTGTTTTATTTTAAATTATATAATACATATGAATATAATTTTTTTTTTAAATATTTATACAACTATCATACTATACACACAGAATTTAATTAACAAACATCTTAATATCAGGGTTGCTTGTAAAAATTAATCTGGTTTACTACAATTTAAAATTCTACACAACAATGACCATTTAGTGAAAACAAATATTTAAAAGAAGCATCATTCAATGTTATTTATATGCAAAAAATAATAATAACAAGGTTTTCCTTGAAGTAATAACTAAAAATAATAAATATTATCCAAGGAAAAACATTGTTATTATTATTTTTAAATACCCAAAACATGCATAATGAAAGTTATCACTTAATTTGTGTATTTACTAAACAAATGTTATAGGTACATGTTTAGACTTGTGAGCAATAATCAATTATTATTAATTTGTATGAAAATAATACAAAAAATATATTATACCAAAAATTGTTATGTTTAATTCAATATTTAATATTAAAGTGATTAGCCCACCAAACTACTAAATATACAATTAAGAATAAGATATTTTTGTAATCAAAAAAATAAATAAAAATAAACCATGTAGATTATATAATATGTTGTTTTTATTGAAAAATAGTCAAATTATTTATAAGAATATTTGATTCATTTGTTTCCCTTGCTACATAAGGCTTTCCAGTTAAAAAACAATAATAATAATACAACTGTCCAAAACAAACTGAGATAATAAAACTTATCACCTTCTTAATAAAACACTAAACATCAAATAGACAATAACAAATATGATAACAATTTTCATTGATGGATGTTGATTTCCTATGATGTTGTGCATATACTTTTATAACACAATTCTAACATTCCAAGCAAATTACACTTGATAATCCATACTCCATTATACATTTCTAGATTTAAACTATATTCTTCAATTAAGTATACATATAAACATAATCTGTAGAAGAAATAGTCAAAACAGTGTACACACATTTTCATCATCACTACTACCGAACTATTAATATCATAATTTTTGTTTACACTAAATGGTAAAATAATGTTATAACACAATATCATGGAAAAACACATGTTGTAACCTAACCTAACAAAATGCATGAAATTGAGTATTGATATTTTAATTACAGTTATAAATATATTGGTGCAAAAATTGGTCACAAAACACAAACAATAATATATAATTATAATAGTAATAATGCTTAAAATTCATCTAATAAGCAGATTAGTAAAATAGGAAATTAAATTAAATTGTTAATGTGCACAATACAAAATAATAATAATAATTTTGAAATCATCTATGAACTAAGAGTGTGGTCAACCATTTAAAGTGTGTTGATCGATTGACCCATTATCTATATCCTATGGACTGCTTTATTATCTTACATTGAACTATTATATAGTATTCTATGATGTACATTAAACATCTATTATTATATTATAATGCATAACAGTATAATAATTTTATCTGCGAATAAAAAATTAAGTTCATTAGTGATTAGCTAAGCTGTCCACTCTCTTAGTATGTTGGCTCTTTAATAATTTCTATTGCCTAGCATGGTATTCTAGTGTGTATGTATTATACCTGTCTGTGCTGCTGTCTGACATAGCATCATCCCATTCATCCCCAGCATTTCTGTTTCTACCAAGTACATCGCCTAAACGTATCGGATCAAATAAGGCTTCTTCTAGTGCAATATTCCATTCTGCTCCATCACGATCACGTTCACCCCATAATACACCTAGAGTGCGTCTCATTGAATTTCTATTATTCCTTCTTCTAACACTATTGCGATTACGTCCTCTGTTATTAGCTGATTCCGCTCCTAAATATTATAAATTTATAATTAATAACCATTTAGGTATTTAAGAAACTATTATAATTATTACCTCTACTATTATTTATACGCTCTACTTTTACTGATTCTCTTCTTGCTTTAATATCTTCCGGCAAACATTCAGCTATTTTGTCTAAAAATGTATCCATTGTTAAACAATGTGACTTGGATTTAACAAAAACTCGACAGGTTGGACAGTGATTAACTCTTCTAGTCCATGATTCTATGCATTCGTGACAAAATGTATGAGAACAATTAAGTACAGTTGGCTGAAAAAAATTTAAATGGAAAATAAAATAAATAAATTATAGCTCACATGATTAAACAATATATAATTTTTTATTTAACATACATATAAATGAGATTTAAAGTACTGAGATATTTTACTAAAAACCTTATTTTAGTAACTGTAGTTTATTAACAGTCAAAGTAAAGTGTGTAAGTAATCATATTTTAATATAATATGAATGTTTAAAAAAATATTTTGTGTGTTTTTAATGAGACTATTGAATTTATTTAGAGCTAAATTTTTCATAATAATTCAATAATAATTAATAAACTGATAAAATAAAATAACTAATAAATAGGTAATCCTAATAGTATAAGTATTGACTTTTCTAAACAAATTGCTTTTAATGAATTTTTATTTAAAATTTTTGATTGACAGTACTTTATTTTAAACAATTCACCTCCCAAGGTTGTTCTTTTTGTTGATTTTTAAATGCCCTCAAAAAGAAGAAAAGGGAAATCAATTAATACAACTCAACTCTAAATAATTTTTTTGTTTTAAATAAATCTTATCTTCTTACCTACAAACAGTGCCTATCTATTTTTAGTATCGATTTATATGTTTTTAATCAAAAATTACCTTCTATTAAAAACTATATAGCAATAGGTACTATAATAGTAGGATGGCAATATTTAAGGTGTTGCATATAAGTAATTGTAACATAATTTTGAAAAAACAGACACGTTTTGATTAAATCAAACTCAAATCCATTTTAATTAAATTTACTAGTAGTAAGCAAGTTATGGCAGTATCGTAAGTATATTATTTTATTTAGTCTATATATATAAAACGACAGATTCTACAGATAATTTTATTGTTGTTAGTTATGGAAAAATAAGTATGCTAAAATTGTCAAGTTGTGAAATTTTTCTAATTTCACTATAAATATGGTGCAAGAAAAATGGCTACTATAAAAATATTTTTAAAATTATGAATTGAATAGCATTTACTCTATATTAATTTTAAAATAATTTAACTATACATACTATAAATATAATATTGGGACCTATAAATTTCGTACAAAATTAAAAACTTGCTTGCATATAATTTAAATTATTAATAATACCTTGATAAACAATTCATAGCAAATATTGCATTGCAAATCACTTTCAATAGATTGTTCTATATGATGTTCCATCCAGGAAAAATTGTCTCCATCAGTTTTATTACGTAACTGTTGACGAAGTGTTTTTAAAGAGTTTTCAGATTCATTTAATTGTTTTACAGTTTCTAGAAGAATAGCATCCTGGTCACCATTAAGCTTCTCCCCAGTTATGTTATCTGTAAAAATGTTGAAATTTTTTTTTTTTAAAAAATAAATCATTACATAAAAAAATATATTATATTCATACTTGTCAAAGTCCACACAGATTTTGTTTCATTTGAATTTTTATTTGCATTCTTTGGCCTACAATTAAAAAAAAAAAAATTATGATTGAACATATTATATTAATCTAAAATCAATTTTATCATTTTATAAAAAAGTTAAAATATTTGTCTACATTTACTAATATTTTTAAATAATAATTTGGACTAAAGTACTTTAATTTTATAAAAGAAGTTATGACAAAAGAAACCTTAAAAAAATAAAATGTTTGAAATTGTTATTTTAAATATATGCTGTAAAGAGGATAATGTCTAAAGTATAAAAATAAACCTTACTTTGTGAGACTAAGCATGTAATCAACTTCATTCACAATTTTAAATTGAAAATAAATCCCTGATTTGTTATAAAAGCCATATCGGGTAGGTAACAAAGAAAAAAGTGAAAAATAATGACCTGAAGTATTTTGTAATAACTTTTTTATTAATTATAGTGAACACAATTTTTTTTTTTTTAAAAATAAGTGTTGAAAAATACATCTTTTTAAAAAAAATTGTTTAAATTTGCGAGGGATATGGTAAAGTGGTAAAGTGAACTTCAGCCAATTATTAAAGTACTTCGCTTAATTACTAATTATTGTCAATTTCCAGTACTTAAAAAAAAAAGTAGGTACATGATATTATCATGCAACTTTTGAAAAACTAAAAAATAAACTAATGTAAAATTAATAACTACAATAAAACTGCCTTTCTAAGCAAAAACGCCGAAAGTCTAAAAAAAATTAAAAAATGAGTTATAAACATCAAAAAAAATTGTACAATTCAGACGTTTTAGGTCATATGCTGTATGTTTGAAATATTATTCAATAAAATGACTATTAGCAATATTGGTTTTGACAAAATGCCTTAAATAGTCAAAAAATGCATTTTTACTAAGTAAACCATGCTAAGCAAAAATGTTATATATATTAATGAACATAAGACATTTTTGCTTAGTAGGTTAAAAATAAAAATAATAATTTGCAGTGTTTATACTTATACAGTAAAACCTCTATTAATGGACCCTTCCCAAAAGTAAAAATATTTAAATTCCCCAGCAAAAATGTTTGCAAATAATAGGATTTATAACCTTTTTAATAGTGGATACTTCTAATAGTGGATGTGGACACTAAAAACTGATACCAAAATTAAAAATCACTTCTCATAAATGGACACAATACATGTTGAAATTAATGTTAAGTAATAAAAATACTGTATTTGTCTGTTATACATTTCGCTCACATCCTGATACATTTAACTTAAAAAATATAAAACTAATATTCTTACATCCAAATACAATTTCAATTTGCCAACTACTAGATCAAGAAATAATTAAAGTCATTATCGCTAACGATTACTTCATCATATTTTATCTAGAGTGGATCAAAATGTAGAAAACAAATCTATAAACGTTTTAGATATAATATTTTGGATAAAATCCGCATTAAAGAATATAAAACCAGACAGTCAAAAACTGTTTTTAAAAACTTGGATTTTAGGTTAGGTACCTAATCTAACCTCAGAAGATAATACATTAATATCAGATTTAGTCAATTGTAATCTAGACATTTCGAGTGAAAAAGAAAATGAACGATCCGAAGAAAAGGAAGAAGAAGAATACGAGTTGATATATAATCCAACATTTGAAGAAGTTTGGAAAACAATAAATAATTTAAAAACATATTTTAAAAATAAAAAAGATGAGATCGCATTATCAATGGTAGCCAATTTGCAAATTCATTGTGGAGAGCAGAAAAAATTTACCCAAAAATAGATTACAGATTTTTATAATTGTACATAAACATTAAATATTTTTATACACTTTTTAATACATACATATTATGCATTTATATTATAATAAATAATACATTGATGTTTCAATGTATATTTATTTTCTACCGAGTCTCCCTATAGTACACATTTAGTAATTTCTCGCAAATGTCCACTATGTAGAGGTTTTCCAAATAGACAACTCCTTATAGTGGACAGGTTTTTAATCCCCATAGCTGTGCACTTTATATAGGTTATACTGTAGTAATATTGTAATCAATAAATCATGAAAATATAATAAAAGTTAATATAACAATATAGACAATTTACAAATAATATAATATTTGTTATTTATATAACTACCCAAGGATTCTATTTACGAGACTATTCAATAGTTCTATATACCAATTATACTAAGGATCAATATAAAAAGTTAAGTAAATATTTCAGAATTTATTTATTTTTATTCCATAGAGCATTTATTAGGTAAAATACTATATGAAAATTCATATCACACTTTGATAAGTAAAATGTAAGAGGTATGATGAATTTTAGAAGATATAAACATTTTTTTTCTCAAAAACGTTGTCTAATGACTTACGGCATTTTTGCTTGAGGGCAGAATACTAATCATTATATTATATATTAATGAAGATCCATACTTCTGTTCACGACGTCTTGATTTCATTGAACTACAGGCAGCAGTAGAATTGTTACTAGCAAGAGTCGGTTCACTATTTTCGTCATCGGTGGAAACATATACTAAGAATAAATACGAAACAAAAATGAATACTTTAATAATGAAATTATGTAAAATAAATCTAGGTATTTTTTTAATGTAGTGTGTGTAGTCTAGAATTGCAATGTTTAACACTTTTAAAAAGGAATATACTACTCCATTACATTTGTAAATATCAAATCAATATAACAATGTAAAAACTCCACTTATACTTATTGTGAAAATTAAAAAAAAAGCTGCTGATATATAAAATTGTACCTAATTCACCCCGATAAACAAGTATAGTATGACAGAACCAGAAATAAACCATATATGGGTATATAATCAGTAAATAATATATATTTATTTTAATTTAAGTACATATTTGTTAATTCAAACTACCTATAAATAATTGAAAATAATAATATTATAGGCAAGATTTTTCCTATGCTATATGCAATGTAGAAAGTTTACTGAATTTTAATTAACTATAGTTAAAAAACTTTGTACCCATCTATATTAATTAAATAAACATTGCTGAACACTCAAATAAATGAGAAACATGTGCAAAAACATTTAATACTTTCTAACAAGATGTGAATTATTCCAAGAAATATAATAGTCAGTGATATTATTTTTCTTAATATCAATGATACTTACTTAGGCGTTGATCGGGATTGATGTTAATAGGACTATTAGAGCGGATGGTTCCCAAATCATGAGAATTCCAGCATCGGTTACCAAAACGGCACGTTCCTCTTATATAGAACACACAGACTGACGACATTGTTGATATCTTGCGGTTTGTTACACGTTTTCGACGGTGTTCAAACTGTTATTTTTGAAAACGCGAAAGTAGGTTGATGATGAAACGCTGAAACGGCCGACGTCCGATTTTATAGAATACTCTGAAGGGAGGAACACCAAAATACAGCTGTAATAATTAGAAAAGATTTAAACAGTGAAAAGAATAGCGAACGTGTAACGTTTTGGTGAAAACGTGCACGTTTTACGTGCAAACACGAACAAACGAGTAACCAAACGTAACCGCGCAACACAAAACAACGGGCCCTTACTTGTCAACGAATGGTGACGATAGCTCCGACCGGCAGAGGATGAAGTTAAAATACACTAATTATTTGTGTAATATCGGTGTTGACAAACGTGACCGGATTTAATAATAGGGCGAAAGCGGAGTAGTGCGCCGACTGCTGGAAGGCTGGAGAAGCAACAGCAATACTTATCGAGAATTTCGAAACCGTCGGCGCGTAGGTTGACGGTCGCCTTACAATTATAAAGAATAGTGTAGGAATGTAGCGATCGATTGAAGTGGGCGGGTCGCGGTGTAGTGTGTGTGTGTGTGTGTGTGCGTGTGTGTGTGTACCATAGTTAATAGACCATAGTACCACCATAGACTATGTAATCTATAATCGCGTACCGTCCAAAGAAAATAACAATAACAATAAAACCATAAAATACTCTCACTTGATTTTCAATACGAAGTTTGTCCGACTACGTCCTATACGAGATCCGACCGGAATGTTGGTCAAACGTTGTCCTTTGTTTTGGTTGATCACCATTGCGCAGATGCCAAGAAGTGCTGGAAGTCGAACAGCTGAGTATGCACCATTGTCAGTTTGTCCCATAACGGCTGGCTAGCAGCTGATATTTTAATGCTACAGCGCCGCGCTCGTGATAATAACTGATAACAGTTATCGGCATATCGTCAACGATAAAAATATAAATAACAATATTATACTATTAGACTATGAACGTTGAATAATTTTGAACACTATACTTGTTAATAACAATTTTTTAATTGTTAATATGAATTTTTATTTAGTATTTTTGGCCCATATTTTTAGTGTCGAAGAATCCTAATTTTTTTTTTAATTCTTTACAATCCCAGAACGTTCACACGTGTGAACGTCGTTTGGACCGCATAAACGCATACCACCATTGAGCAGCGTTAGCGCGAGTGTAGTACGCTGGCAGACAAAACCGTATTTCAGACCGGTAATAGTATGATATTGTTTGGGCAACGAAATCACGCTGACGACGCGTCGTTTACACATGTTCACTGTAGTAGTTAACTGCACGGTTATTTTCAGAATAACATGGAAACCCCGGTAGCCGAAGATTCGTTGCCGGCCGAGACCGAGAATCGCGGTTCTAGTGATGTACGATATTGTCTGGTTAACGGCAACGGAGACGATAGCAACAATGGCGTACAAGATGACGAATCGACCAGAAATCTCGAAGAGATCGTGCGGCAGCAAAAGGACGAGCTAGACTACTATCAGCAGCAGTTGACTATCAACGAGCACAAATATTTAACGGACGTCAGCAATTTGCAGTCGCAGTTGCAGTTGTCTGTCAAGATGCACGACTCGGCCAGACACGAGATGGAAGCGGCTGTCATGCGGTACGTACAAAAGGAAAAAGAAATACTGGACTTGAACACGGAGATAAAAAAACATTTGGGTAGCCTTAAGGACCGGGATAAACAGATTGTACGATTAAAGACAAACTCCAAGGACGTGGCCAGTTTTACGAGCACTATAGAAATGAAAAACAAGGAAATCAAGGAGTACAAGTCTATAATGGAATTGCTGAAGGAAGAGAAATGGAGGATTTCAAAAGATCTGGAATACTGGAAGACCAAATACGAAAATAATTCAAAATGTTCATACGAAACAGAAAGCAAATTATTACACGAAATCCAAGAGCTACAAACCAAGTTGGAATCCTTAACCAAAGAAAATGAATCATTCAATGAAGAAAGTAATCTAGAAAATATTGTACGGAACAGCCAGTTATACTCGGATTTAAAAAAATGTTCGGAACAACAATTACAAGAAGTGTCCCAGTTAAAATTTGTAATTGAAGAACTGAATGATAAACTGACCGAATGCACGTCAACTGTAACTCGTTTGGAAAATGAAAATATCGATCTTAAGACTCATATGGAAAGTTGTGAAATCAAGACTAACGAGCTGCTGGTGTTCACTGAAAACTTGAGTTCGCTGAATGCATCGTTACAGTCTGAATGTAAAAATTTACAAACAGCTTTAGACAAATCAAAAATTGACTGTGATTCATTTAAGAGTAAAAACACAGAGCTCAAGAATGCATTTATTGTCCAAAAAAATACTGTAACTATTGAAAAAGAAAATTATGATCGCGATAAAAGAGAGTTAGCTGGCCATTTGGCACAGAAAATGCAAATGATTGCCGATCTGAAGACTGCACTGGAGCGTACTCAGGATGACCTGCATGTTTCCAAACGAAAGTTCAAGACCACGGTGACTGAACTGACCAAAGAGTTACAGAAGAAAAATGTGGTGGACACTTCGGCGGAGATGAAAATGGTGTTGGATAAGATGGTCAAACTGCAACAGGAGAATGCTAGGCTGTGTGAAAAATTAGATTTTGTTGAAGATCATAACAAACATTTGCTGTGCGAACTCAAACGAAAAAGCAGTATTATGCAAAAACACGGACTGTCTAGTAAGAACAGCATGGTGTCTGCTAACACGAGCGATTGGAAACCAAAAAGGTATTGAAAAACAGTACCTCGAGCTTGATGGCCAGCAACTATCTTGACAATATTACATTATCATTTCCCATTTAATTACATTTTGTTTTTAAAAAATATTACCCTCTTCCCAGAGCAAGTACGAATTTTATCTAGTCTTATTTAAAACTACGCATTTTTATTGATTTTAATTGATGTTTACATGTAAAAAAGTTGTTAAAACTATTTTAAATAAATTTAAAAAAAAAAAACAATATATTTTATATACAAATTAAAAAGTTCCTTGCATTGGAAGAGTTTTACTCTTGTCTACAAAAATATATATTTATCATCTAATCAAAACAATAAGACTGTTGTGATAAAATTAGTTATTCTGCCACAAATTCGGTAGTGGTTTTTTAAACAGTTCTTCAAAGAAGTTTTCGACTTTTTTACTAACAGCCATGTTAGCGGTTGAAACCCAAAAACAATTTTTGATACGTTTAAAAAATAAGGGGTATGCTCCTATGTTGTTAAAAAAACATGAAAATTCAGATACTCAAAATTAATTTTCATACTTAATAATTATTATAATCTGAATTAAAAAGAAACAACTCTAATCATTTTAACAATGCTGTTGAGAATAATAATTATTTTCAGAGAAAAAAAAAATAATGTTTTGTTAGTTTCTTTTGCAATGAGTATTTGGACGAAACTGATTTTCACCACTTGATATAACAATTAAAAAAATATAAAGTACTCAATTGGCACATTTTTATTATATTAAAAATTATTGACATTTATATCTGCATAAAATATATAACGTAAAAAAACAGGATATGTGAACAGTACGGTGTTCACACAATATACTTATACTATAAACATGTGTCACTTGTCACAAAAAAAACAACCCACTAAAAATATAATCCTAATGCTGTTTATTGATATTGTACACATTTAGGAGGTAGTGAAAGAAATTCTAGTAAAACATAAAATTAATTTCAACAATTTTTATTACAGAAAAAATATTAAAAAAAATACTTAAAGCAGATAATGTAAAATAAAATAAATCATTAACACTTATTGCATTATATTTAACTACTATACATGGTATATTATTTCAAAATCAAACCATAAAATTCAACAAGAGTATTTATTTACATAAATCATTATTAAAACAACATTATTTCATAAATTATATAATTTTAACTTAAATTTACTAATTTTTATTACATTATTTAGAACATTCAATACAAGATTGTAATTTGTTTTATATGTAATACATTGTAAGCATAAAAATAATGTTCCATTAATCCTTGTGTGTGTAATATACAAAAAAAAAAACATCACAACATTGTCTTAATTAAATATAAAAATGTGTTATGTTTGGTTGGTCAAATCCACAACTTCTACATGTCTATCATGTATTATTTCAGGTAATGCTGTTCGAGGATACATATTAACAGAATCACGTTGATACTCCAACATACGATAGTTTAGTAGATGAAAACGTTGATTATCGATTGGTTGTCTTGGTTGAAAATTTCTAATCCTAGGTCTTCCTCTTCTGGCAGTTTGAGGTGGAAGAACACGAGGAGCAAAAGAAACAGCAGACCCTAATCATATATATATATAAAAAATAAATAAGTCAAAGCACAATATGTATTAAACACCTAGGACTCTGGATTAGAACCTCTTCTCCTTATGGATCATATAAATGTATTAGAAAGTAATAATAAATACACTAAAATGGTTTTTAAATTTTGTTGTTATTAGACATAAAAAATGATAATAATTTTTGGTAATATTTTAATCTCTCAGTTTTTTTAGTTACCAAGCAATTGAATACCTATTATATTATCATACAATTGTCATACTTTATTTGAAATTTCATATTTAATTGCACAATGATTTTTACATTTGGATCACCTCTTCAAACGAAACAAATAAGGATCATAACACTGATGTATTGCATAAATCATTTTATATTATAAACAATCAATATTATGCTGGTATACGTTTGAATAAAACTTATAAAATTAAAATAGATTTTTTTGATACAAAAAAATTTGGATAGAAACTGTTAAATAGCACTTACTTTCTTTTAGGAGATTATTTCGTTGGTCCTTTAGAAAACCACCAACTAAGTCGCAAAAGTTTGTAATAAAGGAGTCTACAATAAGAGTGTGAAATGTATTACTGATAGGCGTACGACAATTTGGACAAACGTGGCTTTTGATTAACCATGTTTTTATACAATGTTCACAAAAAGAGTGAGAACAATTAACAGTTGTGGTCTAAAAAAAATGAAAATTTAAAATGTAATAATGAAAATTCAATTTCAAAATAAATAACTCATACCTTGATCATTATTTCATTACAGATAGAACAAAGAAAATCATTTTCAAGGACTTTGTAAACTAAATTATTGCGTTCTACAATAGTATCTGCAATGGATTTTCTTCTAATTTCTTCAGTGGATGCTTTGAGCTAAAAAGAAAAAAAATAGTTTATTTAACAACAATAATTAATAGATAATATTATTAATTTTAATTACTAGTGTGTTTTTTTTTTTGATAGCTTCAAGATTTTCATTAATCACTTTTTGAAAATTATTAAACATAGTGTTCAATGTAACATTGAACATAGTGTTCAATGAATGGCGTAACTGCAAGTATTCAATTTTCATCTATATTTCAAATTTTTAAGAATGTTGATTAGTTATAAATTAATAATAAATATTGTATTTGTATAACATGTATGTGTTTTAAACAAAAAAATACAGCTACTTGAATCATACAAAGTAGAGATTTTAACTACACAAATAAATTTAGTGTTCATAATTTATTAGGTTTTGTACATGGGTTAACTAAACTAAATTTTATCACAAAAAAAAATACTTTTTAGTGATTTAGCTAGTATTTACAATCCTTAATTGTTTATATCAAAATAACTTATTATTTATTTATAAAACTGATTAAATATTACCTATAATTTATAATAAAAAAAAAATATTGTTAGAAGCAGAGTATTTATTAGCTTATACCAGCAGTTCCTAAACTCTTTTCTCTGGGCGGAGCTTTTTGGTTTGGACTGAATTCAGCCACAGTAACCACAAGGAAAAAATAAATAAAAAATCAACAATAATTCTTATTTTTAATTAGTTTTTATAATTTTACTGAATATAGTACAATATAAGTATTCTAAGCATAGGGCCGAGAGGAAATTTTTTTTTCTCATAAGATTCAAATTAAAATAACAAATTTTCAAATAATTACAATTAAAAAATAATTTTTAAGAGTCACGATTACCTTGGAAAGTGCTTACGGTGTTTACAGTTTGGGAATTGCTGGCCTATATTATGTTTGCCTTAGTTTAAACCAGCAGTGACCAATTACGGCCAGTGATCATTTATTAATCGGACCACCAAAGTATTAAATCAAAATTTAAAAAATAAAATAACATCAAATTTCAAAAATTAAAAAAAAGATGTTTATAATTTACATTTTTTTTTTTCTTATTTATAACAATCAATGCATAATAAATAATTAAATATATCACTGTACCTATATTAAGGTGTACCTACATTAAAATAATTAAAAGTAAAAGTTTAAATTCTTGGTCCACCAAGAATTATTATTTTTTTATAGCTTTCTATAAAAAAAAAGGTTGGTTACCTCTTTTTAAACAAATGGTATGAGCGAATACCATTAGAAATTAAAATTGATTAAGGGGGTCTCCTAATAAACACATCTAAAAAGTTCATAAGGAAATTAAAATAAGCATGCATAAAATACATTATAAAGTAAAGATAAATACTTCATGTTTTTGAGCATTAGAGTATACTAATATTGAAGATCAATAAATAATAACTAATAATAATTAATAATTTAAATCATTATTAAAGTGTAAATCAATCTTCAATTTATTAAAAATTATTATAATTAGAGGTTGGATTTATACTCTCTAATATCATTAAAAGTATGTTTTTATTATGTAGTTTAAAATAGGCAATATATTCTTTTATAATACCAGATATATTGATTATGTTACTATGTTTCATGTCCTTAAGTGCTTTTAAATTAATGAATTGAAAGTATATCAAATGAAAATTAATAATAACAATTGTTTCTTATATACTATTCAATTTAACTATCTTAAATAAACTTACATTTTTCACTTCAGAATTAATTTTGTATAAGTCTGTCATCCTTATTCCAGAAATATTTTCATCCATTTTGCATATTTTTGAACTAAAATTAAAATAGTTAATGAATCAGTAAAAAAACTCTATTATTAAATGTTGTAATTTCAGTTTAATTTTTTTAAGGTTGAATATAATAGCTACAACTAAATAATATGACAAATTATGTTACATCTGTTAAAGTTAGTCATTAAGAAATGAATCAGGTTGGCTAGGAATATTGTAATAATTCAATAATTACATAATGTATCAATGAAATTGTAACCTATGTATTTCAAAATTCTATGGTTTGATTATCTTTGTTATAGAGATAGTTTTTACTGATGTAAAACTGTAGCATTATTAAGATATGTATGAATGTCCTTATGGCCAAATAACTCACAGTGAAATGGTCAAATCGGCTATGGTTATTTGTTCTATTTCAACAGAACAGTAAGTAAGATAGATGATTGGGTAGAGTACAAAAGACTGTGTAAACTAAGACGGTACTAAGCAAAGTAAGGGGAAAGAAATATGATGAGTTTTATGATAACAAGGAACAAAGGTGAAAAAGTTTATTGATTGGTCAAGGTTATAGAATAATTCTAGGGATTTCCTTAATGCGTGGTGTATAAAAGAGACCTGGAAGAAGTATTTGGAGAAGTGTTGGAAGTTTCAAGGAACAAAAGTCAGGAAGGTTTAGTTAAAGATGAGAAAGTGTGGTGGTCTGTGAGTAATGAAAAATAAAAATGTGGTAGGTCCAGATGGCATATCAGTGAAAGTGTGAAAAATGTTAGGAGGCTGGTTAAGATTTTTTTAAAAGGATATTAGAAGAGAAAATGAGAGATGAGTGCAGGAAGTTTGGTAATACCTACTTTTAAAGGGAAGGGAACACAAGAGTGTGGAAATTATAGAAAAGAAAATTAGAAGTGAGACATCAACATCTAAGAACCAGTTTGGTTTTATGCCAGAAAAATTTGACTATGGAACCAGTGTTTTGTAAGACACAGTTTGTAGAAAAATATAGAGAAGAATAATTGATGTATGGCTTTTATAGATTTAGAAAAGGCTTATGATTAGAGACCAGATTTATATTTTCTTATAATCCACAAAAAGGAACTTAAAAATATCAAAATAGCGCTGAAATTTTTTTTTTTTAAAAAAAAAAACAATAATAATAATGGTTTAAAAAGTAGTCCCCTTCTCTAATGGCTTTAACTTATTAAATTATATATCCTAACTCTACAAATATAACTATCATAAAATAATTTCTTTTAAATAAAATTGTACATATTATTATATAAAAAAAAATTACCTGTAATAAAAGTTTGAATATTGCAAATAATTGAACTGAATATCCAAAGTTTGGTTCAAAAATTATTTGATGCCGATTCAGTGCAGTTACCAATATGATGTTCTGTGGTGGGATAGGGCGGTCTTGTTACAAAATTTTGTTTTGCATTAATGGGTCTCATAGGAGGGTGGGCTGATAAGTAATGTAGATAGTATCTGATAGTTATTTTAGATTTACGATAAAATGTTCATTTAATAGTTCATGTTGTTGGTTTAGTGTGTGCGAAAACACGATTGTATAATTTTATTAATTACGTAATTTATAATGAGGGTCCCTTCAGATTTGAGGTTTAAATAGCAACTAAATTACTGGGATTTTTGTCATTCCACATTCACATTACAACCCAGATTTGGCACCATTCAATTTTATTTATTTCCCAAGCTTAAAAAACATCTCGAAGATAAAAATTTCAATTCTGATGAGAAAGTTAAAGCTGAAATTAAACTAGGTTTCAATGTTTTATTTGGACGGTATTTTTAAATTATTAAATTGTTAGAAAAAATGTATCGCTATAGAAGATAGTTATGTTGAAAAATAAAAGTATGTAAATAAAGATAATTTTATGATCATACACTTGTTTTTAATTCATTATTTTATGTATAATAGTTTTAAAGTTGTATTAAGATGTATTAATTAATAGCCTGCCCTCATATATTACCTATTATTCTTTATTTTAATGTTCGAATTCTAATACAAATGTGGAAGTTTTGTTCGGATTTTTGAATTTTTAAGAAAAGTTTGGTTAGACCTTAAAAATCAGGGTTGTTAACAACACTACTTTTTACTAATCATTTTATTAGTATTGGATAATTTTATTTACAAGTTAAATTTGTTAGAAGGGGGACTATTAAACCTCTCAATTATTTTTGCTTTTTTAAATATTATGCACTTAAAAACCATAGAATAAGTATTTAAAATATTAATTTATTATTATTCAAGTTGAATAAATAAATACAAGCTGCAAGCTGTCTGAACTATGTTTACAGTGAAGTAGGAATACATAAACTGTGTGTTTCATTATACTTGATGATCAATCATATTAGAAATTAGATGCATTTCAATGTTTTTTGAAAATTGTATACATTTCATTGCCTCTTGATGCATCTTATGAACAAACAACTAACATGACAGAGTTGCAAGGCGATGGATTGATAAGGTTTAGTATCAAGACAAAAATTAATTAATTTGGTATCATATCGGATTAAAAACTAGATGAGAAAAATTGTATAATGAGGAACACACAAATAGTTTCATATAACTTGTTATAATTTTATAAAATTATAAATATATCTAAGGTCAGCGGGAACACCAAAGCAGTGTAGTTATGTTGTTGGGATTTAGCGATACATACCTACACAAAGCTACGAGTTGTTAATAACAAAAACATAATTGTATTACTATATATTTTTTTGGCAATTGGGTAATTCACTTAATTTCACTGATCGGTTGAAATTTCTCGAAGTATTATGAAAAAAAACCATTACTGCATAGTTCATGAAATATACAAAAAATTGAACATTTTATATTATGACAGTGAGAAATGAATTTATTTAGTACAAACACTGCTATAAGTATCGAACCTTACTTATGATAATGGTGTGATTGTATATTAGTTTGATAAAGGATATGAATGAAAGTCCAAATAAGAGTGTAAGAAGTGCGTGTGGAACAATGAAAGATTTTGGGGTTGGAGTAGGTACACATCAGGGGTTGGTCACGAGCCCTTGCCTATTTTCTGTAGTAACAAATAAAGTTATAAAGTAAATATAAAACAATGTAACATGGTGATTGATGTTTTCAGATGATAATTTTAATAGGAGAAAATCCAGAAGAAGTTTACAATAGGCTTGAGAAATGGAGAATATCACTTGAAGGGACTAAGGTAAAGTAGAAGTAGAATAGAGTATAAGGAGTATGAGTTTGGAGTTGAAAAGTTGGAAGACAAAAGAGAACTTAAAACATTAAAAGAAGAAAAAGAAAAGAAGTTTGTGAAATATGAAGATCACCTTTTTCTTTGTTTAATGTTACTTTTGATATTAATTCTTTCTATCTAATAAATTAAATTTACTTACTTATATGTCCGGGTACACAAGACAAATTTGTGTATATAAGTCATATTGCCTAGTTCACCAAAACCGATAATATCTCCATCATTCAACTGTTGAGCATTACTTTTTCCTCGTGGTATTTCAATACAATTTATATATGTAGCTGTAGTTGAATTCTAAAAGTACAAATAATAATTATTTAGGTAATCTACAAACAAATGAACAAATATACCTATAACAGTTTACGAAAACAAAATTATAAGTATGTGTGAAAATATTTTCTAAAAATGATTTATTATATTTCACACAAATTAAGACATTGTAGTATTTAGTACAGGAGTATAAAATATTATATAATATGAATATGATTCATCTCAAGGATTAAAAAATTAAAATAATAGATAAAAGTGAAATGGAATAGTTAATTAAATATTTAAAGTTTTTCCAATTGTATTAATCAATAATGATAACTAATCAAATTGGCAAACAAAAGTTCAATAACTATTGCCCAAAACCCTTAAAACAATTTTATTGTAATTTATGGCATTGGCCATTTATATTTTCTAGTGTACCTAAATGATCAAATTTTGAATTTATTGTCTTGGGTTATAGATTAGATAATTAATAAAATTATTTATGTCATACCTAAGTAGTAACATCAAAATATAAAATAGTTGAAATAGCAACCTAAATCTTCATCAATGTATACTGAAAAATCTAAGATGTGTTTCCCTCACCCTCCCAAATTATTTTTTCTTTTTTTTATAAATGATGAACTTTAACACATTGACGGACACTTGTAATATAATTTTTTTACTAATTTATTAGTAGTGCTATGCCTGTATCCAAAATCTATGTAATTTGTCAGTGTAGACTGCCGTAATGTGGCAATCCATTGTCATCTAAGATTTGATGCCATTGAAAAGATTACTGCTTCTGCAGTATTAACATAATATGACATTTCATATACTACTGCTATAGCAGTAATGTCCATAAATGTGTTAAACATTCCCTGAATGAAGGGATCACAATACTTCTATGGTACCTCTACCAGTGATATCCACATAAAATTCTTATTTACTTATTTAGAGTTATTAAAAAAATAATTAATGTAAACTTTATGATGCCTACACCTGATACACAACGAAAATAATTTTTTGATTTGTCTAGACCTGGCAACAGATATTCTAAATATTCTCCATCATCATCACTTTCTATTCTATCAACTTCATCATTTTTGTGAATGTCATCTTGTAGTATCTTTGTAAGTACTTCTGTCTTAAATCATCCTATCCAAGTCCAAGATTTCACACTATAAAGTCCTTTAAAAAAATTTGGCAACAGTCATACCTAATATATGAGCTCAGCACCACTGTATTTAATTGTTTCAAATATATATTGCAGTCCAAAAGATCATACAAAATCATTATATTACTTATCAATTTTATTAAGAAAATGTTTGATATTATTTTTCTAATTTTTTAGATGGTTTAATATTAGTTCTTTCTAGTTGTAGTATAGTATATATCTTAACAATTGATTTATAATCAATTACAAGGTCTTTTATTGTTAGTTCTTTGGGTCAATTTTAGACCATGGTTTTGTTATTCAAGACCCTCTTGTAAAAGGAAACTCTATTATGCTTAAATGTTCAGCGCAAGTTTAATTACAATGTTAATTATATTATAAAGAATGAGTGTAGACCGCATATTTATGCAGCTTTCTTTCAGTTCCTTAGGCTAGATATATTGATCAATTATAGGCATAAAAGTAATTTTAGTTTTTTGGTTCAACTATTACACTAACAAATTTGTTTTACTTACTCTAGAAAATTTCCTTTAAAGCCACTCCTCATTCTTACCAATATTAAGTTTCCTATTCATTCTCTACTACCTCAACTGATTATGGTTTTAATGAACCACTGTTTATTTATTCTCAATGCAGATCCTTTCTTTTCAATATTGTGTTTGGTAGTTTTTTTTTTTAACATTGTATACATATTGTACTTATTATAAACTAGATATAAATCTCAAAAAATAAATAAGTCTAGGGTCCTAGCCAAATTAGTCAACATTATTAGGACCATAAAAATAAGACCAGGTATTTACTATTTAGTTTACTTACATCATCATATATCTTAAAAATACCATTTTCGTAAGTAATGACGCAGTGTTGACGAGATATATAGACTTCATGTATTACAAGAGAACAAGTTTTGGCACGCCCAATGACAAACTATCAAAATAAATAAAATGTTATTAACATGAATATAACTATAAAAATTTAAAGCACTTACGTTTGTCTTATTGATGGTAAACTTTTTACCATTAGTTACATTGAGTAACTCAGCCAACGGAGGATCACAATAAGGTCTTTTCATGATGTTTGTGATATCTTCCAACATAGTATACATATATGTATTAGGTTATTGTTTTAATAGTAGTACCAGTCTTAAACATTACAGTCGATTATTTAACGAACATGTTACTAATATTACTACAACACGAATATTATATATAAACCTACAGGATACACAGTTGTTTAAATTTATATTAATTAACTACCTACTACCTATTTATACAATATTTAACAATTACAGAATAACAGTGAGCAAAGCATTTTTAGTTACAAAATAATAGGGTAGATAGTTGGTAATTAGTTATTGCCAATTTGAAACTGTAAAGCGAAAGGTATATACGGAACGAAAGACGTTGGGAGCGTAAGACCAGGCGGCTAGCGGTGTATCTTTGGTTTTCTAAACAGAAACAACAGACCACTATGCACATCGCACAACATGCATACTAAAGTAAAACCGTGACGTTGGTAATACCATGATTCATACGTAATGAGGAGTCCATAACTACTATCACCACGGTCTTAGATCTTTTAATCACTGTAATTAAATACGTACGACAAAAATATGATAAAATCTATAAAACGTCAAAAAACAAAACGACCGAAAAAACGAAATCTTACAATAGATAATAAAGAAAAGAACGGAAGAGTCACTAATAAAACTAATAACGTAGGTACGTACTAGGTGTGGCGTTCCGAAATGAGAAAGCGAAATACACTATAGCGTTCTCTTTTTAGCAAGGGTTTTTTTGAGGTTATGTTTGTAATCCGCAAATGTTATTCTTAACTGTTGTTACTGTCACGAATTAAGATTGTTTTATTCGTTACTGATACACAACGACAAATAATTTGTATTATTGCTATCATTGAAAAAACACCATGGATATTAGTGTTTATTATCTATCACGGACATAGAAACCATGTTATTTATAAAAACAATAGACCTAGATTTAATCTTAGCTTGAACATAATCTCAAAATATGCTCCACAAAAAGAGAAAACAGTTTATGGAAATAGCCTTTCTCTCTTTCACATTCTGAATAATGACTGTGAAACATAATAATATTATGTTTATGGTGTAGGTATATCATAGAACAGTTGTTCTAAATCCTTTTAGGAACGTGAGCCAAATTTTTCCCCGAAAATCTATCGTGACCCACATAGTTTCACTTTTCAAAAAGTAGTCTATGCAAACACCCGGGAAAATCTTAAAATTACCTCCTAAAAGTACCATCCCAGTCAGATTTGCTTTTAAAAACAGTGCTAAACTTGAAAATCTGAGCAAAATTGCTGGTAGATATAACTATCAACGATAAACTATTGTTAACGAAAAAGAAATTTTGAGCGCAGTTCAGTTGATAGTGGTTTTGTCAACAATAATATTATGTATGTCATATTGTGGTAAAATGATTAAATAGGCATAATATTTTCTTTAATAATATTTGTTTAATATTTCCCAGTTTTCCCATGTTTTTTCCCGGTTATTTACATTTTCTGGGAAAACTCTTGGGAAAATCGAAAAATAATCTCCTTAAAGTACTTTCCCAGTCAAGTTTCCTTTGCATAGAAAAAGTGCTATCATTGTAAATCGGAGCAAAATTGTTGGTGGAAAAGTTGTTCCAACCTGTTGACAGGAAAAAAGAAGGCCAAAATATTTTTCAACTAACACTTACATTTCGTAAATTTTCCGTTTTTCCTTCCTTTTTTTTCGGTTTTTCATAATTGTTGAGAAAAATCCCGGGAAAATCGAAAAATGACCTTTCTTAAGTACCACCCCAGTCAGATTTCCTTACAAAAAAAGTCTATTATTGTAAATTGAAGCAAAATTGTTGGTAGAAAAGTTATCTACAGAAAAAAGATCGTAATATTTTTTTACTAATATCTATTACCTGTTTACCCTATGTAATTAACATTAATCATTTGTTGTAACCTATCTAGGATAGTTAAAATAACTAATAATTTTAGTTAAAATTAACGCTATAAAAAGTATATTAACAACTACATCACTTTTGTTAACGCAACTATATTAAGGAGTTAAAATAACTACTGATTTGGATATTTGGTTTTAAAATTTGTAAAAAAAAAAAAAAAATTCTATACGGTTGCTTAAGATTCGAACTCATGCTAGATCTGGTCTATAGAGAGAACGGTCCGCTCTCCGACCAAACCAAATCGCCACAGCGCATCCCCACGCCGCAACACTATCCATTTATCCCCTCCCGGATCTATCGACAGCGCTGCAACGGCGACCGCAGAAGTGGTGCAGGTGTTGTACACTGCGTTTCAAATAATGCACTGTTGACTGTCGATAGTCCACTGTTTATCGCCAACTGCCGTGGTGTACGCATACGTCATTTTTACAGCGTTTGGTAATTTTTACTTTTTTCTCCGTTGTTTTAATTATTTTAAAAGAATTATGTAAATATGACGAATAATTAGTATTATAAATTTGTAATTTTATCAAAAATAAAATAAAATGTAAATATGACAAAAATGATAAATTGTAATTTTAACGAAAAAAAAATGAAATGTTTTAATATAGTTATTTATTATTTATTAAATATATAACTCTGTATTATACCTACAGTGTTCAATAAAATATTAAATAAATAAATATGTATACAAAAAAAACAAAGTCTGGATTATTATAGAAAGTGGCTTGTACATACGATAGTTTACGATTTGAAAAATCATTAACAGGTTATAAAACAGCAAAGGTAAAAAAACGTGCGATGCGCGATGTCTGATAATAATAACAATTGAATTTCTACAAAATATCCTAGCGGTGTATAGTCAAAAACCGACGACGGAAGAAATGACAATCGGCTGCTTTCGCTGAAATCAAGTTATGTGGAGGGGTAAACATGCGCACAAGCGGCCCGTTCTCTCCTGAAACAGACTATAGTATGTGCACGATTTAAATTCTACCAACCTACTTAACCATTGCGCCACTATATCGGATGATATTATTTATGAACATAAATGACCTTTTTTTTCATTTAATATCTTAAACCATTCCTCATTACTATTTGTATTTATTTTCCAAGTTATAACTGTTTACTGTATTGTTTAGGTACGTTATATTTTTCATAATATTGTAACTGCGAACTATTCATTTAATTGCAGGTTGCATCAACGTATACTTACGTGGCTACGTATAGGTATTAAAATTAAAATGCACAATAACAATATTTATTATTATTGTTGTTATAATACAATATGGTCAAGTGAGGTACTGAGGTAGAAATGTATAACGTAATAATATTGTAGACTGTACTTCTGTAGAACTAATAATACCGCAATATTGTAAATACATACTAACAAAAACAAACCTAAAATGAGCTTTTATAAACTTTAATACATAACCACACTTGTGATTGGTGGTGATGATGACGATAATGATGACACACACGCTCTTACAAGCAATCGCAGACCGTAGTGATATTAAATATACTGATACATTTTGTTCTTTTTACTAGAAAATTTAATAGAAAATGTGTAGGTATTTGCCTTATCAAGAATTTGTATTATCTACGTAGATTTTTTTGGTAGATACTAAGTGGATATAATTGTTTGACCAAATAGAAATTTAACACTCGGTTCATTGTAAGTTGTACTTTGTGATAAAATAAAAAAAGACTGACATACTTCATACGTGGGTGGGCCACTATTGTAGGTGAGAAGTTGAGAAGGAAGAGGAGAAATTCAATGTAGATATATGTACGCAATGATTAACCAATGTTAACGAAAAACGATTCTAAGCGGAGTTCGGTTAATAGTGTTGCTTTGTTAACAATATATATGTTATATTATGGTAAAATAACTACGTGTTATGCATTATATATTTTCTTTAATAATATTTGTTTAATATCGTACCTATTTTCCCGTTTTCCCCATTTATTGAGAAAACTCCTGTGAAAATCAAAAAATAACAATATAAAAAAATAAACAACATTGTAGAACCAATACAGTCTTCGCTTCACTCAGAATCTAGAAGTAGAGTGAAGTAATTTTTTTTGTAACGGTTTTATGATCAAATTTTGATGAAAATCGCGTAAATATTACGACCTTTAAATCATGTACTCGTATAAACGAACTTCGTTCAGAATCGTTTTTCGTTAGCAATGGTTAACAGATATATAAACTAAATAACTTTATGTATCCTACCATTGCAACTATCCACCTACAACAATGTCACACCCATCGACAGTACCTATCAGTTTTTTCAATTTTTATTTTTATATGATTATTGCAATATTTGTAAAATAATTATTTCTTTTTACAATCAACACTTACTCGGCCCAATAAACTGTTTATAGGGGTAGAAGAGGTATATCAAAATTCAATATCCATCTCACGGAATTTTCAAAAGTGGTTAGTTTTTTTCCACTTTAAAACCTGTTGCTTAATTTTCAAGTTTTAATACCTCCTAATACACAATGTCAGGTTTAAGTTCACAAATAGAATCGATTCACGAGCTCATACAAACAGCATGAGAAGAATACGGTACAGACAGTCGGGAAGGTATGTTGGTTGCATTGAGACTCAAGAGTCTGATGGTCAAACAGTGAAATATTTGCTATAATATATTAATCATTTTTTGCTTTTTCTATAATCATTTGTAAAATTTCGCGCACAACGCGACATTATTACTATTCGCCCCAACAGCGCCCATTTATAATAATCATAAATTAACGGCGCTTAGTGCTGGGCACGATGTCACGCCTGCGTAATCCGGGCCCGGCGAATGGCGACTGTGTTCACTCCGGAGCAGGCCGAACACCGTCGTATAGGAAAAACCGCCGGGTTCGAAACAGCGGTTTTCCAACGATAAAGAAACGCAATAATTTGCCGAACGAAAAATATGGAAATGTCGCCGTGCCACGTATCTCCGCGCGCAAATGCGGAGAAGGGGCGAGCGCGGGTTCGGCGGACGTGCGTGACGCACCTCAAATAATAATAATAATAATATGACAGCGCCCGCGACTTGTAAATCGCTTAAGTGTATACGCGATGATTAAGTATATATAACGGGCGGCCGTAAAGTTTATTGGACTTGTATTCCGCTCTCGAAACTCGTGCTCAAAAACTGTTGTTTTATTCATGGCGCGTAACGGGCCGCGCGCTTTTGGCGGCGGCGGCGGCGGAACCGGACATGCGCTTTGGCGGACGTCCTCGTGGACGCGACTCGGTCGCGTCGGACGCCGGCGTTGTTCGGGCGGCGGCGGCGGCGGCGGCATATGCGAATCGCATTCCGCCGGAACCACACCACCGTAGCGACGCAGCGGTGTACGGTGTACCGGGGCGGCCCGCGCGTATTGTTCGTTACCGCGCGCGCGGTTGTTGTGTCACCACCTGACCGGCGAGCGATGCGTTAAAGACGTCTCGCGACGACCGCTAAAATACTCGACAGCGGCGGCGGCGGCGGCCCTCGACCGATTCCGCGAACATGTAAAACCTTCGTCCGGCCGCAGCAGCAGTAGTGTAATAATATTATATAGTCTACTTAAATCGTGCCGGGAAGAAAATCCGTTTTTTTTTTTTTTTTCGGATTTTGTTCCCTCGTACCCTTCTCGTCACGTCATATTTGTACATATATATATATATATACATATATAATCGTAAGTACACAGATTTTCTTCACCTAAATAATTTTTTTTTTTTTAGATTCAGAACGTATTTTTTTTTATAGTAATATATTCAGCAAAGACGAGCTGATAACGATTTTTTTTAAATTATACAGTTTTAGAATTGAAAAACTAAAAAAACAGAAGACTATATAATTCTCTTTAGTCGATTTTCAACCGTGCGTCATGCGAGAGATTTTGCGAAATTAGTATTTTGAAATTATTTCCGAGTGTTTAAAATGCAACACGATTTTTCCAAAGTGAGTTTGGGAAATGTTTCGATCCGTATAAAATACACGGCAACGTTTAGTGTTTTTTCTCAACTTGATTAATATTTACGTCAGTGTAATATACATAGGTACGCGTTTTGGCTATCTCATTTATTTCCGATTGGATCACTGAAATATTACTCGGGAGACTGAATGTATTTTACAGGTATGGGGCACGAAATTACGATTCCGGTATAAGTACTTTGAAACTATAAATTACACGGTGGTTCTTAAAGGAGGGGACGGGACTAAAAGGGCTGCAGTCCCTAGCTCAAATTTCCTGAAAATAGTGGTTTTAAATAGATGTGTAGGATGGGTATTGTCCGTGGAATGGTATTTATGGGAAAAAGTTGTTGGCTCATTCTTTAAATATACGCGCGTCTTTTTAATATTACAAAATAAATATAGCGTCTGGCGGTGTCTGGAAAAGAAAAAACAGAACGTCTTGAAAATCTTTCCACGTCTGAAAAAGGCCACTATACATATTTTGTAAAAATTGCACGTCTATTTAATTATTTTTTAATTACAAAAAAAAAAAAAACAAAATCGAAAATAATGAAATCAATATTCTTTGTGTATCTGCATTTCCTCAATTTTAGTAAAAAATGTAAAGGAAAATAAAAAAATCAACTTTCTAACCGACCGACTAGACACCATTTGCTTTCAAAAAAAATGCTATATTCGAAAATGAAAGCAATATTTCTAATAGAAAAATTGTTCATAGACATAAAAAAAAAAAAAAAAACCCACACTATAGGTAGTAAAATCAACATTCATTGCCGGGTTCAGAATATAATATTTTGTAATTTTTAAAAATATTTACGGTGTATGTGATTTAAAAAAAAAAGTCGGGAAGGCAGGATACATGAAGTTATTTAGTTTATATCTGTACGCAACGCTAAATAATTGTATCCACATAAAATCAAAAAACTAAAAAAAAACTAGAAAATGTTATATTCCTAGGATTTTCAATTTCTTAGGTAAAAAATTGCCCGAATGTTTGCTACGTGTAGAAAAACTTAGGTTGAATTTTCTGTGAAAATTACAAGTCCTTTTACGAGTTTTTGAAACTGAATAACAAAAAAAAAAAAAAATAAGTCAAAACCAAAAATTATGAAACTGTTAATGCCGTAAACATTCTCGCGTGTTTCATACGTTTGTTCTCAACTATTAAGAAAATTATACAGAAAATCAAAAAACTGACTTTCTTATTCACTAAGTAAAAATAATTTTTTCGCAGACAAGATACTACTCTTGAATTTCCGGTAGAAAACAATAATCGTAAACATTTTAAATAATAAAATGTTAACCCCGTAAATATTTGTCCGGATTTCCTTTACGTTTTATTCGTATGTATTATGAAAACCGATTGGAAAACCAATGGATGACCAAAAGGAATGACCTCCTTAATGCACCATCTAGATCTAAAATGAAACAAAAAAGGTCTTTTACTACTTTTGATCGAAGCAAGATTTTTAGGTAGAAAAATGAAGGGAATGTTTCTGTAAGTGATGTAGTCGATTTGTTCAAATCCTCGCTCACTAAAAATATGTGTAGGTATACAAAAATATTTCCGGTTGGTCACTTTTTTCTGGTTGAGCAAAGAAATTTTGAATTCTTACAGTACTTTGTAGCGCGTACTATTTTAAACATTTAAAACACCATAGTTTTCACTTTTCATTTTTTATAAGTTTTGAAGGCGTCGAACGGGGGAATCGCAAAAAAAAAGCCTGTCTGAAAGTAGGGGTATACCATCTGTGTTCAATTACGCATCTATGTAATGTTGTGAGACGAGGCTTTTTATTTCATCTACATCCCTAAAAGTGTATGGTTCGAGCAAAAAAAATATAAAATAAACAGTCATTGTACATTAACGAACAGTTTGGCTCAGCAGAATTTAAAATGGAAATCGTCTCGTTTATATATTTTTATTTTGCCACTGCTGTTTACGGAATTTAAATCCTTTACAAGCGTTAGTGGCATTTGCATGACGAAAATTTTAGGTTATTAAAATATATTGTTGTATATCACACGACGTCTTGCCGACAATTATCAGCGGTGAAATCGCGTTTATGTAAAATGTGTTGTAGAAAAATGTTTTTGGCGATAATATACACCTATGTTGAAAAAATAAAAGAATTGGAGGACAATATAAGAAGGTATTATTATATATCTATGCGTTTTTCAACATACCACTCAGTAAAATTATTCTGTAATTATTCTATTATATTTATATAATTATTACTAATATTGTAACTTGTAATACATAGTAGAATTTGAATATTTTCGAGATGATTTGACATTTTGATACAGACAATTGACATTTTTCAAAAAAAGATAATTGTCTGTATTCCCAACTACTTGAATACTGGCTGGCGTGCGACGTTCTCTTAAAAAATATTATTATTCGTTGTATACATATAAAGCAGAATTCAAAAAAAATGTTCATATTTTTTCCATTTGTATGTATTTCAATTGTTAAGTGTTCACAAACGATTCATGTTTATTGCACATACAAAATTCTAAAATATTGCGGTGTTTATTCGAAGTATAATTTTCGCGAAACAGAGACAAAATATATTGAGGTATAACGACAGATAATCGCGTACTTTGAATTTTAATCTTCCTGATTATTTAGATTTAGATTCATTATACGACGTTAAGGATGGACGTAAACTTGAACGTTTTCGAACATAAAAACTTCGTGTTGAAAAATCGTTTTATCTCAAAATGAATATGATAATTTAATGAGAGACGATTTATTATAATGAAAAATTGAAAATTAAAGGACAACATTTTATCTAGGTTATGATATAGGTACCCATTTAGTATTAATTTATAAAAGTTATGGATTTTTGAATTTGTAAAAAAAATATAAGCGACTTTTTAATTTTGATTATCTACCGTGGTATTCAAGTAAATTGATAAATCATACACTACAGATAATGTTGCTGTATTCATTTTTCATAACGAGGTAAAATTTTTAAAATTACCAGGTAATATGAAGGGTACTTTTTCTTATATTTAAGACGAACATGTTTATGAATAAATTGTTTGATTACATAATAACGCTAGTGATTGCTACCTGGGACTGTATTTAAATTTATATGATAGTGAATTTTAACATTTTGGAGTCGATGAATTTTTAATTTTTTTTTTTTCAAAAATTTCGTCGAAATTGCTTATTTAAAATCCCTTAAAAAATAATAGTAGTGTGTTCACCTCTTAAGAATTAATTAAATATTTAAATACAAGTAATTAAGCCACATCGATATTATCTTATAGATAGTCGATTCATTATTTAACTTTTCGAAATATTATATCAGAAAACGTTGAAAAGTTTTTAATTTGTTTGCATTTTCGAAGAACTTACACTTATATAACAGTATGAAAATCCATTAGCATTTATTCATTTTTACGGTTATAAATTATGTGTGTGTGTATGGTAGGGAGGGGGAAGCAAACAAATTACTGCTCAAGTGTTATTGTGGTCACTTTAAACGTTTTACATCCGTAAATTTTATTGTTATATATTATAGTATACTCGTACATAAAAATTATGTGTTTTATATTCCATACCCTAAAAACAGAATAATTGAATTAACAGGTATATATATTTATTACATTAATGTTAAGAAAATAGAGAAAAATAGAAAAAAAAATTATTATTATATTGCAAATAATGTTTGAAGTGATGTCACACTACACAAAATAGTAAAGGGGTTACGTGTAAGCAATTTAAATGCATTTTTAAAAAATAAAATCTATAGACCTAAAAAGACAATTTTAAAAATGATCTCTGTTCCCAATAACGAGTATATTTGTCTCGTTCAAAATCGCACGGTCAGGAAAAAATATATCCTTCAAGGTTAAATCAAAACCAATGTTTTAGAATTTTTACTGATCTTTATGCAATTTGAAGAAAACAATATATTATCTATTGAGAATTTTTTTAATTTATTCAAAGGAAACGATCAATATCAAAGATTAATAAGTGACCTCTTTTTTTACAATTAAAATAAGTCATAATTTTATTTTTATAAATTGATATTTAACTAAATAGTTCGTATCGATTTATTTAGATAAAACTGCATTATTTAGTTGAAGTCACCGTAGACTGGTTTATGCTAAATTATACTCATTTCGAGATAAAACGATTTTTAATTTGTACGCCCTAAAACGCTCACTCTGAAATCTTCTTGAACAAAATAAGATTCGATGAAACAGTTATATTACTCTATACATTATTTCGAGATCAAAAATACATCATAAACAGCCTTTTTTCAAAAAGGTCACGCACGATAATCGTAAAAATCATTGTAAACTGAGATGTATTATAACCGGGCAATTTCCGGTCGATGTTTCGAGAAAAAAAAGACAACAAAAGTCGTCCTATAATAATATTATTTCTTGCAATGACGCGACGTTGATCTTTAAGGTCAAATCCGAATTGGAATTGAACATTAAAAAAAAAAAAAAAAAAAAAAACTGTTCAAAAGACTGCGTGGAATAATGCGCGATCAAAGTTTTCTTTATTCTCTGATCCTTCACATTCGGTATGTAAACTAAACTGAAATGAAAAGTTTTCTCTCGAAATATTCTGTACTTTACAATAGCCCACGGTCAAATAACAAATATGCCCGTTAGAAATGTGTGTCATTCAAAATAGCTCGGATTCATAATATCCCCGTTAAAAT